TGCAGATGGTGGAGTTATAGTTAGGTTTCACTGCGTGCCATATCATATGTGTGTAGGATGGACGTGCACAGCGCTAATACGCAAAACTTGATTGCTGGCTGGACGTTTTTTCTGGTAGACAACAAAAGACTAATGTGCTAAATGCGCTAAATAGTTTTCATATGCTGCTGTATTCTGACTGACTAAGACGAAAAACAATAGACGAGAGACCGAGAGACTAAACGAAACGCTTCACCATGCATGTCGATGTGAACTGTTGGCTATAGTTTTTCCTTTTTTCCCCATGGGTGCGCGGAAGTGTCGTGGGTTTCAATGGGTTTCAATGTCACAAAAGTCATCCGTTCAAAAGGCAATAAAGGACAGATGTTTCATTGTTGACTGCAATGTTCTATGTTTACGGTTGCTCCGCTTTTCACCCCTTGGCCCTTTGCCATGGCGCGCAGAGAGCGGCGCGCCAAGCGGATGGCAGATTGGTATGGACTTGCCGTGGAAGGCCTATACCCGGGTTTGACGGCGAATCGAGTCCTTCCGGGCATGTCCAAAAAGTAGTTGTGAGCCATATGGGAGATGATCGAAAACCCAGCGTAAGGAGTTTAATATAAAACAGCCTTTTAGATGTTGTTAAAACCCTCCGCGAAAGCTTCGCGATGAGGTTCGCGAAAGTACATGTTTTTCGCGAAAGATTTATCGAAGGTTCTGGTTTTAATATTGGTTCTCCTTTTATGGCCCACTGGATAAAAAGCTTCTACGTAGAACTTTACTTGGTTTCAGTTTGTTTTGGGATGTCAATGTGTAGTGTAGCGTATGTTTGTGGGATTCCTGTATTATGTGTCATAGATCACAGATGTGTATAGTTGTCAGAGGCATTTGTGCTTGAAGCAATCTAGCCACAGAGATGGCGCCAAATACAGCCAAAGTGCAATCACCTGGCTGAGCCAGTTTGAGCCAATGGGGAAATCATTAATGATTTTTCGCGAAAGATCCGCGAAAGTTTCACGAATGTGCCGATAAAGTTCTGCCTACCAAACTTGACCCCACCCCCATACCCCAACGACCTGGAATAGGGATGTGGGGCTGCTGGTCTGTCAGCTTTGGATGACGGCTGTATCAAAGTGGTGCAGGATTTCTTCTTCCGCCCACCGTATCTCTATATATAAATATACATGACTCTCTGACTCACCCAAAACATGTTAAGTAACCAACCTCTCTTGAGGAACATGCTTCGCGATGAGGTCGCGAAAGATCCGCGAAAGATATCTGCTTTTTCGCGATGAATGGCCATTCCAGGATGAAAGAATATTGATCAAACATCATATGTTGTAGACAAGAAGGTACAGCGGAACATTATATGGCATATTCATACCCAAAGATGCGCCACCGGCATGACAGGTGAGCGCGGCGCTGCGGCAAAGAAGCAGTGTGTTGCGCGAGCCGAAGAGGCCCGGCTCTCATGCTGAGCGTTCAGCTGTGCGCAAGGGTACGGATTGAAATAGGACAGAACAAACTACACAGTGCACATTCTGAGAACAGTTAGCACAGCAACGACGCCACGACATGTGTCATGAGGGAACTTTACGAAATCTTCATGGCTGCAGGTCGCTGAGAAGCTTCCTCCAGGCGGATTACGCCGAAGCGCTCCGCGCCGTTTTTTTCGAATCATGTTTGATTGTCGTGATGCGAGACACTTCGGCTATTAGTGAATGAGTGACACAAACGCATTAGCCGTTGACAAGTTGACACATTGACAAGTGATCTACCAATCACAGATCATCGCCAGGTCGGTTTGCCTATAGGCTGCATTAGGTTTTCCTTGATCCGATTGAATGCGGAAAGCTTGGCACAGGAGCTGCGAAAGGTCTGCAAAATGCAGCACCTTCAGGTGAGGAGTGGGGAGACGGTCGATGACAGGGCCACTACCCATATCAAGAGGTGTTTTCCTCACATAAACACTAAAATCAATTTACTGCTTAGTTCCTTACTTTTCACATACCATGGCATGGCTTCTTCAGTTGTCTCCTGGAAACGAATGGGAAAGTTTCTCGGATCGACTGTCTTTTCGTGGCCCAGGCCCGGAAGGCATTGATCCAATAACCATGGAGCGGCTTCTGTGGGGATCTGAAGTGAAACATAGAGACTGACAGTGAAGCACTTCAAGAAACATACCCTGTGAACTTTAATCCAATTTGATTCTCAGAGATTAGATTTTGGTCGAGGGCAGTCGGTGAGTTGTAATACAGCGTCCATCCAGATGGTCCCCCCTTAATTTCTATGATAGACTTCCATGCAGATGGTCGCCCCTTGAACCAAAAGCAATGTTTCGGTGGATTGTGAACGTCCGCTTTCGATCTTCCCGGTCGGATGGATATGTGGTCGTCACTGAGGAGCCAGGTGCAAAAAGGTGGTCCTTCGGTACAAAACGAAGCGCTCGTCGCAGTGACAGGCCACTGGAACGGCGTAGAGTTATGAAGACACAGATGTAATGATATTTGAGATGTATAGAAGGTATCAGACTTTTCTTTTTTCACATGTTCTCCAGAGAGCTGGTTGAAAGGTTTTGATCAGAATCCTTTTGATGAAGGACTTCTTTTGACAGACTTGGAAGTGCATTGTTTGTTTTGTGTTTTTAACCATCGGATGTTTGCGATGTCCCAGGCCTTCCGCCACAGCATGCGGCAAAGCTCTTGGAGTTTGCCCTTGAGAAGTCCAAGGACACCCGCTTCGTCGAATCGGGGATCTGGCGAGGTGGAGGTGAAGAGTCGAAGCAGAACAGTAAGCTTAGATAAAGGATCTTAGCCAAGTATCATTGTCCTGCGAAGGTCTGCGGAGTGTGAAGAAGAGTAAACACAACAAAAGCAAACAAACTCTTCAAAAGCCATGCAAACTGTCAAAGCATCAACAATATACGTGCTATTCATGCTTATTCTTTTTTGTAAGTCATGGTATGTGGTTGCCCCATCCAGGAGCTACGGGACCCGTCGATGTATATGGTGTCCACGGTGGCAAGGCCAGTGCGTCGTTGGGGAGACAATGCTTTCGTGACCCGTCGGATTGTATTCCGGGTGCAGAAAGGTGAGTCGGGCGACGAAATCCATACTCCGGTGGTGTAGGACGCCGCTCCAAAGAGAAACTAGAACTATGGTGCCGAGCGAACATAGAAACATATGATTTGTTGAGCTTACGAAAGCTGATGCTTCAACAAAAACGTACATAGGTTTGTGCTCTGGCTTGTGTTTTGCGCTTGTTAGTTTCACAATCCATGTGGAGCAGAGTCTGATTCTAGCCACCAAAAAGAACATGTATTGCTTTGCAAGAGTGGCTCTTTCTTTACAGTTTACCTGCGTAGACCATTTACATCCGCACCACCTGGCAGGGGCTTCAAGCCCAGATGGCACGCCAGGGTCTCAGATTTGGCAGAATTGCGGGCAAGTTACGGAGTTGCAGGAACTTTTGTTTAACGCTCAAATCAACATATTTCTGGCGGCCCGACATGGACAAACAATTCAATCAATGCGCCCTGGGCGTTTCAGAGTTGCACGCTGAGGAAATGGTGGAGGCCTCTGTCCCTTCCAAAGGATGGTTCGACGCGTTGCAAAGACGCAAGGATGATTGGCATGCGAAAATGACGGAGACATTCTTTTAACTCTTTCAACCGTATGATCACGTGGCTTTTGGGAGCCTCATTTGTTTTGGCACGAAGCCACTCATGAATTGAATTCACCAAACACTATGTTCATATCTGCGCGGGAATCAATCCGGTTGATGGTTATCGAAAAGATTTTTCAATCGGTACCTTTGTGAGGAAAAGGCGTACAACTTGAGCTGGCGCAAGATCGAAAGCCGCAGCCTGGCTTGAACGCAAAAGCGGCCGTACTCTTTTGAAAAGCGTAACAAGCTTTTGAACGTCATGCCAACCGTTCTAGGCTTCGGGAACCATCAGCCATCAGCGCTTGTATCCAAGGCACAAAGCCAGGAGTGTTCTACTGGGAGAATTTTCACACAGGCCAGAGATCAGTGGACGACGCTTTGGCTGATTCATTAGTTGCAACGCATGCTTCCCAATATACATGTGCAATAATTGAACAATGAAAAACAATGAGAAACCGATCTAAGGACCCGCGACGTCCGGTTTCTCCTTCCCCTGTGCGTGGTGGCATGGGCAAATGAGACCTGTGCGCGCTAGTGAGAAATGTGCCGGTGCTTTTCATCCGCAACGAAATGTTACCAAAAGGTCCCTGCCACACATATATATATATATATGTGTGTAGTATATACATATAGCGAAGGTGCCATATAGCAGTATATGCATGGTAATTCAATACAGCCCGTAAACTTAGAAGGTGCGCAGCAGGACCCCCCCTTCTAAATTTATCTACTGTTTTGAAGTGCCGAAAATGCATGAAAATGCTACCTTCTAAGTTCCGGGCCGTCGCTATATGTATTATATCTAGTGTTAATCCATGGACGAGTCATGAATGGAGCAAATGCATGTAACTCTTCCATACATCGACTTTCTAACAAATGTGTTCGACTCCCACCATTCGACGACGACCCTCCTGGCGCTCCGTTCGCTCCGACAGTCGAGTGCAAAACAGACATGGCTGTGGGTCATTACCCTGGTAGGTTGTAGGTTGACTTCCCAGGTAGGTTCCTTCGGTTCATGTTCTGCGGGAAAAAACCGGATGGCCGGTGACCCACACCCACATGTATATACACGTTCGACTTTCACATCTTGGATGATATTTCAACCCCCCCCCCATAAGTAGTCCCCCCATGTTAGAAGAGGTTTTTACACTAATAGCAAGAAGTTACTAGGTCGGAGGCCATCGCTATTTGGTTGGAGGCCACTACTACTAGTAACAAGAATCTACTAGTAACAAAGTTATTGGAGCTCAAACGTCTACATGACCCATTTCGGTGCGGAGCTTCGACCGCCACGAACGGGTCGGTGCCCTGTCGGCAGGGTCGCTGGTCTTTGAACGCCGAGGCCCTCAACCAACGACATGGCGCTGGTCTTCGAACTGGTGAAAGGGCAGACTCTCCACGCTGCTGGGGCGCTTTCTGAGGGTGGGCAGGTTTGCAACAGCCCGTTGTTTTGAGGAAATACATACACAGTAGGTGGAAAGATGGTCCGAAGGGGAATCCGCGGAAACAGAATGCCCCATCCTTCCACAACTTTGCAGTGACCATGCTCTTTTGAACATGGGAATATGCTAATTGAAAACAGGAGAAACAACATGAATCAACGACAAAATACGTAGATGATCCAAAATACATATGAAATAGGAGTCTAGAGGCTCAGACGTGCAAAACCTCACTGGACCATTTAGACCATTTCCTGTATTCAGTGTGAATGTGTTTGGATGTGTATGCGTTTGTCGCCTCAGTCGCATCCCATTCTCCTCCGGTTCCAGATCTTCGGACCCCAGTCGCACAAACCTTCCTGATCTGATCGTCTTCGTGTTTTGGGCGAGGGCTAAGGGACTGGGCATCCATTGCGTGTTGTTTCATGCACGATGTGAAGAATCCGGGATCCCAATTTCTGGGGATATGGCAGCCTCTCCCTCTCACACGACCCACCCGACGGTCATGGCTTTGTGGTCATGGCAAAGGACTGGCTCAAAGGGCAGCCTCATCCCATTTCCTGCGACGCAGGACCGCGTTTTTTCAGCTCTGCGCTTTCAGCCCTATGGGGACGCGCGCACAGCTTTTCTCATTCTTCACTGTTTGGTTCAAAAAAGGTTTTTTCTTCAATTTTGTCAACATCGTTTATGGATGTTTATTGTGGCTTCTTGCAGGTTTTGCTAAAACTTTGTCACATTCAATTTGCAGGCTAATTGGTCGCAGATCCAGGAACATGTAGGTTTGCTAGCAAACAGGACCCTGTCCTAGCCTCCAGACCACATTGTGTTTTTCCTAATGCTGCTTAGCCGCCAAAAACGCGCAGGAAAGGTCAATATCCTACGTGATATCTCGCTGGCTCTGAGATATATGCATCAACAGGACAAGACTCTGGCAACTTGGATCCAAGTGTCAGGGTACATGATAAATCTCTGAAGTCAGACGGATGCAACAGATGAATCAAACCACCGCTCAGAGATATAAGGATTCGAATGTATTCAGGGCGTTCAGGTTTTCATGCCTTGGACAAATTTGTTTTCGATGCTTGTTGAGCGCAATGGTCATCGGGGAAACCCCATCTACAGCAGTCAAATCATGTCAATCTCCATACCATTGATGGTTCGGGCGCTTGCCCCGTACAAGCGGTGCTGAGCTTGACGGAAGAGAACGCTGAGTAAATCTTCCAATGTGCCCCGGTGAGTCATTGGGTTCATCATGGTTTATGTTAGTTGGGCGTGGGTCCAACAAGCGTTGACGTGAAACCTAGGTGCATGGCGACTTGAAACCTACGAATGTGCGTCTTGGCTTTTAACATCCTTTAACAGCTTGAGATCTGGGACCTATCTCGGCCCGAATGAAACATGAGACCCTGCAAAAGGTGTCGATGTTCACCAACAGGTTTGCATATTTAAAGATAGCCTGAAACAGTTTCTGAACGAATCATCCGTTAAACATTACTTCGCCATCCTGAGCCGAACTGCACCGTGGACCGAAGAGACTTCTGTGTACCACAGCGATTGTTGAAGCAAGTTTTCAGTGTTACTTGCAACTTGATACTTGCAGCGACCAGGTTCGTGGAAGATAACTTAGAGACGCGAGCCAAGTTGGGAGACTTTGGCTTGTCCAGGCTGGGTGGAGCTTGCGTCGACTGGCGGGGGACTGAGGGTAGGGCTTTCAACCTCGACGTCTTCCGGTGGAATGATGTGGAATCGAAAGGTCTTCTACTCACTCATCCCCCAAATCCCCTCCCGGTCCCTATTCTTCTTTTGAGGGGGACATCTACTGGAATGATCCGGAATTGCTTGGCAGTGGAGCTTGGCCGATCAATATACCTGGACCCGACTGACCCAGTACCTTAGAAAATGGGACATGACCCCATAAAAAACAGGTACGACTGTACCCATTTTCCAAGGTACGAACTGAGACTCCAGGTATAGCCAATTTATGGTTTTTCGAAGAACCATCAAACATGTCCACCCACTGTCGCGGGCACCCGTCCCCACAGCAAGGGGGTCACCACACATCGTTTCTCATGGCCATCGCACGTCGTGTTCGTCTTCTTTCACCCTATGGCGCCCCGAAGGCCCCGAAGGCGCCTGCCTTTCCAACGTTGGGGCGTCGAGTTTCGACCCAAGTTACGGCGACCCAATTTGGCAGTGTTTGTTGGGCGGATCACTGGGCGGATGTGTGCTGTTTTCGGGAGATGTCTCTGTTTTCGCCTCTTCCCCAAGCTACTGAAGGTACCCCCTTCTTTTCGTGCAACCAGAGGACCGAGGCGACCGAGGCCGAGGTTTTTCGCGACGGTCTGACCATGGTCCACGGGTCACCTGGGAGGTTTCTCTACAAGACAGAGCAAGCCATGGGTGGATCCCTTCGCTGGATGGCTCCGGAGATTGCCACCGGCCACGATCGGTCGCCGTCCCTTGGGCGCAGACGGCCACGGGCCACGGTGACGGCGCCTTCGGTCGCGGGACTCGGTGTTTGGACGGGACGGGACGTGTGCGGTGACCTCGGTGCCAGACGATCGGAGGGGACTGGAGGAAGCGGCTCATGAAGCGCATCACTTTGGAGGATGAAGGAGGATGAAGAATGTGCTTCATGACGGAAGATTCTAGATGTGTTATTTGTATGTCTTTGTTGTTGCACTGCGACGACTGTAAGCCGGGATTGAATTCCAACTCCTATACTAACCTGCATCTAACCTGCTATGATCCAACAAAAACATATAGTAGGATCATGAATTCCAACTCCAACATCCCAAGAACATGCCTTTGCGGTTCAGATGGGGATGGACTGAGGTCTTGTGCTGCCGACGTCTTTTCTTTGGGTGCACTCCTCAGCGACTGGGCCCAACTGCCCCCAAGGTCGGTGATGGAGAGAGACCTGGTCAACGACCCGAGGTAGGGGATTTGGACCGCTTTTGAAGGCAAAAAAGAAGAGTTAATGGACGGGAGGAAGGGTTTCCCCACTTGTATTTTTTCCCTGATAAAGCTCCCCTGTGGGGGTGGTAGCTAGAGGGAAGTGATAAAGGAAGAGTTGGGAAGATAAGGTCGAGCCGCCAGGTTGAGAGATCCTGAAAGGAAGGAACCCAAAAAGACCCTCACGAACTGCAGCAACTCGCGCTCGCTTTTCAAAGCGGCGGGACAGAGCAACCGAGCACTTTGCTTCAGTTTCGTGATGAGCAGGGGATTGCCGATTTTCCTTTTGAAGATGAACACATGAGCTGATGCAGCTGAGGCTTTACTCTAACTGCCACTTGCCAGCAACGAGTGTTCGGCGCGGCTCCCGTGGATTTTTGGAAGGCGTTTTGCCGCCCTCAGCTGTCTACCCAAGAACAAACAAGCATCAGGATGTTGGCACAATCCTTGTGTGGGAGGGCCACTGGGATTCTCCATGAGACGACGGTTTTTCCTGCCCTCTTCTTTAGTTGTGCAACTACAGTCCATTGCTAGCAGGATGTCTTTGTAACGGTCTGCACGATGATTTCTTGGCGGTTTGGCTTGGCATTCAATTGGTTTGTTTCAGGATACTGGACAATATTATGTAATTTCCAATTCACGTGGTTGTTACATGCAGTTAAGTATGTTGCGTGTTCATTTTGAACAGACTAGAGTTCATCCTTCATGAATCGAAGCTAGTTCCTTTAATGAACAGCTTCATATGTTGACCATCTTTTGAATCCCAAAACCATCCTCTTCTTCACATGGAGCAGCTATTTCTCTTTTCGAACCATTCGTTTTCGGGGCATCGCCGAGGATGTGAAGCCCTTCGAGGGCGTGGATCGGAATCAGATCTTGAAGATGATGTGTCGAGGATCAGTACCTGCGCTAACCTGGCCGAGCACGGAGGAGGATGCCACTGGGCAGCCCAGCGCGGGGTGGGTTAGCACAAAAGGCCGCATGCCACCGGTGTTGGTGACCGGGCGAACGGTTTGGTCACCGGTTTTGGACGTGAAAGGCCAAGACTCCCGTCGGAAACAGAGGGAGATGTGAACGATACTCTCCCGCTCTTATGTGTGTTTGGAGTTCCACGTATATCCACGTACTGTATAAAGGCCTTTTTTGTTCTCCACTTCCACATATATGTGTGGTGGCTTTTCTCCCCAACTTTGGTTATCCAGTGGTATTTCTGGGAAGAAGCCTTTGACTTGTCAACGCTTTGATTTGTTTGTACCAAATCGGAGGTTGACAAGTTGAAAATCTGATAGAATCTGATAGAGGGTCAACGCTTTGTGGTGCCAACCAGACTCCCAGCCAACATTCCAGCGGATCGCTCCCAGGAATGTGTTTTGCGGATCGCTCTCTTGGGCGACTCCTGCTACAGCATGAACCCGGTGAAGAGGCAGGCTGTGTTGCCCGGGTTGGCTTGATTTCTTATGCCAGGATGGGCATCCCATCCTTTCGTATTCATGTTCGAAAGGCCAAACACATGCGTGGAAAAGCATGAAGTTTGTGTTCAAGAACTAGACAGTTGAACTTCTGGCAACTGCAGGGTCTGGAACAGGACCCCCCCACGACCAAAAATAAGTGAACATCAAGGGTTTTGATGCACTTTTTGATGCGATGAAGAGAAACCAACATGTTGGATGAAAGCACTCCGACTGGCTTTGCTCACTTCGACTGGCTTTGTTCTGCGTTTGTTTCGACTGGCTTTACTCTGATGAGTTCCATACGAGTCGCAAGGCCCGACATCATGCAAGCCACGTCCTCAGGGCCGGGACGGGACACGAGGAGGGAAAAGCGAGCGCTGGCTGTTCCACGCCTGCTGGGGTGTTCGGCAGGGGTCTCTGGACTCTTTGCCACCGCTGTCTTTGACCCGACCCAGTGGTCCCTGTGTGTGTGTGTTTGTACATGTTTTTGGACCTGTCTCCCAGCTCAAGGGCCTTCACGCCGGGTTCTCCAAAACACGGGGGGCTCTCTTCCATCTCGCGGACGGATGTCCGGACTGTCCGGCCCAACGGAATCCCCCCGTTGGGGTTTTTGGGGGTTCGTTGCTGAGGTGTTGGAGGTGCTTGAAATGCGACTCGGCCGAACCGCTGCGCGACGACCCGATTCGTCGGACGACCAACGCTTTGAACTGAAACGGTCGCTGCGACGGAAGGATGAAATTCAATGAACATCAATGAACCCTGTTTAGGAGGGTGACATCAAGAACCCTAGCCAGATCCAACGATCTTGTGGTCCATGAAGTCGACGAATGATAGGGGCGTTCGCAGCACGAGGTGGTTCGTTCGCAACACGAGGCGTTTCGCAGCACTGCACGAACTGATGTGGATCCTCTACAATTCACCTTCAACCAGCATTTGTTTTTATGCGAGGTTGCATTTCGGGTGGTGAACGAACTGTAGAGGCATGGGCTTAGGTATGACCATAATAAGATCCTTTAAGCTGGTTGAGACGCTACTAAAGTACGAATTGCTTTCGCCATTGTTTAGAGAACAGGCGGCCACGAAATCATCGTCAAATTCCAAACAATAGCAGGTGAGCTTTGCCCAAAGCACATCATACGAGTCTCTACAGGTGATTACGTCTTTACAGGTGATTAGGTCTTTACAGGTGATCATTGCAGACACAACGCTGCGTATGTTCTGGCCGCCAGGGTAGACTGCTAATGCGTTCGCACTGAGAAGATGTACATCATTTGGGTTCCAGGTCTTCATCAGTTGGTCGAGTGCAACTACAGTTTCTTGTAGCTCCACCAGAAAGCACCCCGCTTCATCCCGCATTCACCATGCTTCGCCATGCTTCGGAATTCGCTCAGGTGCCGCGGACTGGGTGCTGAAGTGGAAGGTCCGGCAATGTGTGGGGGGGGGCTGGGGCGATATGTTGTAAGACGGGAGGAGAGGCTTGGCATCCTATATATATGAAATGAACAGCTCAAAGCGAAGGTTGATGGATGAAATCAAATTCGTCTTCCCAGGCATCTCTAGCAGTTTCCATCGAGATTTTCCCTGAGGGTAGGTGTTAACACTTTAAATGAACAGCATATTATATTCCTCATGTCATCTTCTGTGTTGCAAACTTCTCTCGATCCGAGGTCCACTGCTTGTGTAGACGCAGACGTCCTGATCCTCATGGATGGTGCGAGCAGCGCAGGGAAGGAACATTGATCCCAAAGAGGGGCCTTCGATGAAACTGGCTTCTGATAGTGACATGTTTTGGAGTCTTGGGATTGGGATGTCCAATCTACATATCAGGAATTTTCACACATTTTGTTTTTTGTGAAGACATGTGAAGACCATCTTTGCGTGGGTTGAAATAAACTATTACTTTCGAATGATTTCTCTATATACACTCGATTGTGGTCCCAATGGCTGAGCCAGATGGCTCATTCTGGCCACACGTCGATGTTCCTGGTGGAGATTTGAGAAAACCTCAAGTCTATCTTTGGCTTCCACTCAGACCGTTTTCGTGAATTTCCATGAATCTCCTGAACCTTTTTTTTGAAGCGGATCAAGAGATCTTAGACCTTCGGATCTGACCCTGCGGTCTTGGAATGCCAGGGTTTTTCGTGGCCTCACGGATTGACGCGAGATGTTCACAGCAACCGCCTCCACCGGACATCCAAGACATCTCCGCACCCAATCGGCTCGGATTTTCTCACCACGTGAACCGCCGTGACCGCCACTTTTTGGAGAAGACATGGGCCTGGTTCCATGAAGCCGTGGGACCAGTCCAGTCCAGTCATGTCCCATCAGTTGGGAGCGAGCCCGAACCGTGGAAAGGTCCACGGTGTGTTGGGCGCCATTTTTTTCCGGTTTCACCCGCGGAAGAAGCCCCACGTCCCAGCAAACGTAGCCGCCGTCCGTGTTCTAAGACGACCGTCCCGAAGACCGCAACACCAAGCGAAAGACGACGGTATTTGGACCGTGTGTTCGTATAGGCCTATTGTCACAATCGAGAGAAACACTGCCGTTGATGGTCAGGTATCTCAGCCAAAGTGTTGATCCATCGAAGAATTGGGAGTCTTTGAGGGGGTTCGATGAGACGAAAGGAGGAGGTCTCAAAGAGCCCTCCGTGTGAATCTCATGTTCCGCGAAGAGCCCGACGCGTCGGGCGCCTTGGCGGGAAGTTCGAATGAAAAGGTCGCCTGTAGTTGTTGGCGGTGCCGAAAGGAAGAGCCTTCTTTCAATTCTGTCCCGACTTGGATGCCTTTCTGCCTTCTGGGTCTTTGCGCGAGGGGCTTATGACACGGTGGTTGGTAAATCCGCTCACGCAATTGATAATTACGTATCCACGCAGCCCTGGTCAGTAATGCATTTGCTGACTCAATCACCATGATGTTGGGCAGGAGGTTGTAACTAAGACTGGGGGCAGAACATGCTTTGGAGCTAGCTCATGGGGTGCAGATCAATGTTCAATCTCAGACCTATGTTGTTCCAACATGTTCAAACTGCGAACCAAGCTACATTTAGGGTTTTCTGGGGGACCCATCCCTGAATTTCAAAGATGCAATTGTTTGGTGGTGTCATTTACAAGGCAACATGACGGACCGGTCCGCTTCTTCGGTTCCTCACATCACCCTCCACCCCAGTGACCGGTCGAACCGGTTCGGAAACGGACGGAGACGTCCGAGCCGGAGAGGGAAGGTACGCTGAAGGGTCCAGCGTTTGGTGCGTTTTGCCCGGAGATTGGGATGAGTTGGGCCAAGAATGTCCACCGATATTTGTTTGCGGCCTCTCCATGAGTCCAGATCGGGTTTTTGGTTTGTTGGACCGGTTGACTTCGGGGGTCTGGGGAGATGGTTAGGGGCCCCAAACCCGTCTGGTGAATAGTTTGTGTTTTTCCCAGCTCCTCAAGTCAAGCAAATCAAGCAGTCGGGGGGCTTGACCCTTGGAATTGGTTCCGGTGGCCACGCTTTGCCGCTTCCTGTCACCTGGAAGAGGCCGCCCGCATCGTGGACGAAATCTCCTCCCAAATCCAGGAGGCTTTAGAACATGCGCTGCAGCGGTACAGGTGTGAGTTTACCAGGTGGTCATAGTTCTTTGACAAGCACAAAGAAAACTACACAGGTTTGCCATTCCTTCAGCAATTCTTCCTTGAGCCGTTCTCTCTCTCTTTTTTTTTGCACAGATGGTTGATTTGCAGTGCTTTGCAGTCGTGCAAGGGCAAGTAGGAGGCCTCAAAGACTCAGAAGAAGTCACACATCTTTTGTGGTTTCCCAGTCTTGTCCTTTATTGACATGGTCCAACGTGTGAACAGGTTCGTCCGTTTGGAGCCCTCATCAATAAGCCCAAGATCAAGTGTATATCGGACTCCGCACGTGTCTTTGACTCCACATGTCTCCACTGGACCCAGATCCCACCAGTCGCTAGGTCCTGGCTGCCACCCGCACAGCTTCCAAGAAGGCCACGGTCGACGGCTCGGTACACACCGGCTCGGTGGGGATTCCGGAGAGGTGAGCGAAACCATGAGCCAAATGTGTTGGATTTGGTCCACCTGGGTGACCCGGAAGGGTGAAGCATGTCATGATTGGCGACCTGGGGCTGATGGGGATGATGGGAAAAGTGGTACCATCCCAGACTATCCCAATATAAGTACCCTCCAGATCAACATGGACCCTGATAACCACTGGGTCCGAGAGGTGTTAGAGGAGCATAGTCTTCCAAAGGTCCATGTTCACAATCCATGTTAATCTTCCCAGGTGTATTGTATATTGTGTGTTTCCCATGACCTGTGACAGTCAATAGAAGAGTATCACTCTTTTTGAGAAAGGCCTGCAACTGAACCAGCATCATCCACTGTTACAGGGAATGGGATACACCCACATTATAGGATATTACATACACATATATATATATATATTATACATAATTATAGATGATATAGAACATCTTAGAACCATCCTGGAGTACATCAAATATGAACCAATCTGAAACAAGATGACTATTGATGTTGCGATTTTCAAGCTGACCTGTTGTCCCAAAGACCTCGTTTTTCTTTCGTTGGATCAGAAACGCATGAGATCCCTGTGCTTGCACCTCTCTTCCTTTTTTTGTGACACAGAATTGGTCGTTTGGGAATCTACAGAAGGGTTGGCTGGATGCGTTTTTTCCAGATGCTGCACATATATAGAGGGTGGTTTTTTCCAAACCAACTGCAGGTGAGCCCTCGTTTGAGGGTACTGTAACGTTGCTTTCGGCGACGACCCAGCTTTGCCAGGAAAAGGCGGCATTGCTCGCGCAGAAGAGAGATCTGGACCGGGGCGGGAAGTACTGCATGTACCAAGTGATATCCTTTCCACGACGTCTTTGCCTTGTTTTTTGCCGCAAAACCTACGTTTTCCTTGTTTTTGCTCGGAGCTGGGCCCGCTCTTGGAGGAGAGCTCGCCGGAGTACATCGATGCTTTGGCCTATTTGGAGGACTTCATGGGCTTCGGGCTGACCTGTGTGGATCGACAGCGATGGATCGTGCCCGGTGGCCCCAGGGTATGACAGGTCTGAGCGGGCAGACTCAGATTTGTGGTTTGTGTTCTTGGGAGCGATGTCCCCTCCTACCAACTGTCATAGTCCACGTTTTTCAGTTGAAGGAAGGAAGGAAGGAACAGCAATGTCTAGAGTCTAAAGGTATGTAAAGGTCCAAACAAGAGAAAGGACGATGGAAACCCCAAGTCTTGCCCATCTTCCTCAGCCCTGCCAGGACCCCGACGGCGAGCGGCGAAGGCGGCAGGAGGCCGATGCCGAGGTGAGGTGGACCGCCGGGGGATCAGGGTCGTACGGTCAAAATACCTGTCACATGTACAACAGTTGAAGACATATAATGTATATATATAAACATAACTATATATATACTTATAAAATACCCTCAACTACTAGGGAATGGAATGGGTGACACTCCAGGGTCTGACAGGCCAAGGTCTCATATACTCCATGTACTCATTGCAGACCTTTTTTCACTAGGTATAGTAGACCTCAGAAGTTAGCTTGAAATATGGTTAATGTAAAACTATGCTGCGCTTTCAGAGAGCTGGTTTTGGAATCATCAAAAACTTGATGGAAGTTAAACAGGAGCGGTTATGGGAGTTCGTGAAGCAAAGTCTTAGAATCTGAAAACACCGTGCCGAGACAAGTCGTCACAATTCGTGAGTTTTTGTGATCTGGACGAGTTTAAGTTCCATTCTTCGGATCAATGACGGATCCTCAAAAGCCAGAGCTGCCAACAGCGCCCGCAGTCTGTGAGCCCTGGCTTCGTCAGATTGCGCCAGACTGGGTGCTTTTTGAATGCATGTGAAATGATGCCATCCGAAGCCTTGTGCGTATTTATTCAAAATTCACACTGAAACAAAATCTGGAGAAGATTGTCATCCGCCCATATGGGACTCCACTTTGAAGCCCTATCGAAGCAGCTTGCCCTTAAATGTTGTTCAATACAGGTCATTGATGCAAAAATGATTGGCTGAAAGTCCGCGCGCTAAGGCAAGTGTGCAGCGATGACAATCCATTCAGTGTCAGGCAAACCACGAGAGAGTGCGCATGAAACTTTTTCGCAGCTCTGACTCAATATGTTGATGGAAGCCCCTCTTTCAAGGGAAACGGTCTGAAATAGATACCCTTTTGCAAATTCAGCTGTTGAACTCATTAAACACCCGTCAATTTCATTCTAGACCCTTGGATGCTTGAATGAAGTACATGCTTTAACTCGTCCAAGCAGATGCAGAACATGGCTCGATTCTTGCGTATTCTTCTTGGATCTTGATGATTCTTGCGTCCAAGCTCCAAAGTGCACATGGCCTCGCATTTTGTAGCGGTGCCAGCGCCCAAGCTAAGGAATCCTCCTTCAATGGCGCAAATGAACATTTCAATCACAGAAAAGCCATTGTAGATTCTAGATCCCATGGCCAAACAAGGCTGGACAGCGTGAGGCGGATGCGATTCAAAGGGCCTGTGAAAAGACAGTTGGGAAGCCCAAGGTTCTCACATACGTTCTAGTGGTCTAACTACAAGATCCTCATCCCAAACCGTTTTCTGTCACATGCCTTCATCAAGAAAAACAATGTTTGAGCTTCTGTGGCCACAAGGAAACTTAAATCAAAAATGTCAGAGAGAAGAATTCGTGACAAACAGCATCCTAAAAAATATCAACATACAAGAAGAATACACAAGAATCGAACCATGTTCTGCATCTGTTTGGACGAGTTAAAGCATGTACTTCATTCAAGCGTCCAAGGGTCTAGAATGAAATTGACGGGTGTTTAATGAATTCAACAGTTGAGTTTGCAAAGGGTATCTATTTCCGACCCTTTCCCTTGAAAGAGGGGCTTCCATCAACATATTGAATCAGAGCTGCGAAAAAGTTTCATGCGCACTCTTTCGTGGTTTGCCTGACACTGAATGGATTGTCACTGCTTCACATTTGCCGTAGCGTGGAACTTTCAGCCAATCTTGTTTTAATCACAGTGACATTTTGTAGAGTTAAACCTGTGTTCAGGTATGATCAAAACAAATCATTGTACTGTTATCGAAAAAGGTGAAGGTCAAGGACCTCATTTTGTAAAGAGGAAACATCATGGAACATGAGGGGTCAGGGATCACTTCTTGTATTCATTTGAGCGTTTTGTTTCTGATTGATGTCAGCTAACCAAAAAGACCGAACAAAATAGATAAAATCATTGAGCATCTGATACAGCAAGCTTGTTCCTTCAATGTGCGCACCTCCAACAGTTTGGTTGACAACATGGTTATGACCAATAGTTTTCTCTACAAAATGGTAGCCTTGGGCCTGTGAAGCAACATTTACACGATTGAGTCATACTGAGTCTGAACTTGAAGCCTCATCTTGTTTGCCCAGGGACTGTAGATGACCGTGGATAACCATTGTTTTTTCTGGACACCTTCTCCTTCATGTGATGTTTTCCTCACAAAACTCTTCATGCTCATGTTGTAAGGACAAGCGTTGGTCATGTCCATTGTGTAAACAAACGTTTGAATGAGGGCACATGAAAGAGTCTGTGCCAATTAAACCTCATCCATCCTCACTCCAGCTTTGCTGAGTTGCTCGATGCAGCTTGGTCTCCTCACGGTAAAGCTGGCACCAATGACGAGTCTATGAAAAGTTGATCCCTAAAAAGGCGACGCGTAAGTTCGGTCAATTTATGGTGGAAACAGCGGATGCATGCGCACGCTGTCTCACTACAAAGCGCTTCCAGAAGATCAATTTTTTTCTGTCAAATCATGTCAGTAAAAAGTACCTGATATCAATTTGTAGAGAGGTCACTTTGTACAAGCCCACTCTGGCACATGCAATTTTGTAGATGGCGAAGCAGCTTTTGGTAGACTCCAACCTGGTCCCCTTACAAACTGTTCCTCCCAACCTCTCCCCCCTTTATTTGACGGGGATGAAAAACGTTTAGAGGCAAGCTGCTTTGATAGAGCTTCGTAGTGGAGTCCCATATGGGCGGATGACAATTTTCTCCACATGTTGCAGCGTGAATTTTGCAAGGAATAGCGCACAAGGTTTCGGATGGCATCAGTTCACACGCGTTCAAAATTTTTCCAATCTCGGGCCTTGATGGCGCCCGTCATTGATCCAAAAGCTTTGTACCAAAACGGCTTCGTAGAGCTGAGCTTGTGCAGATCATTGTTTCTGGTCAGACTCCGCATGAACCTGCCCATGTGCTTGTTTTTTCCCTGTCAAAAGACAGAGAAAAAACAACAGTTTGTGGGGAGAAAAGATGGGTGCTGAGATGGCATTCTAGGAGAGGGTCTTTCATAATACTCCCATTTTGGGAATCCTACCATTACAGACCCCTCCTGGAGTTCTCCAAAGGGGTAAGTCTGACACAATTACACATTTTGAAGCCAAGGCCTAGGGTATACCATGCTAGACCCCAAGTGCTGGGGTGTAACCACGGAGGGCCCAGCAAGTAGTTGAGGGTATGATAATGATATATATATATATATACTTTTTTGCGATGTGATATGTCTAATTTCGGAACATGACAGCGCTCTCATCGAATCATTGAATCCAGCACTTTAGTTAAGATGTTAATCGAACTAGATCCAATTCAGTCATTAGTTAGTTGTCAGATGTTCATTGAAATCGGGCGTCCCATTGTGTTTAAAACCCGGCTACCCCATATCTAACTCCTGTCATTGTGCAGCTCAAAAACAAAACATATAGTTAAATGTTGCAAGTCGTTCGACTATTTAATTGGGCTTGGTTACTTTGTAGTCGACTATCTAGACAATTAAAGAGTTCGCTTTGTGGCTCTTCAAATGGAAATTCGTTCATTTTCTATAGTGCAACTAAGCAACTACATAGACATTTAAAGCAATATAAAGTAATGCACTAAATGGTTTCAACTTGTAGTATCTAATCGTTTCCGCACTAGAGAATAGAACCGATGCTTTGCTGTTCCCTTTCCTCTTAGATCCTAAGTCAACAAGAAAATCATGAAGGCCATCAAACCATCAACCACAGTGTTTGTGCTACTTGTTGGATCCAATTCTTTAAGATTTTTCAGTATTTGAGCCTCAAGTAGTCAAATCCAATAACACAAACAATCAATAAGTCTTAATTGGTTTGGTCTGTTTAATCGGAAAGCCTTGAGCTAGTCAATGCTTTATATAATTGGAGTTTGTTTGGAAGTGTGTGTGTTCGGGTTGCCGGTCGCCTATTCATCAATGGCCACCCTAGAGTGGTGCTTGGAAAGGTGTCTTGGTCGGCTAGCAGTTGCATCAACATGTACAGGTTCAATTCTCCTTGTGGGCGTGGCAGGTTGGGCACAAAAATGCTGTCGGACATAGGGGTTTTGCTAGCGACACGGTTTGTGTGTTCATTGCTGCTTTGCCTTCTCGATCCTCAACAAATTGCAGCTTTCTTGTTGGGGCAGTCTAATCGGCGCGGAAGATAGGCACTTTCTATGTTAAGCTTCGCTCAAACTTTTGCCACACGCAGACACCGTTCAAAAAGGATACGCCTGCCTGCCATGTACGACGCAGACATCGCCAAAGAGAAACGGAACTACCATATTGACGTGACAGACGGCTGTGACAAATTTCAGCCTCCTCACCATATATTGAGGTGCGTGGCTTCTATTGCCCTTGCTTGATCATTGGTCATCTTCGCATCAAACATCAGAAATCATGTTTCCTCAAATTACCAGTGAATCTTCCGGCCACTGACCCTGCAAAGATCTAAAGCTGGTGTTACCTTGATGGCAGCATCCTTCCAGTCCACATTAGAATCCAAGCGAAGCTTTCTCCTTCTCCCCGCTTTGCGAGGGCCCGCCTCGACCACCCCTTGCTCTGGTGTGGGGATCGCAAGCAGCGCCCGGTTTGATGGTGGTTCAAACAACGCTCTCAACAGCCACATCTGGGGCGATGGTTGGACACCGTGCAAGGACGCAAATGGACGCAACTCGCCGCCAACAAAAGCTCGCAAAGGTATTTCGAGAAACCACTAAAATGAGATGTTCTGCCCCCATCTAATTTGTGTGGGGTTTCTTTCTGCTTCCCACCGCAACTTTGTTGACGTGCAGCCTCTTGCTTGCCTCCAACACCTGGTCGCCCTAGGTTTCGCGTATTCAATCTGGGAAGGCTTCAGTGCCATTTAAAACGACGACCCCATGTCATCCAAGGCCACCATCACCCACAAGAATCCGGGGTTGTGGGATTGCGGATGACCCACCAAATGGCAGTGGGGTCAAAACCTGGACCCCTACATAATCCCTGGTAGCTTGACCTGGCTGGTAGTCCATTCTGTTCATTGTTGGTCGGAAAGCCAAGGTCCCTCGGTTTGGACCTTAAATCTGTCATCCGCTACCGATCGATTTGGCTCTTGGAGGCCTCCACCGTGGTGGAGGAGGTTGCCACACAGATCGCCGAGGCACAGATCGCTGCTTTGGCCCGGACAGTCGTGGCTCTCACTTATGCGTGAATCCACCGGTGGACCGATCACCACTGAGTTTGGCAAGACAAACTGCAAACCGCCCGTTGCCCGCCGAGGGTCTTCGTGTGTGGGCTTCGGGAGCAGGATCGGTCGTTCGAATCCAACATGTGCAAATATCAATGTGAGAAGATTGCCCCCTTTTTTAAGGCGAACAAACGTAGCCGGAGATGACGGAGAGGGCACCAGTTCGGCGTTTTTTCTTTGCAGGTCTTAGCCCGTCTCCGGAGTGCCACGAAGAAGGCCCGTGCAGTGTGAGAAAACATTGCAGACGTCGAAGTTGTTTCCATCCACTTTTGTCAAACAATTGAACTGGTGTTTGCACTGTCACCTTTTGACTTGCTTTACATCGCAAGTTCCCTTGAAAAGCACCGTGCTCTCACCATGCAGATCCTGTAAAAAGTGGTTGTTCCCCGCCCCCGGAATCCTGGTTTTCCACCTCGCGCAACGCGAAACGTGCCAGGACAAACCAGGCCTCCTCGCGCACAAGCGCGAGCTGGTGCGGATCTCAGGGGTTCGGGTCCCTTGGTTCTCCATGGTCCCCCGGGTCCTTTGTTCCTTCATTCCTATGACATGTTTCTTCAGGTTAACACAAGAAAAGGACTGGTTTAATCTGTTCTATATATACATTTATTGTTCCATTTGCGGAATCAAATGTTCCAAAGAGCGGGCCCCCAAGTAAATGATATATTTCAGTTCTAGTTGGGAATCATCATTTCGACGACCCGCCATATATATACATATAGGCATGTGATGGCATGTATATAATAGTGTCAATATATGTATGTATATGAACATTTATACCCTATGCAGAGCATGTATGTCAGTGTGATTGCATATGGTGCTGATTGGCGTCGTAGTGCGATCCACAATGTTCTGTTACTCTTTAGCCAGCTGACTTAATCACCACAGTGGTTGGGAACTACACTTCGTAGTTAATCTTATCACAAGGGGAGAAACTCCCGGGTTTAGGGTTTAGGTGGTCGTGGCATTCTCTCAGCGGCATTCTCCGGTTGGCCTCAGGAGAACCTCCCAAAATACGTGAATGCCCTCCGATACTTGGAGGACCGCGTGACCGTTGGAGGATCCCAAGACGTTCGAGACGTTGCAGGGCTGGTCGTGTGGTGATTTCTGGGATCTTGGGACGAGAATCGAGAAGAAGTGATTGTTCCAACTCATGTTGGAACACCCGAAGAGTATATGTTTATCATGGTTGATCCATGAAAAGAGCACGAGGCTCTGACAAACATGAGATGACAAGGAGGGCTCCGGAATCCCAGCCTTATGGCATCTCAGTGAGTCGGCTCCCATGTGGAAAATGGATGGAACATGAATGAAAAGGATCACCTTTAGAAGCTTGAGACTGTCTACCTACCTACCCTGTTTTTACCTTGAAGTTCCGTGAGGTTCTCTTGAATCAACAGGTAGACTGGGTAGACTTACTTAGACCTGAAAAACCACATGGTTTGGCAAGGAAAAGAGCTGAAAACAAGATAAAACAAGTTGGCGGGTCTTCACTGCATTGAGACCTTTCCAAATGAGTGTTCTTCACGTGGCACACCCCACCCTATCCGAAAAACAGTATGATGCAATCCTTTGGTTTGGGTATTTCTTGCACTGCCCAAGTGTTTGAAACGCATGCAACAAATGCATGGGACTTCAATCTCTTTTCTTTGTCCATGGGACTTCTCTCACGAAAATCACACGAAAAGGATCGTCAGACTCTGACCTTCAAAGCTATACAGCTGCCCACCCAGAAGCTGCTACTTGATGTGAGAATCCATCCATCCATATTCCCATTGAAGATGGGATCCTCAGCCTTTATGGAGTTTCCCAAGATCTGACAGGACCCGGTGCAGGAGAGACAACGCAAGAGGCATTCGTCACGCCTCGCAACTGACTCGTGACTCGAGATCCGCCGGGGTCGGTGGCGACGGTTACGAGACGGAGGAAGGAGAGGATTCAGATGGATTCAGGATCAGTGGGTGGGCGAAGATGGAGATGTTGGGTTTGACTCTTGATTCTGGGTGAACAGCTTCGTGATTTTAAGATATTTTAAGACTTATACTAGTGTCATGCAGTTTATTTATGTATTGGATGAATCTTCCCTTGGTGCCACTGGATGGGCTTTCACAGGCTGGACCGATGTGGTGGCCTCTTCCGGTCGGTGCGTCTGCCGGTCTGTGCCAGGCAAGAAGAGCCCACTGAGTAGTTTGATGTAGGCATAGGATGGAGCTTCTCCACATCACGGTTCTCTTCTGCCGCGGCGGCAGACGAGGAGCACCGCGCCACCACACGAAAAAACACAGCACGAAGAGAAGCGGCTGACAGGGGCAACGCTTTTGTAATATGCAGGAATCGAAGGACAACAATATTTTCAGACGCATGTGTTGAGTGGGGAATTGTCGCGAACGAGCATGTGTTGTTAGATTCTTAGATGCTATGGCTATGCAACATGCAGATGAGCTGGATGCTTATGGAAAGATCTGTTCCTTCCACCGCCAAGCAGCGCCTCTCAGCGCATCACCCTCATTCTATCCCATTCTGGAAGAAGGCAGCACGCGGCAGCAGAGAACCCAGTTTTCAAGCCACTTTTCGAGGAAGGCGACTCCGCCACCGAAGCAGTGGGCCGAACTAGTCACCCGAACATGACCAGCTAGGGGGCCCCATCCGTTGAAGGGTTCTTTTTCTTAGTCAGGTGCTCAAAGTCAGCAATGGCCCAGTCAGGTTGGGCGGCCCCACTGAAATCGTTGATTTTTGGGCCCACCAACGATTCTTCATCGGTTGCATGGCACGACCACGGCGAAAAAACGATTTTCTCGATCCTTCCTCACGAAGAAGTGCCGCGCCGGGTGCGCGGAAGAACACGCACGCACTGCCAGTGCCAGAAGTTGTTGGTGCAGCTGCAACTTCGACCCGATGAGTTGGTGAATCTGGTGGAAAAGACTGGGCTGACCTGGCCTGCGAAATCTGGCGAACCAGTTGCAAGAAGGACAGGTAACATGACCAACTGAGTGTTGAATTGTTTGAGAGGTGCGTACTTAGTAGCCAGAAGTTCAGAATGAGAGAGGAAGCACTCTTGAGTCAAAAGAGTTGCCCGGAAAGGATGCTTTTCAAGGACCAGAAAAGAATGTTTGGAAGGGTCTCCTCTTTAGGAAATTGACCCGAATCGAGAGAGGAGACCAGCATGAAGACCTGTTGCATGAGACAACTTCTGGATGTGCTTTGCGGGTGCATGGAGATTGAGCAAAGATTACTAGCAATGGCCTCCAACCTAAAAGCGATGGCCTCCAACCTACCTGCAATTGTTTCATCCTTTGGCTCAGCACGTGTTCTTCCTTCCCAGTGACCATCGGGGAAGGATCCGTGTTCACCTGATATTGCCCGTGTCTTAGTGCAGAGAGCGACAGCTGATATGACTTGGACCACCAGGCGACGCTTGTGCTTCTTGTTTTGCTTACCTCGGTCACTAGAATCACCTCTAAGGCTTTCCAAGAATCGCATATCTCGGAAGAGAGGCCATAGCCGTTAGATGCTTTAGCTTCCATGTCAGTTTTGGGGTCTCCCTGCAACCTCCTCCAACCTCCGACCTCCAACGCGACACCTTTTTTCGCTGCGGCTCAGGGACCAATGACAATCCAAAGTTCCGAACTCAGACGAGGGAAAAGCCCCGGATCCAAAGACTGGACTGGTGCGACTCGCAGGGAATGAGGGTGGCTGGATCCAATAGAATCTCTATTGGGGGCGAAACTTCCCTTATTCCCTACGAGTCGCACCAGTCAGAAGAGTTCACTATGTTCCCACACAGCGAAAGGTGCAGCTGAAAACGGTGGTGTGGGCGGTGTGCTCGCTGTGGAAACCCAAACCTTTGCCGAGAGACCTTGCAGTGCATGGCACCGTTTGAAGGTGGAACATGAAGGTGGAACTGGTGGGCAAACAAGTTCTTCCTGCACCGAAAACAGAAGAAAACCATCAGAAAACCATAAGCTCCAAGGTTTAAACCATAAGAAAACCATGAGAAAACCATCCCAAAGATCGAGTTCGAAAGCTCCAAGGTTCCGAAAACCGGTTCCGAACCAGCTCCATCGACCGAGGTGAGGGCCGACCCTGGAACCTCGCACTGTGCCACTTGGAGGGGACGGATGGTGTGTGTGTGTTTTTTCCGAATGGAGAGGAAGCGATCTATGGAATGGAAATGGAATGGAATCACATTCACATATTTGTCCTCAATTTCGAGATGATGATGACCTTCCCCAGCAACTTGTGTCCCAAGCAGTACCCTAACCTGAGCTGCTTTGGATCACAAGCCACTGGCTCTCACAGCGTCCCATTTCGAGCCTTCTCCATGTTTTGTCAGTCGAGTTGTCATGCACCGGCATTGTTGTGTGGGAAGAGATTGCATCCTCACACAGGCAACACCATCGAAAACGGTGGTTTAGCGTTTGGACTCCCAGCCCTCCTTTGGCCAACCAAGCCTCACACCAAACATAGACAGGTTGATCGTTCATTTGGTGGTGTCTTCGATGTGAGGTACTGATATAGTACTTTCTTCTGGTGCTTTCTCGACAACCCTGAGAACTGGAACTTTGAGGCATGTATTTGTAATATAGCGTGTGTTTGCTTGTCTAACAAGATGGGCATCCCATCAGCTCTGACGACAGACATACATTTTTCTTGTTGAACAAGATGAGCATCCCATCGATGACAACACGAGCCGTCGGCCGAGTATGGGATTCTCCCAAGATTCCACTTGGTGGTGAGGGAATCCGTCTTTGAGTGAACCTTCAAGGTCTGGCAACTGCGTTGGTGCCATGTGCTGGGCAAGCCCTCATCCCTGATGTGTCTCTTGGCCGCAGCCTTGCGCCTGTGGGTTTCTGTGGGACGGACGTGGATGGTTGACAGAAACCGGACCCAGTCTGATTGTGGTTTGCACACGATTAAATGCCTCTTGGGAGCATCTTTGCGACTTGAGGGATGATACCAAGCAGTTGTTGAGATTTTGCGGAGATGTCCATCTAACTAGTTGATTTATGTTTATTTCAAGAGTCAAGCCAGTACATCACCCACTTATTATCATGACTAACTCTTCGTGTACACCATATTGGATGGTTGACCCAAGCCGACGTGGTTAGTCCTCGCCACACGTGGTTAGTCCTCGCTCCGCAGTTTGAGGACTGGTCTCTTTCAGTCGCAAATGTCCACGAAGCCCATGACGGCGCGGACGGGTCGGCTGGTGGGGCGCCTGTGCGGACCGAGGCCTAGGCGATAGCTCATGCGGCAACTCACCCAGACACGACCTGTCTGGGACTGGCATGTGAATCCACACATTGGGGTGGTTGACCTAGGGCCCATGTAGGATACCAGTCCCATGGAGTGTCGTGTCTGGGTAATAGATGTAATAGTGAAATATAGTGCAAGGATGTTTTTCATGGAAACCCTTCCCTCCACCATGGATGCCTTTGAACAGAATGAACCTCCAGCTCCTCCAGCTCCGTTTGAAGACGTGCCGTGCCACAGTCATGCCCCCCCCAGCTGGCATTTGTACAGAAAACAGGGGTCGCGGAGATCACGGTTGAATGAAGCATTCTCCAAAGAACTACCAAGAGGAGAACACCTCACGGTTGAATCAACACCCCTGATCCCTCACTTGATCCCTCACCTCTTGGAACTACCGTTCGACACAGGGCTTTGGTTTTTTCTGTGTTGGCTGGTGGAGGTCATCGGGATTGGAGGAGTCCATCTATCTTGTTGCGAAGCTTCAACGACCAAAGCTTCTTGCTACAGGTGAAACATGGTGAAACGATTCCCAAGGGTAAAGGATCGTAAAGGATCTAGAATCTAGAATCCACAGTCGCTCCATCATGGTCCATCCGTTGCAGTTTTTGTAGTGAAAAACTCCATCCATCAAGCTCATCCGATCTGGGCTCGGTGCGGCTGCGCTAGGCAGACAGCCAGTTCCAGCAACCAGTGATGCCGATGTTCCCCCAGCAGCTGTGGCCCCGGTGGATGAGTCCTTGGCAGGTTTTCCTTTTGATGCCGTGGTATGTAATTTTGATGCATTTCCTCAGACCCACTCACTCACTACCTCTTCATGACACGAACACGTGCTTGAGAAGCGATGGTTGCAGATTGAATAATCGAGGATCATCTACCTGGTTTTGCTGAAAGTGGTTTGCATCCACTTCGGGTGTTTTTTGCGACCACGACCCACCGAGTTCCACGTGTCGTGACTCCTAAGGAACAAGAAGCTACGAATGTAACAAGGGCCTCGCTACGTTCGTAGCAAGGACGCTGCGAACGTAGCTAGGGCATTTCTACTAGTAGCAAGAAGCTACTAGTAACAAGATGTAGCAAGTGCCTTGCTACGTGGTAATCGAGTTCAACCGGTCCCGGCGAGCGACCGAGTGCTTGGACGTGCTCCGGAGGTTCCTGCAACCCATGCAGATGCCGTATGTCAGCGCGTGCTTTACTGAGCCGGGCGGTCTGCTCCAGTCATGACACATGTGTCGTCCTGACGCGCGACACATGGGCAGATGGTGTGTGACAGCAGTTGTTCAATGTTTTTTTTTGTTTTGTTTTAATCGTGGTTTTATACGCACACCTTCCTTTCGATGTTCATGATGTATCAATATAATTCAATATACATATATAAATGCTGTATGCGTCTACAACCAGGATGTGCAGGGTTCCACATGACCGATAGTTGTCGAGACTGTTCAGTTGGATATTTGGCGATGCACCCATGCACGCACAAACCAGACACGCTCCGTCATGAAAATGATCACTCCTTACGCGAACAAAATAAGGCCGGAGAATCAGAGGCCGCGAGGATGATATGCCACTGTTTAACATTTAGACACACTGAATGATCATTGAATGAGCAATAGTCCTCATCAAGCACATCTGCACATGTTTGCAAAAACAAAAAACACCAGGCAACACGAACGAATCACTCACATGAAAACGGTCTTCCAATGGGGGGTCTATTTTTCTATATAATTTGCTGGTTCTATGCTACTCTATGCAGCAGTGCGACTGATTTTCTTCCCCACCTCACTGAGGCTGCAGATGCCCGATGGCAATCTGCGGGGAGCACCAGCGATGCCAATGTCGTCTTCATATCAATCGCCAGTGTCCAACATGTGGCCGATGATGCCGCTTGGCACCCCAACACGAGCAGTGATTTTGGGCTGTGAACGCCTTGTTTCAGAAGTACACCGTTTCGATCCGTTTCGTACACGGCAAGCATTAGGAATAACATGGCATAACTCTACGGGTTCAGGATACGCAGGCCATGATGAGATACGTGTCCATGAAATTCGCATGGAGTGAACGAGCTTTTTTTTCAGTGCACCACTTACTAGGCTATGAGGTCACACAGTTCCTCATTGGGATCATGGATCACCCAACCGTGTTGCTCTAGTGAGTTTTGGAGCTTGGTTTTCGATAATTGCCAAGAATCAAACTAACTTTGACTCTGAAAGAAATTCATCCAGAGAAGGCCTCCAACCTATTCCAACCTACGAGTGATGGCCTCCAACCTACAAGTGATGGCCTCCAACCTACAAGTGATCGCCTCCAACCTACTAGCGATGGCCTCGTCCTTTTTTCCATCCGGGATGTCAGGCCCGCTTACCAGCCATCGACTCCCACGTCATGGCCTCAGTGGCGTCTGTCGAGACGCCTCAGGGGTCGACACCAATGCGTTTGGACGAACGATGGTCGACACCAATACGTGTTGGAGGAGATGGGAAGAGCAGATTGGGACTTCTTTTGTAGCCTCGGTATCCAATTTTCAACCTGTTCCTTCAACACCATCTCGCATTCTTTTGTTCTTTGGATCTTTGCGTCGGGGCTTCAAATGGATTCTATGGCTTGAGTGCTTCTTTGACCGAACGACGCGTGCTGCCACGACTTGAAAAATCGCCGCCGTGTTTAATCCCTAAACCCTAAAACCTAAATTGGAGCAGATGCTCAGCTCTCGTGCGACACGCAGGAGTTTCTATCAGCAAGAGATCGCCAGAACCTGAGCAATCAAGGAATCCATCCGAATGCACCGGATCTCTTCAGAACCGAAGTTTTCAGCGGAGAAGAGCCCCCGTAGTACTGACCGGATCTGACCGGAATGGTCCTGGGCCCTCCAAAAAGGGCACCCGTATCAAAAGTCAGGGATTTGAAGTTGGGACCTAGAGAACCTAGGCACAGGCAATCACAGGCAAGCACCTGAATGATGCTTTGGAGGTATTTTGGAGGTTAGTGTGCGCAACATCTCATTCCCAAGAATTGAATTTTGATTGCCTGCCAGCAAAAATAGCAATAAGCCCAGCTATATCCAGATATTGCAATATATATATATACCCTAGAAGTCCAAAGACTTATATTTAAACCGACTGAAGTTTACAGGAACATCCTGACATCGGGTCACTTAACTCGTCCAACCATTCGTCTTGGACAGTCGACTCCCAGGGGCGTCGGATCGATGCAGTGCAGAATCGTTCGTCACTCGTGTCGTCGGTCCGGGGCTCCCCAGGTCCAACCCCCCAGTGGCCATGAAGAGCCAGTCGCAGTTGGTGTGTCCCGTCGTCGTTTTGGGAAGGAGGATAGACCTCACGATACCCCACGTGTATTGATGGCAAAATGGAAGGGGTCTTGCTGCAGTGCGTTTGTGCTACTGGCTAAGTTTGCTTCAGAAATCAGAAACACTCCATTGAGGTCAGCATGAACACATAGACATGCAGGTGTGCTGGTGTGTGTGTGTGTGTGTGTCTCATTGTGTGTCGCTCTCTCTCTCTCTCTGTCTCTCTCGCTCTTTCTTTTTCTCAGGCTTTGGAACAGCAGCTGATGAGCATGAACAATCAGTTGCAGCAGTTGAAGAAAGAGGAGAGGAAATTGACATTGGAGAAGTTCCTGCTAGGCTTCTACCAAATCCACCAGAAGCTACATAATAATTCATAATAGACATACCATGCAGAGTGGGCATCATGCTATGCCCAGTTTGTGCACGCCCCAGGCTGAACTTGCACTAGGCATCACCAAGCATCATCAAATCAAACTCAAGTGAATCCCCTCAAGTCCCCACTTCCACTCAAGTAACCCCCCCTTGAACTCCACCATGTCCTTCGTGACCGGCGCGAGACGCCGGAATCCGCGTCAAACCGTCGTCTCGCAGGAGGAAGGTCAGACTCAGAAGTTGCAGGCGAAGACTGCCGAGACTGAGCTGGCTGAGAAGAGACTACAGGAGGCGAGAGACATCCAACCAGGTCGCCTACACCTACACTCTGACTCATGTTCCATGCAAGTGCATAGCATGGCCCCTGCGAAGTCCACTTCCCCTCTAGAAAGAGGTGGTTTTTCGGGTTAGTGTGTCGGAGTGTTGTTTGTTTGACACCTTTGCATCGGCCATGGTTGTTCCCCGATAGGCTGCATCTCAAGGGCCAATCTCATTTGAACCGCTTCTAGCGTTGCTCGGAGCCGAGCAGAAGTCATCCACTGAGAAGGTGGAGACTGGATGTGACTTGCACTCCCCGGTGGCAGTTGTTGATTTGCGGCTGTGCGGGGCAGTCACCACAGGACATCGGGAAAAAATCCCACCATATCCCACCCGCTTTGTCACTGATCATGCAGAAGATGAGTAGTGATTTGTAGTGACATGTAGTATTCATGATATTTTATGATAAGATTAGATGGCCACTGTATTAATAATGTATTTGTGGTCATGTAGATAGTATTGGTGAAAGTCTCGTACGGCCCTGAGAGAGCGAGGAGTACCTTCCCTCGATCCCGCTTGCAGTTTGCACCTGTTGCAGGCTGAGCAAAAGGCGAAGGATTGGGTTGACAGTGGCAGTTGTGGGGGGTGCTAATTGGAGCGTGGGTGGGACAAGAGACACTGTCAAAATCATAAGATCAAGATCCAGTTGTGACGATAAACCACGGAACTTTGGCCATGTTTCCTAGAGCCAGGTATTGGGGCCACTGATCGTTGTCGCATGGCGAGGAATCGACAACAGGGTTTCTGGGAAAATATAGCTTAATTGTTCCTTTCTATTTTATGGCCTTATGGTGGTGTATTTATGGCTTGCAGACCTCCCAAAGACCCCTGGAAGTAAGATAGACACCTGGAAGATGTCCCAAAGGTGATGTGGGAGGAATGCAGCTGCAGCAGACCCGTTTGGTGTTTTTACAGGCCATGATTCACCTGTTCCGGTGGCTTCACCCGAAAGAGGCTGAGGTCTCAGACCCACAACCGGTCTCGAAGGTATGGAGAGAGAGGCACTTGTTGGCATTTGAAAGGCAACCACCAAGGCTCCATAACTAATCCACTGGTCGAGTTCGTTCTGTCAGGTGCAAAAGTTCTTCCATCCGCTGACAGACCGAGTGTTTGCTTCCATTCGCAGGATGCTGACACTACAGCGAAGCAGCTCCAAGAGAGGGAGCAGAAGGTGGAGGATGAGGTGCTTCGCTTCAGCGTCAGCCACGCGTGAGGGGCATCATCAAACCCAATCAAGCGGCTTGAAGGTCCCTGCAGGATTTCATTGTTTTTTTTAGAGGGAGTGAAGGTTACTCATATCTATTTCACTTCTGATCTTGGAACATAGATGAACATATCTATATAGATGGTTTGGTGGTGCGGTAACAGTTGTTCAAAGATTATTGCTATGTTTGAGAAAGGTCTTCACTAAACCAGCATCATCCAAGTGAAAGTTGTGATACCAGCCTGAAACAGTACTGCCTTTTGGTTTGGGTATCCAGCGTTGGTATCCAAGGACATTATGGGGAAGGCCAAGGACGAGTCCAAAAAGTGTGAGAAAAGTCACACCAGTGACCATAGTCACCGTAGTCCAAAAGCGGAGCCTTGAAATCATCCACCATCATCCACCTGTACTGCTGACTTGACCAGAAAATCATCCAAATCCATAATCAGCGTGCTTTCGCAGGCACTTCTTCTGCAGGCTGAACACCTTCTCCTGTGCAAGACGTTTTTGTCCACTCTGCAAACTCCATCGGATTCCTGTTCCGGTTTTGGATGGTTTTGGTGGGGTTTGTTTGTAAGCCAGGGTCTCTAGTCCATATAGAACCCAGAAAAAGCCATGAGTACACTTTGAATCACAAACACATCTATCTTGGTACCAAGCCTCGTGCCTACCCAATCCTGCTTGAACCTCACTCCCTTCCTTCACACCCAGCTCACCCCCGCCCTCGCTCCGCAGCAGCCCAGCTCACCCATGCATAAACAAGGCCATTTCGGCGGTGCGAACGGCCAAGACACAGGTCTCCCAGGCGCGGCAACCGTTCCGATCGATGGCAGAACCGTTCTGCGGTGCGATCGAAGCGAACGCGGCGGCGCGACGTTCGAGCCGAGCGATCGGCGCGGCGAAAGGCGCAGACGGAGGTGAAGCAAATGCAAGACGAGCTACGACAGGCGCCACCGAGCAGGGGGGGGTTCATTTTCGAAGGCTTGGTTTGGATTTGGGGCGTATATGGGGGACGGTCAGGATGTCAAACGAGTGTTGGGATGTGCCCATGGTCTTCTGCACGGATACAATATCTTCTTCTAGCACTGTAGATTACCGAAGCAAGGAGGTAGAAGTTAGAAGCTATAAGGAATTGTTGTTTCACTTCTGGTAGCAGGACCCCCCCCCACGGGTCACTGTCCTTGGGTTTGGCCGGCCAGGCGCAAGCAGATGCGATCCAAGCAAGGGCTGCACAAGCCGCCGCCGAGGCAAAAACAGCACTGATGGTTCAGTTCGAGCCGCCCTGGCTGTGACCCGGAAGAGAATTTACGTAGACATATGTGTAGACTGTTGTTTGGTTTTTAAAAAAGACAGAATTACTCATATATGAAGAGGCTTTACAATAGAAATGGAGAGGAATGTGGGGAGGTTATTAATCAGCAATCTATATACATGAACCGAAGACTCTAACAGCTTTGCAAGATTTGCTCATCCGCTTTTGGAAAAGGAGCGGCTTGGACTGGTTTGGACGGTCCTGCGTTCGCATCCCCCGAGCCGAGAAGAATGAGAACCTGCTGCAGTATCCCCATGAGACAATGGACCCTGAGTTCGCAGGCTTGTTCAACAGCAAAAGAGGATGGGTCAAATCGATTGGTCACCCCATTTCTATTCAGAACCATCCATGTCCGTACTACAATGCATTACAAGCGTTCGCTCGAGCTATTTCAGCTTGAACAAAGACATATCCTACTAGTAGGTGCTATGCCACCATGGTTGCCATGTCACATTGCATGCAATACTGGCAATACTTACATGCCATGTCATCCCCGGTGTCCCAAGGATATGAACGGTGGGAACGGTCAGTGGGAACGCCGCATAGACGAAGCCCAAACGTCTTCCACCTCCACGGGGCCTAGACGTGACCCGAATCGGCTGGGCCAACGTGGATGGCACGACCTGGGACGCAGGGACTGGTCTGAAGGACGACTCCTGGTCATCCGAGCTTCAGGAAGACTCATCCATTTCCACCATGTTAACCTGGGAGTGTGACTGTTCAGGAATATTGGAATCCACTCTTTTCAGGCCACTGTTCGGGAATAGCGCTGGCCACACATAGCTGGAGTCATGTCAGCCAGACCGGGGCCAGGTAGACATCCTTTGCTCACCTCTTCTCACTGGTTCGTCATCCTTTTTTTCCCTAGGTCCGAACACCTTTTTTCTAGGGGACCATCCAACCCGTCTCACGGAGCTCCGAACACCGTCTCCGCCCTGTCGAAGACACAGCGAGAGAGAGAGAGAGAGCCCCCCTCCCTCCAGACCCGCGGGACCCGCGCAGCCGGCAGGAGCAGGTGGCGAAGTCGGAGATGCTCCAGGCCGCACAGGCGACGGATGTCCACCGTCCTCCCAGTGCACCCGTCGCAGCCGCGCCGTCGTGACGAGAGGTGCTTTTTCTTCCAGTCCGGGACGGCTTGCGGTTGTCCTGCCTTGCACTTGGTGAGTTGGTGAGTAGACTCAGATGTAAATGTAAATATCCCAAAACTGCAGATGAAGCGGTGTTGAAAAGTTCATGTCTGGGAGAGGTGGGGTTGAGATATCATCAAAGAGTCTAATGTGGACTCTTGATTAGTCACCGACCCATTTGAATTGGAAGTTCTCTTCACTATGGGGGGTTGATTAATCAAGAGTCTACATCACATGAAGTCTTGATGACCATGATGGGGATGGCTGACCAACGTTGACCAACGTTGAGCACCATCTTGCCCCTGGTTCCCTGGCACAAATGTGGCCCAGCTACCCTTGAGAGAGAGAGAGAGAGTACCCTCTGACCCATTGGTTGGGTGTTTTCCTACGCACCTTACGCACCCATTTCTGAGAATCTGACAGCTACCATGCTGCACCAGCTACTGGCTGGGGGGAATCTGAGCACCTGCATGCAGCCGCATGCAGGTGCATTGGTCAAAGTCCCTGTTTGGCAGTGATGGTCAATCTCCCTTTGTTGGAAACATAATGTCCTTTGCACCAGAACCAGGGGTTGTTCTGGTGTTCTGCGAACATGAGTCGGTGTGAACAGTCCAACAGGTCCAGGTGAACCGCCCCGAACTTGGGCTCCCGGAGGCCCAGACTGATATCAACAAGGACATGTTGGGTGCTTTGTCCTCCGTGCGAAGAAACTCCCCTGTGGATGAGGTTGGGCCGACCTGGACGCGTGACAAAACCGCGCGCGGAACGGAACCGTGTTCCAACGGACCTGCGCAGGTGGAAGGGCAAACCAACCGGTTGGATCTGGTGGGAATTCCTGTGTTGAGAACACCAAAGACTTCCAGTACGAGCGCTTGCGAACGTTGTAAGATTGGTTTGTGAGGAGTTGCACCAAGAAGAAACAATTGAGGCTAATTCCAGTTGCCAGTCTTTCTTCATCTACAACGCCATAGGGCATGAATTATGTGTATATGTATGGTGAAGGATTTGAAGATGGTATGTAGGGCGTAGAGGCAACGTCAACCAAACTCAAAAGTGTGGAGGACGATTGCTGAACATGTGAAGCGTTTTGAGTACTTTAGAGAACATGTCCATTATCAGGATGGCTCCCTCGCTGCACAAATGTGTAGTGAAAATGCATTTTGCGAGTAAGACCTGGACAATGCAACTTATAGGGAAGTGAACATTGTTCAGGGTTCTATGATGCATTCTGCTCAGGGTTTTGGGATTCAGAGCAACTGGTAGCTGTGCTTGGCGAGAAAAGATGAACCGCTGCCATGCAAAAATGGTGAACTGCGGGTTTCAACTGCCTGCTACACTTCCCCCAAACTGGTGACGTGCCGCAACCCGCCTCAGGGGTTTGCCCTAAACCCGGCCACCAAGGCACAGCTGAGGACGGGCTGGCCCCCACGCTGAAGAGGAAGAGCCGAAACTTTTCGGCTGAGAGCTGCGAATCGTGCGGCTGAAAGCGCGGGAGAGCAGACGGGACGGAAGAGCCGAGGGACCGAGAAGATAAACACACTTGAACTTGGCCAGATGGCTGTTACGGGATGAAGAGCGGGATGTTGATGAAGGATGATGTGACGGGACCTTTTCTGAACATGGTTTTAAAACAACATCCACTGTAAGCAACGGGGAAAGTTGGACGTTGCCTTGGCCGGCGAATGGAGCTATGGAGCTTCACTGGAAGGTGAACACCTTCGCTGGGCAGGGTGGCCGTGAGAGAAACGGAGTTCAACCCCAAAATAGAGGTTCTTTTACTGTTGAAGATGTCCAAAGCCAAAAACAATCCATAAAACGCTTCACAGAATCACCTGATTGAGCACAGAAACTGATGACAACTGATCTAGCAATTCTTTTATATGGTTACAGACTTACCGAGTTACACTTTGACGATGCGTGACTATTTATTTCAGACCCTTACCCTAGGCCCTATCCCAGACCACCCATAGATAGCTACATTGCTGGTCATACAGTAAATGTGTTCAATGTTTCACTATAACTCTTCCAATACATGAGTGTTTGAGACTTTGGAATTCTTCATCTATCGCAGTCGATCGATACATCGGCCTCCTCGGCCTCCATATGGTTTCCTCCATCGGCACCGCAGTTTCAGCGCGCCACGTCCGCACGTCTGTGGGCGCTCATCTTGGTTCAAGACCGGGGGGAACAGCACGAGCGGTGGGATCTTGAGCCAAGGAGAGCGCAGCCAGTCGCAGTCGTCTTTTTTGGGGGGTCCTTGTGATGGAGTTTGAAAGTACTTAGGGGGTGTTGTAAGTTGTAACATGCTGTGACTAGACAAGTTGGACGCAGTGGGATGCAGTGAACGATGTTCCATGTTTCCAAGTGTTGACCTTTTTGAAACCATGATTCAAACGATCACCTTTGGGCCTTTGGGTCTTTGAGGGTGAATTGTGGATGGACTGAAGAACTGGTATTAGATCTGGGGATCATCATGGACGACTCGGAACCTGCCGAAGCAGAAAGCTTCGAGTCGGGGCCATGCTTTAGTCCGGTGAGCTCAATAAGGAGTGAGCCAATGGCCGAGACTGCCAGAGGTGTGTAATGTAGACTCTTGATAAAGAAAAAGAAAACCAGTTGAATTTAAAAAACCTCTTTACATGGGGAGTTACTAATCAAGAATCTACATGCTCAACATGCAGATGTTTGATCATGATTGTTCAAGGGATGAGGTTTGAGGATGTTTGAGGCCTTGTTCTGCTGCCAATTGCATGATCAACAGTCTTTTTGTTTGTCGCCCGGGCGACCCGCTGTTTAGGTCGCCGGAAGGTCTCCTGCCGCTCGATTTCCCCGGTTTCATCGTGAATCGATGGAAAAACGGTCTTCCAGGTAGTGAAACAAGGTCTTCCAGACCCAAACAAGGTCTTGAATGGGGTGCCTCCTTGATCAGACCCTTCGAGTTACTTCAAACCAAGGTCTTCCAGGAGTATCAGAGGGACATTCCGGTTGTCCGTTCTTACCTGCAACAGTCAGTAAACAATGATCACTATTTTTGGACAAGGCCTCGACTAATCATCATCATCATCATCATCATCATCATCATCATCATCATCACAATCATCAATCATCAATCATCAATCATCAATCATCATCGTCATCATCCACGGTTACAGGTATATAATAGGATAGACCCAAGACATTCCTTACATTGCACTGCCCCATGCCAAAAATTGCCCCAGGCGTTTTCAAACGCAGCTCATGGTCCAGCACTCGGAGGGTCAGTGGAAGCAGTCCTCACCAACAGGAACATGTAGATCATATAGTATTATTTCTATGAAAACACGCGATTGAACACATAAGTAGATTGTATATAGATGGATGGGGTGGGATAGGATGGAATCGAATAGAATAGAATAGAATGGAATAGAATGCATGAATGAATGGATAGATTGATTTCTGCTAGGTTGGCATAGGAGAAATAAGACGTCTATGTGTGTTCGCTTTTCTGATTGGTCGTTGAATGGCGCTGGCCATGCGAACCGCTGGAGTTGGACATGCTGAGCTGCCAATGCCTCCCACCCGTGTCGTTCCACAGGGGTAAGACAAACCGTGAGGCCAACGTCTATGTTTCGTGCGCTGTTGTGCTTTTGTTTCCCATCTAAGGCGGTTCCAGATGAAGAAGTGGAGGAAGTCTTTAAGCTTTTTGACCAGGACCGACGGCAAAAGCGGAGTATCCAATTTTGTCCAATCTACTGGTGCTTGTAGGGCTGCCGTATCATTCCATCCTCTTTCAGATGGAAACAATGACCAATGCCTCAAAATGCTCAAAGTACTATTGTTTTCATGCATCTCGTCCATCTAATCTATTGCAGTTGGCTTTTACTCACCGTTCAAGAAATGGGTCCGTTCAAATCGGTGTATGAACTTGTTGGTCCTTCGGACCATCTCCACATGGTCCAAAGGACGGATCCGGCATCAAAATCAAGGAGATTGGGACAGTCTCTTGGTGATGAAAAAAGGCGACAGAGAGAGAGACAATCACCTTCGTCGTGACCGGAATCGAAGGAAATCCGTCGCGTTTTCCGTAAAGCCGCGTGATCAGGCGCGCAGACAAGACCCTTTTTAACTAACCAACATAGCACCTATAACTGGCTTCTCTAAATCGTCTGACCCCATCAAAACAGCTACGACGCCCTACCCATTGAACCCAGGTACGAACTGAGACTCCAGGTCATTGGCCACTCCCGCCGTTCCTGGCCCCACTCCGCCTCAGGTGATGCGCAGCCTGGGCCTGGCCGCCACCGAGGCGCAGTTGCGGGAGTTCCGCACCGAGGCCGAAAAGAAGGACCGAGCTCGCCCCCCCTGCAGACGCTGCGCTCCGCTCCGGTGGCGCGCGGAGTTGTGGAGCGACGTGGTTGGGAAAAAAGATGTTGAGAGTTTGAAGAGACTGGTTTTGTGGGAGGGCGGAGTGAAAAAAGGGTAAAGGTAGAGGTCTACGGAGCATACAGCAGACAGCACACTTGTTTGGCCCCAAATGCCATTCTGGCTCAACTTTCATCATAATCAGCACTTAGTAAAGACTGATCCAATATAGTTTGGTTCACAGGGGTGTAAAGACAACAAAAGGAGCGTTGTGTTAGTTCAGCCAAAAGGCATCGGGTGTGAGCTACTCGGCCAACGCATTTTGAAGGACTCGACCTACGTGCAGTTTCCGGACTTCCTCAACTATGTCAAAAGAATGGAGAAAGTCGAGGCCGGTGCCGCAACCACAACGGGGATTGCCAATTTCGCAAGCGACCGAGCTTTGGCAGGGATAGCATATTATGGGCTTGGCAGTATCGAAGCAGAGTCGGCCCAGAAGCGAAGATGGCAAAAAGAACTTATTTGGACTTGCTGTTTGACTGTTTGATGTGTGTTTTTTTTTAATGTGTGTGTATGTCGTTTGGGGCCACACTGCTATGCTGAGTGCCCCATCTCGGACTCGACCGTTTCCAAATGCGTGCGCATTTGATGTGCGTGTAAATGTGCCATTGTTTAAGATATATGCACACCTCATATATGGGCAAAGCATGGAAAAGAGGACACTGCGAGAGGATGCTGCGAAGAGATGTTGTCCATCAGCGCCCCGCAGAGCCCACAGGGTGCTTGCTTTAAAGCCAAGTCTTCTGGATTTTTCCTTCAACAAAATCCCTTCATGATGCTCACGGTCACATCCTACGTAAACTTTGCTTTCATGTAGAGCTCCAGACATGTCTAGCCTCATCATGCTACTCGTACTGTACATCTAGCATTCTTTGCCGGTTCTGGTGGCGTCCATGTTGAAGAGAAACCAAATGTTGATAGCATCACTGTATCGATTGACTGGATCAAAACGAGTCACCAAACTCAAAGAGGATTTCAATCCACCGTTAAAGCGCCCACATGTTGCCAATGTTGGACTCCATCGAAACAATGGTTTTCTGGCATTCTGTATGGCTTGTGTCAATACTCCAACACCTCCCTTTTCACATCTTCCGGCTCCGACGGAACCCCTTGCCCCGCCGCCTTGGTGCCCGCCATCCTGATCCACCCGACGGTTCGGCCGTGTCCCCGGTGTCGCCCTGGTGGAGGCCACGAGGTCCGTCGACGTGGCCAAGGAGATGGAAGGCATGAAGGCACAGCGCGCGCAGGGAACACGCACTCCGCGGGAGCACGGAGTCCTGCAGCTTGGGAGACCGGAGACCTGCTGGGAAGGGTGTTTGAAATGCCTTTGGACGTCTTTATTGTTGTCTTGGGCGTTGAGCCCCCTAGTAGAACCCGCTTGTTGGGGCTTCCTGCCAGATCGGCTTGTTGCACTTCTTCGACAAGGCCGGATTTGGGACTTGGTGGGTGGGGTCGCGTGCTGCCCAGTGATCCAAGACCTTTGTAGGTCATCAGTTGAAGGTACACTCACTGGATAGTCATGGAAGTGGAAAATGGCCACTTGGAGAACATGTTCCTTTACAAACAGGTGGTTTTCCACTTCCATGTGAATTTCAGGGAGTGTAGAGTGCGAAAAAAATCTACACTCTGACTCACTAACAGGAAAGTGGAAAATGGCCTGCTGTGAAGACCATTTTCCTCTACAAACAGGTGGCTTTCCATTTCCATGTTAGTCAGTAGGAGTGTAAGACTTGCTTCGAGGGAGGGCCTTCTCGTTTCACTTTTTCCCCAAGGTCTGTCCAAGAATCCCAAGTGACGGAGTGTGTGTTTTGCGGAGCAGAAACGGTGGAAATAATTGGGCACGTCATTCAGGGTCTTTGCCTGGCAATCAGAGAAGATAGGAGATTTTTTCAGTGGTTCCAAGATGCTCCAGATGCATTCAGATGGTTCATGTTCAGCTGGAAGCATGAGTAAGCATGTTAAGGCTAGCAATCTGACTTGCAAGTCATAGAGGAGTTGGTCAGGTACACCTGCAGCGGATCGTTCCAGGTACACCTGCAGTGCACCTACTCGTTGCACCCCAAACAGCACCTGCAGGACATCGTCGACCACCCATGTCTTCGACCCCCCCGTCGCTCGCGCTGCCGCGAAGCCGCTGGTTTTCGTGTCAGTTGACCGCGAAGCAGCTGCGGGAGAGCCCCTTGGACACCATCAAGGTGGCAGACCTCAAGAGCCTCGGAGCGGTCGAAGACACGCGGTGAGACGACGCGGTGAGACGGGGACGGTGAGACGGTGAGCGCCCGGGCGAAGGGTGGATGGTTTGGGAGAAATGAAGCGGTCGAAGTATAGCAGAGTTAGGCCTTCAATAGACTCGATATGAGAAGATGAATCCGTATGTATACAATGATGTATGGAAAATGGAAGTGGGCTACTCCTGATGTCAGAAAACAAGCACCTTGGGAAGTTCACCGTTGCAAGTTTCAATCAAGACTTGAAATAGGTGTAAAGAAGACTGTTGATAAATAAACCTCTCCAAATAGAATGGTTTTACATCTCCACATGGAGGTTTTATTGATCAGCAGTCTAACTTACATTTTTAGGTTGCAGATCAGCGATTTGGACTGAGGCACATCATGTCATCCGTGGGTGAGAAGATGACAGAGGAGAGTTGCTATTCAGAACTGCAGCAGGGTCAATGAGATTCACAAGAGAGTATATGGGTGTGTATTTTTAAAGGAATACCCCCCCATTTCAACCATTCATTTCGACCGCCCTGGAAGGTCCGGGAAATAGACCAAAGCTCATGGGTACTCATGATATATTGGAACTCATGTGTGCTTTTTCGGGCTCTAAGGCAAGCAGACAGAACTTCATTAGGAGCTGCAGCGCGGTGTTCATCAACCAAACCGAGCCGCTGTAGTCGCAAAGTTGCTTGTTCTGGGGTGAACATATTCCAGCATTTCCTTGACAGGATTATGCTTGTTGCATCTTGTTGCCAATCGCACACTTTCCAAGCACATACCAATCGTTTCATCAGGGTTGGGTCACGGCATGTCGCTTCCACACATGACTAGCAAGATGGATGAGATGGCTAGTGCTTTGGAAAAGCTCTAGATGCTGCTAGCCAGAGAAATGTGCTCTGAATCAGCAGAATAACGTCTTCTGCTGGGTGTTGCACTAAACACCGATTGTTTGGATCGGCCACCTCATTCGGATTCGGAAAGGTTTGAAGGGATATCTATATTAGGTGCTTAGAAAGATCATTCATGTTTTAATTCAAGCTGAACTCCACCGATTCGCCCCACAGATTCGCGAGCCTTGGAAACTGCAGCCATTGGCTTGGAGCCAGGGGAACCCAACCTGCACAATTCAATGCAAAAACAGAAGACATAAAGACATGGTTGGTGGAATAGAAACACCTGGTTTTGGTATCACAGGCGTTATGTTTGACTTGCATGATTGTTGGATGGTCAAAAACATGAAGGCTGTGAAACTGCAATCTATGGCGAAATCAGGAAGTGGAATACTCCTTTGGCCTCTTTGCCCCCACCATGTGTCTCTTCGATATATATATATATATGTAGAGAGAGAGAGAGAAGCTGAACCCAGAAAGAAGAGAGACGGTGTCTTTCAATCACCTGCCACCTGCCAGCATTTGGCACAAACTAGAGTCATCCAGAGACTCAGTGGGCGCATTTTCGGCATTCTCACATGGGTCCATGCAACTTCGAAGGCCCAATGGGGAACACAGGTCGACGGAGCTCTCTTTGAACATCTGTGAGGGATGAGTCCTATGATTCATGTCTGACCCCCCACGTGTACGGCATATGAATCCATACATTGGAGTGGTTGACCTGGAACCTGGGGTCAATGTAGGCATACATAGAGTGTTTGGCTTATGAGTCTTCGTGTTTGGTCAGACCTGTGGCGGTGTCCCACAGACCTGAGGGAGGCGTTGGTCGGATGGCTTTTTGTAGGGCCTTCGAAAAGAATGAAAGAAGACACATATTTGATGACAATTTGCTGCGGCTGAAAACATCTCGGGTGAACATCTCAACATGGTTCGTTGGATGTTTGTGAAAGAGAACATGAACCGAATAAACTACATGACAGTTTCAACCTACGCTGGTGAGTTCCGGGCTTGAAATGACCCACAGCCATTTACAACCAAGCACTGGTCTGAAACAGACATCCACGTGTCGCTTTGCAAAGCTTCGTCCGGGTTTCCGGGTCAGGCGATTCGCTCTGGCCCTGGGTTGTTGGGCCATTTCCCTGCTTCGCACTCAGCGATCGGACTCAAAGCTGGCGGTGCTGGTTTTGGAAAGCCACATTGGCAGATCATGCCGCAGGGAGACAAAACATGTCCCACAGGTCATGTCCGCAAAAGAGAACAGATGAACGCTAGCGGGCGTTCGCCCATGTGGTGCTCTCGGTTTGCCCCCGGGAACCGCGTGAACTGCGACGAACACCGTCTGAACTACGCTGTTGGGGGAACACCTGCAGGAAAAGGCTGGCCGCTAGCCATCTCTTCAAGATGACGAGTTATATTCAAAAGACATCAAAAGACTGTATCTCCTCATATTTAGAGATGACCACCCACAATCCCTCACTCACTCCGACCCTCTTCAACTCACTGAAAAACTCTGACCACCAGACTACCAGAAGAAGCACTACCAGACCACCAACTATATCCACCACAATTTCAACTCATCCACCACTTCAAAGAAGAACGAGATCCACATTTTGAGGGTTTCCCCCTGCCGTTTGCGGTGTTCACCACCGGTCCAACTGGACCTCACGCTTCATGTTGAACACGCCGCCGGACCTGGTGCCGGAGACGAGCTCGCCCAGCGATGTGGAAACGGAGAGCGGTGCCGGATGGGGCATTGCCAACTGTGAGAAGGAGGACCAGGAGCTTGCTGAGCTCCCCTGCGCGGTGCTGCAGGCGGCAACGGGTGAGGGTTTAGGGTGGGTTATGGAGCGGATTGCCCCCAAAAAGGAAGGACACTTAGGATGTCTTTTGCTGTTTCCATGTTTTTCCGACCTCGCGGCCGTCCAGTCCGTCACAGTCCAAGACAGATGCCGTCTTGGGGCACAGATGCCGTGAAGGCATGTTTTTTGATGAAAGGCAACATACGGCACCGAATTATGATGTGTGCTGTTTCGAAGGTCTAGGACCTAGACTCTAGGTATGTTTGCCAGCTGCCAGCTTGCAGTGTGAACAACTTGAGCGAGTCAGCTCGCTCCTCTTCCATGTCCAACCACCGGGCCGTTTCGCCGCGTACCGGCCGGGTCGTTCCGTCGTTCCGTTCCGTTAGGGGAGCAGCTGGCCGATCCATCGCTCGAGCAGGTGGCCAAGTTGGCCGTGGAGGTGAAAAAGGTGGAGGCCACACGAACGGTTGAACTGGAGCGCCTACGGCAGGATGCGTGTACCGCGCGAGCGCCCCGGCAGTGATGGGGCACTGCTGAGGGCTGAAGATGGCGGAAGGTATCAAATGTTTCGTACTGTGGTTTTGGGTATGCAAGAAGATGAGCGAAGGTACTTTGGATGAAGGTTCCCGCTGTTTGAGAGAATTGGTTGGATGCAGACGAGCACACTGAATGCTGTCGCTGTATTTTGTAAAAGAGCTCCAAACTTCTGCACCTCAAGACCTTTGAGAAGAGTACGCGCCTGGATGACCTGATTCTTCAGCTGATCAGTTCACTCAAAGTGAGGAGGGTTGGCCGGGTACCATAAACTGTTCTTCCCGTTGAATTTTGTGGGGAGTCTTCCAGTTCCAACCGGTTTCCAACGCCAAACTCACCTGTCACTCCTACGGTTCACCGCGCACTCCTCCGGTTCCAACCGCCACCGAGGTCCGGATCTCTGAAGAGAACAAGACCCAACGCTCAGCCTGCCTGGCGGCGGTGGCCAAGCGTGTGGTCGAGGAGCATCAGCAGACGGAGCGCGAGAAGATCGCCGCCCAGTGCAGCACGCGCCGCGAGGAGATCGCTGCGGAGGTGGGCTGCGATCGATGCAATGTGGAGGTAGGTGAATGACTGGTGGACATAGCACAAGACATGCCTTCAACAGCAGAATTATTGTAAGTCAGCAGTAGTCTTCGGCTGGACATCGTTTTTTTGAAAAAGTGATTGGACTGCAAAACCGATAGAGGCCCACCCAAAACCGATACCCTTTAACATGGATGATGGCTCACCCAAAACCGATACCCCAAAGAGTTGTAGATGTATAAGAAAACCTGAGACCGATAGGGTACCACCAAATTGCATGTAAAGAGATGCCGAAACCTGAAAACCGATAGGGGCCCACCCAAATTATAAACGTCCTTTCCGGGTAATAAGTAATATTGTCCGACACTCATATACATACTTATAAGACCAGTTCAGATCAGTCATAAAAATTAGTCTTGCTTGCAAGTCATCAACGATCCTTTGCCCATTGCCACTGCGGGAGGGACCGGACCCTTCAGAAGCCCTACCCGCAGGTGAGGAAGGCGGAGCTGGAAGCGCAGAAGCCAAAGGACTTCAAGCGCCACGTCGCAAGATCGACCGAGAAGTCGGAGTGGTCGAGCTGTTTCGCCCCCGGTTCCGCTTAGTGGACGATCGGATTAGGGAGGGATGCAGAGTTGGCCATCGGGAGAGCCGAAAGAGTCCGGAAAGCCTCAAGTCTTTAGACCAAGATCAACGGGTGCTTGGATTCGAGTTTGCTGAGTTTTGTGCTATGCATCTTCGGGAGTCCAGATACCATTGACACAACATGGGTCTCAGCATGCCCCACCTTTTTTGGGGGTGGGTTCGCTAAATACCTGGGGGTGCAGGTTCCGGAGTTTCCACAAGCTGTTGAGAGCCTGTAGAACTTACAGCATTCCCTGATTTCACAAGCTTTCTTTCTCAATGCCATCCATGGCCATGGTTTTTTTTGCTAGCTATCGCCCGTTTCATCGCCTGCTATATTCGTATGTCATCGCTTTTGGAATGGACAGATCTGGCTCAATTGAAAGAGTTCTGTCCCCTGGACAAGCGTTCATCAGATGGTACACACCAGCAGTTCCCGCTACCGGTGCCACCAACCTGTGGGTGTTCAGGCTCTACCTGCTGCTGCTGATCGCGGCCTTCAACCGCCAGCGTGTGAAGAAGGTGGGTCTCCCAGTCGTGAAGGTCGCAATCTTCCTCACCTTGCTCCGCGGGCTTTGGCCCTCGCGCTGCCAGGAGATCCCGAGATTGGCTAGACTGCAAAAAGAAAAAGACATGGACCGTGGCCGAGGTCTTGGGTCTGTGTGGTCCTTATTTGTTTTGTTTCTCTATCATTGTCTATCTATTTATTTTTTGTGTGTGTATGTTGGTGATAGAGTGGCTGGACCTTAAGTGATTTTAGTGTGTGATTGACCACTGCATGCAGACTCTTTTCGGTTGATGTTGATGTCCACCACATGGTGCTGGGGCATAATGGTTCTGGATTCTTGAAAAAGGGTGAAACACACACGATCCCTCCGGGCCCAAACCGATGAAGAGGGTGGCGGATGTGTGCTTTGTGGATGTAGGACCTTTGGCAGGGTATCCTTCGGCTATGGCAGCACTGGAACATGGGCGCACTTGCACCACTGGCAGTGACGGCGAATGGTCGTTTGGCGTGCGGAAGCTCAGGAATTCTCTTCGCTTCATTCCTGCACCATGGTGCGATGGAGTCCAAAGCCGTGGTGCGATGGTTCAGGGGGATGGACACTGATCTCTGCTCCTTTGTTTATTTTTGTTCGATTGATTCATGGCACATCCACTTGGGGTGAGGAAGGCATGTTCAACAACCTACCACGAATTGGGCTATGCTTGGACATGGAAAGCTACGAAAGCTTATGTTCAGGTTGCCCCTGGCGCCATTGCCAGCTTTGGCGGAAGATGCTACAGGCGTCTGGAAGTGGAGCGGCCGTTGGCGGGCGAAGAAACGTTGAGGTCAACTGTGACCTCAGTCAGAATCCTGAAGAAGCTAAACATGCGACTCACAGGTGATCTGAGATTGGAAAACCACATCCTGATTGATCAGCTAAGCATGTGACTCATCATGTGGTTGTTTTCCGGTCTTTTTCTTGGTTTCTTCCGGATGAGGTCGCTCTTCGGCCACAGCTTGGACAATTCCTGGGGCCAAATTAGAGGCCCATAGATATACTTCAAGTTGCACAGCTCTACAAAATGCCCTTCTTTTGACATGTTGACCAGTAGGACTGGGACAAACTCAAGACACAAAAATAAAAGCATGCACCTGTCCAGCAACATCTTCGATCTTCATCTTCCTCCAAAGTATTTACCACATGCAAGCTCCACTGATAGCCACCGCAAGGTGCTGAAGGTGCTGACCTCAATGGCCTCCCGGTCTCCAAGTGCCTCGACCCCTTTGAGGCCCCGGACTTGACAGACCCGCGAACTCAACAGTAATTGCAAAAAATAGATATATATATATATACTATGATATACTGTATCGACTGATAGGCAAGTATGATGTATATAATAGGGTGTTTGTCCATTGTTAAATAGAAATTGCCTATCAAAGGTGAAGGAATCTGAAGGAATATGAAGGATCATTGGAAAAAATGGCTACAACTTATGTCGGAATACGATTCCGGAATCGATTCCTCTTCTGTCGGTTACGCACGGACCGAGACGGAGAGTGTCTCCAGGAGCTCGAGGGCCATGGCCTCTCCGAATACAGCAAGGCGTGTCCATCCGTCCATCCGGCTGGCAGAAGGGATATGACTCCACTCTTGGATAGACAGACCATCATAGAGACGGATAGACCATCATTGATACCATATAGAGTTATGGGATGTATTGACCATCCAATATCCTCATTCTCCACGTTTGGGCCATTGGCTCTTCAACCTCGATCCAAGCTGTTCGGATGCACCGGACCCACAGCTTGGATCAGAGATGGTTTCACACTGGCGGTATGAGAATATTTCAATGTTGTGAGATTGCACTGCTGTTAAAGGGAGTGCTAAACGAATATGTCCACTGCTGAACTCGACTGCTTAGTCTGGCTGATGTGGCTTTGTCAAGACAGGGTGGTGGAATCCTAGTGAGGCTGAATCAAGCAGTTGGTGCATATTACTATATAATGTTGGAAAATATTCCTAAAAAGCTTCTTCATTTGGCATCCTGATCCGGTTTGCTTTCTTCCCGCTTCCGGAAACCTCGGCTCCTCACACTTCCGGGTTTCCCGGGTTTCAGGCGCTTCGTGAGACGGGCTATGAAGCTTGGCGCTGCATGTCGAACGAACGGAGAGGCAGTTCCTGAGCCAGGCATTGTTTGACAAAACAAGCACGGCAGCGGTTGATCTGCCTTGAGATTCTCATTAAATTTTATTGACAGGTGAAAACATGTCATTCATACAGTCTCAGGTTTTATAGGAATAGACCTTCTGGGCAGATGAGTCTGGACCGATGATACGACGGGTGCTGTGGGCATGCAGATATCAAGCAGACCCTAAGGATCCAAGTACCTTCTGAGAAGGTATGTGGATCGCTAGGGAGAGATAGACAGTTGTCAGTGCCAAGACTTCCAGCAAGGAGTGCCAAGTCCAAACGCCTGGGAAATTCACAAGCTTCGAGAAATTCCCTCGAAACAAACCTCTAGGCCCACAGGGATGTTGCTAGTCGTTCTACCCGGTAGAACCCTCCAGTGCTCCTTGGAACCCGGCGGGCAAACCACCCGCGAGAAATGTGAGAAGATTCAGGTCAGTTGCACTTGTTGGTTGCCACCACATGTTCCCACTATCATCCACTACTTTGACCTTGCAGCCTTCCGCGGTCTGTGGCTGCAGGCTAATATCATCCACTACTTTTTGGACTTTAGCATGTATATATATGTAATAGTCTATAATGGTCTTAAGGATCCTTAAGGCCTTAACAGAGAACCCAAATCCTGGTCTTCGTTGTTGCTCACGGACCCTCACCGCATGCTCGTCAATCCTCACCGAGGATCCCGAGGTCCTTCGGGAGCTTCGAGAAGAGGAGGAGGTGGGGGGTCCTTCGGTCGACGTGAGAGGGTCGAGACCGACATGTTCACCAACTCAGTTGGTTTGGTGAAGGAGCCTTTTTGATCTTTTGTGTGTGTGTTTTTCCCGCTTAGGGTTTTCTTGTGCACAGGTTCCATGTGAGTGGGGAAGTTCATGCGTGTCGTTGACCTAGTGCAAAGGATCGATTGGTGATGGGAGCAGTTCTCGTGTCCCAGCATGCTTCCAAAATCCTCTGAAAACCCATCACCTCAAAGACTGAGGTGCCTCAATTGAACAAACGTAGCAACCACCTGAGGAAAAAAGGTTCATGCTACTTGCATCCAGCACATGGCGAAGGAGAATGCCTCACCCCAGACACCGAGCCACAGAATGCCAGGAGGTTTGAAGGTCTTTCTATCGCTACAAGGGAGTCTCCACAGCTCCTGTGGTCACCCTCGCAATCCAATAAGGGATTTGTTCCTGGAAAAGAAAGGACATCTTCATCATGATGGCTGAAAAGATGGAGATAGATGGAGTATTTCAAATTTCCCCAACAGGCAAACCAGTGATGTGTCAATTCTTTGGTGGCCCAGCCAGATCAGACCTCGCTCTGCTGGTGGAGTGATTTCCACAGAATGAGTGCGCTCTGCTCCGCGGGGATTCGGCCGAGGTGGAGGAGATGCTTCGGGCGATCAAGTGCCGGTCTGGAACTCGTCTGACGGGTTTGTCGAACATCGTCGTGCTCTTGGCACTCCAAGCTCTTCACGTGGGTTGACCACCGAAAAGGAACACGAACGTAGCTAGAAGTTATATTAAGTTATTAGGTTGGAGGCCATTACTACTAGTAACAAGAAGCTACTACTGAGGTCGACCTGATTACCAGGGTGAGTTCCCGGCTTCGGTGTGAAATGACCCACAGTCACGACACTCGTCCGGGTGTCGGCATGTGTCGGCTTGCTGTATGACCGGTGACGTTGCATGGTCCTCCAGGAAATTGGATGAAATTGGGCCATGTAGAGTATGTATGCGGATATGGTTTAGCCCGAGACTGGAAGTAGCCAGGTGGAAGTTGCCCTGGTCATGTTTTGTTTGGGGGTCCTTCGATTCTATGTTGCAGCCACATCCAAATCCAACGCTTCAGAGGCGACTGCTGTGATGCCAAGGCTTTCCCTAATTTGGAATAAGGTTTCCAACACCATTCGCCTTTTGGTAGAAAGACACTCCCTGGGTTTCCCACACAGGCTTTCTTGCGTAGATGAAGAATTTCTTCTTCGTGTTTGTTTTTTTCCGCACACCGATGAAGCCGCACACCGATATACGCTCTCGCCGTTGCGCCGTGTTTCGCACATTTTCCTCGTCGAGGCCAGAGCACAGGGAGCTTCTCATTCGCCTCCTTCAGCGTAGGTGAAGCTCCACCTGGAGCTCATGTCAATCGGATGGGCAAAACCTGGAGGGTTTGGTGGAAAAAAGAGCCTTTGCAGATGTTTGCAGATGATTTCGATTACGGGCTGTTTTTTTTTCATGAACTATATAGAGTGAAATCGATGGTCCGATGTGGCCATATCTGCTTTGCTGACCATACCTGCTCACAGATGTTTGGTATTTGCCACAGTTTGTCGGGTGGGAGCATGGTCTGGGACATCTCCAAACAGTTTCTTTTGAACATCAGACCATCAAGGAACAGGTTCTGCCGGGCATTCGATTGGTTTCACTGAGAATAGACAAGGCAAGTTTCGACTTGCCGATGACAATGCCCCGTTCGAAAAGATGCTGCTGCTGTTCTATGTGCCACGGCCAAGCAAGATAAGCAAGTGTTTGCTTGTTTCACTCCAGGCAACATCTTGCAGTCATTTAAAGAGCACTCCATCGAAGGACCCCCTCACTGACATGAACTTGAAAGAAACCACTTTGGCCCATCCTGGACTCCAGTGCTTTCCAGGGCAGGCTGTGGAAAACAGAGCGATCGGACGAGGGAGACCTGCGACATCCAAGCAAAACCGTGGCAGGGACGAATGACAGCGTTGTGAATCGAGTTTGTTGCGTTTTTGATGGAAGATCCCAACATGAAATCATGAAGATGGACTTACGGTTTCACACCGGTTTTTGGGCACCAAGACGTAGGCCGATCACTTCTCTTTCGCCCCACCCACCACGACTAGACGTAGACCTGTCTAAGACGTAGGCCGCACGGCCCAGGAGTCCAACGTTCGCCGCACGGCCCCAGGTGGCCACGGCACGAGGGCTTCGGCTTCGCAGGACGGGTCCCGCACCGGGACGAGGAACGGCTTCTTCGGCAGGAAGGAGAGCGGGAAGCGGAATGGTGATGAGTTGAGGTAGGTCAACTATAAGGTCTGGTTTTGACCCACAACTCGCAACCATCTGTTGTTCTTGTTTGATCTCATCCCGAACTAACTAACTGACTGATCCACTCGATCCTCGGCCGGAGTTGCGGCCCGAGTGCCTCTGAATCGACCTGGACCACACGGACCGGAGTCCGACGGGTGTCGCTGGTGGTGAGAAGAGGGGGCAAGGCTACAGTAAGAGACGACGGGAGGTGTGTACCAATAAAGAACATCGCAACTAAGAGTTTGTTGTCAAGCCTCAAAAAGAGGTGGGAGAAGGAGAAGGAAGAGAAGGACTCCTCCTCTTTGAAACCCATCAAACTCGACCATTTCTGCCTGAATGGATAGCCCCTCATGTTGAATCATGGAGCGTTTCGGGTGTCACTTGTCCGCTTGTGAAAGCGACGTCAAAGAGAAAAGCCATGTTCAGGAGTCTGACTTGCTTTCAGGCCACCGACAAACACACTGCTGCGCCACTGGAGGCTTAAGAATGTAGGATTCGGGTCCAGACCTGTGGTGTTCGTTCGAAGTTTGTCTAGACCAAAACGCCAGGGGATCCAATGGTGAGTTTCGGGGATCTATATAATGGTGCCATTGCAGTAAACCCTATAGCTTGTGACGATCATATCCAAGAATCCAGGATGATTCAAAAAGCACCATCATGGCTTCCACTTGGTTCTGGACGTCCTGGAGGTCCTACCTCTTCACAGCTTCGCCTTCCGGACACCCCCCACGTCTGAGCCTTCAGCCAAGCCGACGAGGAGCCCGCCCGTACGTCCGGAGTAGCGGAGCTCCACTGCCCGCGCCCAGCAGCTGCGGCTCGGCGCGGCTGTCGCACCTGTCGCGCCGAGCTCCGCGCGGCGCAGAGGGGACGACCGCGGCCGAGGCGAATCAGACCGAGGAGACCCTGACGGGAGACCGTAGGGTGAGGCATGTGCAACCGGAGAAGGGGGAAAGACCTCTCTGAGACTCTGGTCGAGCATGTCTTTGGTCGAGGTGGACAAGTGGACTGGTGATGAAGATTGGTGAGGTGAAAAGGTGCTGGCCACTGGCAACTCACTTGCCAGAGGGGGTCGAAAGATAGAGGCAGCGACTGGAATCCGCTCATAGCATTTGCCACTGGCGTTAATGAACCGGTTCTTGTGCATTGTCCCACTGGAAGCTTGACAACGAACTTATAATGTAATATGGCTACTGGCTACTATAATAAGATGCATTAAAATGCTACAAGAACCATTCACGACATGATGAAGAAGAATCCTCCAAATGTGCTGTTCAATTGCATCCATATGCATCTATTCAAGATTTCAGGGTTCCTAGTCCCCCACAGCAAAATAGTTCATCCCATTCATCATTCTTGAACCCCACCCAATCCACTATTCTTGTTTCACCTTCTTGACCAACCATGACAGTCAGGAGCCTCCGGGCAGCAAGGCACGAATCCTGAGCCAGATCAGGGTGGACCAGCGCGAAGAGAGGGGGTATCCAGTGGTACTACCTTTTTGTTGGGCTTTACACCCCAGTCACGTGGTTGGGTAAATTGATGACCCCAGTCACGTGGTTGGGTAAATTGATGGGAGGACGAATGATGCTTTTGGAAGATGTTGAAGGCTTGATTGGACATGATCAAGCTTGGAAGATAGCAGAGAATGGGCTTGCGGAGAAAAAGCGTGGTGGGCCGGAGACCCAGTCCACAGTCCACCATCGACTCTCCTGGTTTGTTGCATTGAGGAGGTATAGACTGAGGGCCTTTCAGAGCCAGGGTCCTCTACGTAGTGCTTGGTCCTGTCCTGTCCCACTTGGAGTGCTTTGATGTTGAAAAAACACGGAATAGCCCCAGAGTGATGAAACCGCAAGAGAGAAGTGAAGGCCTATCTGCCATTCCCTCCATCCATTTGCACAGTCGCAATCCTTGGTCTATTTTCCGGTGTAGCTTCAGGGAGTCCTTGTAACAGCACATCGACGAACACATGGAAGTGGAAGACGGGGGCCCTGGAAGACGTTTGTCCACAAACAGCCGGGTGCCATCCACGTATTCATGTGATGTGTTCGTTGTTGAGCGTCGATCCATCGATCCCCTCTCCAGTCCGGTCCAGCTCGAAGGCGGCCACCCTGGCGTGGCTCGAAGAACGCGCCAGCACGGAGGAAGGGCAAGAGATAGGCGGCCACCCGGCCGTCCGTGCGGGATTTCCCTGGGATGTCATTGGGTGAGGATCTTGAGGATGGTGGATGGTTAGTATGTCATTAACGTGTTTGGGTAAACAGGTGACATGTGTTTGGTGCCCAAAGCAAATGCTTTTGGTCTGAAAGGCAAGCGGCAAGCTGCAAAGTTCTGAACACTTGCTGAGGTGGTCTAGAGATCACACACTTCCTTTTCTAGTTTCTCAAGCCTCAGCACAGGCACGCTACTTTTCCTGGCCAAGAAGCTTTGCCCTCAGGGACAGACCTGCGAGACCTGCGCGGATTGGGACAGACCTGGAGAACGAGTTCCGTTTGGATCCCCCGTCGTTTTGGTCGTTTTGTCGCGTAAGTGGAATCAACCAATGAAGCTTGGGCCACCAGCGTTCTACGTTCTCCGTGGTTTTCTTCTGAAGACCACTCGTGAGCATGTTGAAAGACACCTCGAAAACAATCACCAAAGGCTGTCCAATGTCTTGTGCGCCTTGCCACTGGAATATGCATGTGGCGGTGCCAAGGAAGAAGAGAAAGGAGGCTGCGGAGGAGGCCAATGGCTTAGTTTGAACAAACGGATTGGGCAGGTTCATTCACTCAGGCCCATGTGTCACGAAGCATTTGTGGGAAAGTCGGAGAGATGATCCCGCCTGATCCTGATGTCAGTGAGACTTAAACTAAGGATCGCAAACTCTTTCAGGTTCATGTTTTTACCAAGTGTCTCATGGTTTGCTTTGGTTTGCCATCATCCCATCACACCATCGCTCGGGTCTTTCGACATCGAAGAGAACCTGGGGGTTCTTATAGACTTAGTGGTTTCGGAGTAGATGGCACTGGCACCCAAATGACGCCAACAAAACGGGGGTCCGGACGTCTTCCGCCGTGGGGGCCCAGACGTGTCGAACTTCACCTTTGAAACCAAGGGCGTGCCCGGCGTGCCCGGCGCTGTCAGGCCTTGGTGCTGGTGAAGTCCATGCTGTCCTCAGTGCCTGGGACGGGGAAGCTGGCCGGAGCGTAGGGGCACCACCCCCATCCAGCTTGCCTGAGTTGGCCACACCGTCCTGGTGGCCTATCATGGCGTCCTATCCGGTCGGAGCTTTCTTTCTCGTGAGGGAACTAGTTCCTGGCAACTCCGTGGGAGCTAGAAATAGATAGATCAACTCATTCTGAAGGGAAAGGGGTGCACAACAACGTTTGGCTCAAAACCAACAGCCAAAGTAGACTGTTCTGTTTGTGTGTTTGGGGGACATTCACCAAGAGTCCAATTTCTAGATGGGCAAAGCCATGTTGTTTAATTACTTTAGTATACTTTAGTCAGTCGTTACAATACACTTGACCCGTGTTCTATTTGCTTGTGGTTGATCCGAGCATGGTGCAGAAACTTGACAGGATAGATGACCACCACATTAAAGGGACGTGCAGCATATGTTGCATCGTTATTTTTGCTGGGTTTCATGGCCAGTCGCGATCGATTTTGAGGAGTAGTGTTCAGTTGGGTCGGGAAGCTGATACCCAAAAGTCTTGGAAAGGCACCCCATCAACATATTGCCAATTAGGCAGTAAGAAAGTTGCTCTGTTGTTAGAGGTGGCTCACTGAACTCCAAGACCTAGTGAGATGTGAAAAACAATTCTGAGCAGATAATGGCCCAAATGTCTAGAAGCTGGAAAAAGACACAGTGTTAGAGGTCAATCACGCGACCAATCTACCCATTTCGGTACCGCCGAGCATTTCAGTTCCCTGTTGACGCAACCAAGGCGGATGGGGAGGATTTGCTCAAGGCCTGGGTCATCTTGGTGTTGGCGGCTGTGGCGGGCTGGGGATGAAGACTGAGTGGGTTTTCTTCAACTGAGCGGATGCGTCCAGAACGGCAGAGCGACAGATCCTACCTGCTCCCTCTCATCTGCCGAAGCTGCTTCCTTCTGTGCTGCCGTGGTCGAGGCTCAGGTGAAAACGTCACGTTGGTCATGTTGTTTTGGAAACATGGTAGGCAGGCAGATGTGTTATGGTCCACCTTCTTGGTATAGTGCTTCGTAGGGAATGAGGGAAGGACCCCCCGCAACACTCTTAGGATTCATTCCCTCATTCCCTAAGCACCGGCCAGCACTGTAGACCCCTCGCCGGGGTTCTGCCGGGGTTTCTTGCTTCGCCTTGCCACCAGCCAGCACGGACCGCTTGTGCCGGGGACGGTCCGGTCGGCTCGAGCCTTCTGCGGTCGAGCCTTCTGCGGTGGGGCAACGAGCGATGGAGTGGTGCTGAAGACGGTGGAAACTGCCGGTGGCGCAGGCGGGATCGTTGGTGTCAGGGGAGAACATCCACCTGTGTGGTGAAAACACCCCCACCGTGGTGAAACACAATGAGTTGGTGATCAGGGTAGTGTTAGGACAAACAGACCTTTCAAGAAGGGATGGGAGCTCTCAGGGGTCACAGTTCAGATGTGTTTTAAATGGACCACAGCTGGGAGGCAACTTTTGTAGGATATCTGTTCTTCGAGCCAAAGGTTTAGGAGGAGCCCGAATTGAAATGGCCATGGGGGGATCAGGCACCAGGCATATCGCTGATTTAGAGATGACAGAAATGTTCATTGCACATAGACAGTATAGTTGTTTTGTTGGCACATGCTTGCTTGTCGCCAATCTTGAACAAGGAACAATCCTGTGCTGGATGGTTGCCAGCAGCCAGTTGGACCTTAATCACGGCGTCAGAGATCATCGCTTACGTCACTGAGATTCGACGGTTTTAGTGACGTGTTTGATCCTCCAAGAACATGGTTCGCATCCAAAACTGGGAGCACGACAGGATTTGCCATGTGTTCATCCAGACACTGAGCAGCCGAACCCGCGCTGGAGCGCCCAGGCGACCGGGGAGAAGCTCCGATGATCGCCGCTCAGATGGGAGAATGACTGGGCAGTTTCAGCCACCGAAGTGATCCCATGTAATGCAAGTTCAGTGTAAAACCTCCCTAATTCCCTAAAGAACAAACCCAAAGAAGGAAACAGGAAACAGATGTTTGAAGGATGAGAGGAGAATTTGGGTATTGATTTGTATTGTTTGTCCCTGGCGTTCCTTATCGTTCCTTCAAAACCTGAATTGGCGCTGTTCATTTGCTTCACCCTTTTGCGGCACAAACAAGCGACACCTGCCCACACCGCACGCGGCCTCCACCCACCGGCCGTTCGGAGCCGAGGCTCCCTACACGCGTTCGCTGTCGGAGGCTGCCCGGCGCGGTGCGTGGCAACACGTGGGCGAAGTGCTCTCAGAGCTTCAGGAGCCACTCGGTTCGAAGGAAGGAAGCTCAGCGAAGGAAACAGCGAAGGAAACGTGAAGCCCAGGCCCGACATGGTGGTCTATTTGGGGCCCCCCCACAGTTCGCATGTCAAGTAACTACCACCGAGAGACAGAGCTGCAACTCTCATGGGGCCTCATCGGCCTCATCACCAAAAACACCAGAGCACAGACGGCATTAGATTATCAATCGAAACAGCTACTGGCAGAAACACACATATTCAAGCAGTGGTTTCTTCAATGACAGATCAAAACAATCAAACCAGTGTTTTTCATGTGTCAGCAGTAGTTTGGTCAGAAACCGTGTTTCTCCAAGCAGTTTGATTTGTAAACACGGCTCTTTCGAAACCTGAGAGAAAAATCTCGCCTCGTTTCGCCTCACATGAGGCGAGAGTTGGAGCCAAATGTGATCCTCTTCAACGCAGCCATCAACGCCTTCGGAAAGTCGAAGAAATGGCCGTCATCTCTATGGCTACTGGGGCACATGGCACAGGAGACGTGTGAAGTGAACACCATCAGCCGGAATGGCTTTCTCAGCGCCTGCGAAAGAGCTGCATGTTGGCAGAGGGCATGTATGACTTTGGGGAGTTTCGCCCAGCCGAACTTGATGCTCGCTTGGCCAATCAAAACACTTTTTGCGTCTTTTGGCCCAAACCTTCTTACTGCGGAGCAATAGCCCAGAAAAGAAGTAACATCTTTGGTGTGGGAGTAGAAAGAGTTCAGAAGTGAGGATCAGTTTCAACACACTATTGAGCTCTTGCTGCCGAAGCCATTGGCAAAAGTCCTTGGAGGTTTGGGGTGCCATGACGGGGTATCAGCCGGATGTTTTCACTTGTAGCGGCCTAGTCCGTGCATGTGAAACTGGGCAAGGATGGCAACTGGCTCTCAACCTTTGTAACTGTGAGTGGGCCATTCCCAACGTGGTGATCTATAGTGCAGCAATCAGTGCATGTTCGAGCTGTTCTGAGTGGGAACAAGCTCTTCTCTTGTTTACCCAGATGAAGAAGGCCATGCGCCCCAATGTCATCAGCTATAGTGCAGTCATCGATGCCTGTGAGAAGGGGGGTCAGTGGCAAAGGTCCTTAGCACTACTTGGGGAAATGAGAGGCTCCAGCATTCCCCTCGATCGTGTGGCCTTGGGTGTGGCTATGAGAGCTTCCGAGAGAGGTTTGCAATGGCCTTTGGCACTCCATTTCTTGTTCCTCGTCCAACAGTCATTGCAGGTTCCATTCTGGTCCCATTGAAGATGAGGGGCTCACGGCAAAGCATGTGATTGTTTGATCCTTGTGAACCATATACATTGGTCAAGTGCTTTGTTTGTTTGCTGATAGCACTTCTGAATGCCCTCAAACTCGGCACAAGTTGTCCACTGGGTTGTCTATGTTCTTGGTCCTTCTTTAGGAAATGAGACTCCCTGATCATATCATCTCCCAGACAAGCCACATCTGACTTATGAGCGATAATATCACCATTATATATTATTGTATTATATATATATATATGTTATATATGTACCATTATGACCATTATGTGATCTTAAAGAATGTTGGTAAGATTACAACCCATACATGACTTACATTGACCCCTATTACCAACATGTTCCAACAGGTCCTTTCTCTGGTGTTTTGATACCAAACCCTTCGGCCTTTTGCTCCAACGGTGCATCCCTTTGGATTCCTCCCTCCCACCGGTTGGCTCTGAAGGTCCGAGTCCTGCGAGTCGGGCGGCGGCGGTCCCGCGGTGCGCCACCGCCCGGATGCGCGGTGCTTCGCGTCGGCGCTCGAGAGCTGCGGACGGAGCGAACGGTGGCAGGAGGCCGGGCCTGGACGCTGGGGACGGGACACGAAGGGACGGTGCTATGACTGACATGGAATGAAAATGGATTTTTAGAGAGTCCAAAGACATTGACAATCGATTTGGAGATGGTTTGGAACTCTGACTGTACTGATAGAATTGAGTGAATGAAGCATGAGTTTTATTTGACCATTGTCTTAATTATTCTTCCTGCACCATTCTTCAGAGATCTCTGAGACATCCTGACAGTGAAAAGGTTCCTGGGAGAAGAAACTCCAGTTGGTCGGCGGTGATACTTCGGATATTTTCCAGAAGAGTTTACTGGGTTACTTCTTATGTATGCTTATGTTACTTCCAGTGTTACACTCCCTGGAACTAACATGGAAGTGGATGGCATGGCCCCTCGGAAGACCATGAAATCCACGACAAACAGGTGGTTTTCCACTTCCAGTGCTAGGTAATAGGATAGACCCAATGCCTTTACTAACCGTCATCATCCACTGTTACAGGTAATAGGCTAGACCCAATGCTTATGTTACTTCCAGTGTTACTTCTTATGAAGATCCTTTTCGCCCCGTGGAGTCCCTTCCAGTGGTCGAAAAGGAGCACGGTTCAGCTGGTGAAAAGCTGGTGAAGGGCGCTTTCTGGAGGGCTTAGGTTGGAAACTGTCGGCCTGTTGGCTTGTGGTTGGAGTCTCGTGTTGTTTCTTCGTTCTTTCTCTTCAGCTCGGTATTTCTTGGGGTGCGACTGGGTCAGTGGAACTGGGAACATGGCTAAAAATATGGACACGATGGTGTGCTGGCAGGTGATGATGTTGGTGAAGACCATGGTGGAGATGAGAGTTTCGGATTTCAGCATTGCCAGGTGGGACGTGGAGACGGAGATGTGTCGCCGGGAGGAGGGGTGGAAGGTGCTTTTGAAACGGGCTGAAAACGGAAAGGGAGTACAAGGAGGATTTGGAATCTATATCCATTCCGCCCGCCTTTGTGTAGGCGTGTTGCCTCCTGTGTTCGCAGATGTTCTCAGCTTCAATCATGAGTGTGCCTGGTACAAAAGTATCGGGCAGACTAAGACAATGTTTGCCTGCTGCACCAATGTGAAATTGAATCTCTTCGTTCTTCACAAACTCAGTTAAAGAAGATGAAAGAGGATCAAAGCATCTCAGGATATGGACATGATCTGTCTGATTCTTTCCTCCTTCTTCGTTGAACCGTGACACTTTACCCGAGCACTCATACCTGGGAAGCCGGATCCGTCGATATCGATGTGGTGATTCATGGTCCTGGTCCGTCCGCCGCACGCGAAATTGCGCGCGAAACCAAGCCGGCGTCAACCGCCGGAGTCCAGCAGCGAAAGCGCAGAAAGAGAGACGCCAGGGACGACGACATGGGACGATGACGCAGCATAAGGGGCACGGAAGACTGGCTTGCTTCGGCACGAGGCCCCTCAAAGAGTGGTGAGGACTGATAAAGCAGGGAAGCGAAGTCCATCCACTGGTTGGTTCACCATTGTACATCCATTGCTGTTGGCTGGTTCACTGTTTGATTTGTCCGTCCTCCCTATGTATTCACGCACAAAGAACGGATTTTTCCAGCACCAGGTACGAGCATTCCTCCCAAGCTGGGAGCACCTTGGACTGTTTCAAGCATTCGGCCTTCGTGCTGCTCCTGCAACTCATGACCATGGAGTCCTCCCGCTTCACCTGCATTGACACCCATGGAGGGCCGGCCTTGTATCCTGGCAGTCACCTTTTCAGATCCTGGAAAACCAGGGCAATGGCTGGTTGAAAGACTGGTTGATCCTTAAAGAAGAAGAACTCCCTTGATCCATTGACTGGTTGATACTATGTAGTTGCCAAGAAGAAAGACGGACCTGGTAGTGGAGGTTCCGACGGACCTGAAGGACTCACGTCGACTGATCGAAATCGAAGTTCAGTACGAATCCTTGGACTCTCCAACTGCAACTCCCTTGGACCAAGGAGAACAACCTCTGGGAGTTGCAGGTTGCCATTTTTTCCTGGTCAAGGGACCTGTCCGCCACGGGTCGTCATTCCAATCCACCTGACCTGGCACTGGAATCCATTCCAAGCGAACCCCTCCCGGCCACGTGAACTGAACTCCCCCCAGAACCTCAGGTACCACCTGGACCCGGTCGCCCTCCAGCGCCGCGGCGAGCCACTGGGGATCCAACGAGCTGCACCGGAGCTGCGCCGGAGCTGGGACTCCACGCTGCACCACTACGTCCGAGCGGCGACCGCTACGTCCGTTGAGGAGGAGGAGGAGGAGGAGGATCATCGAGTTGGTGCTGGTGAGGTGCAATATCTGGGCTCTCCTTTGTTGGCGCTGAAGTGGTTGAGGCCACAGGACAAGGCGGGGCGAGTGGAATCGAAGATGAAGAAAAATTAGTTGTGTTTCAAGGGTATGAAATACGATATGAGGATTTCGCGAACCAACTGCATTCCCGAGTGACTTCTTTTGTACTTCGTCCAGCCGCTTGCTGTTTCAGTGCAACCTCCAGGGTGTCCATGCAGAGTTTGCCAGATGGATTCGACGAATTGGGGCAGTAGGGAGGCCTCACGAAAAGGGCACCCCGTCTTGGTCAACTGACTGGTGCGACCCACTTTGACAGACATGACGGACAAAATTCATCCAAGTCTTGACTGAGAACTCATTCCCTCATACCGCAATGCCCTGCTACAGTGAGCGGTCGTAAGCACCAGTCAGTCCACCTCCAGTTCGCCTCCACCGGGGTCACCAACGCTGAGTCGAGGCCATCTTCTTCGAGCTCTCGGAGAGTGCCTGTCATCAGCTTCGAGAGAATGTCAAGTCGCAACGGAGTGAACTGGAGGCCACCGGATCGCCGCTGGCGCTTTCACCGCTTGAGGAATCGGGCGGTGTCAGGCTTCTCATCCCCCATTTAGCCTGACACGAGCCTGACAGGAGCCTAACGCACGATGAACTGCTGAGTATATACGTACTTTCATAATTAATCAATTAGCTGGATATGCACAAAGTCCCAGTTGATCACTGTCCAAAACGAACCAGTTGAACACTGCTTCATACTTTTTCGTTGATCAAATTGTTTGATGAAGTTGGATCCAACATGATCCAACTGTAGCTCATCAGGTGGAGATCCATCAAAGCAACTCCTATTGGCACTTGGCGCAACTCCAAGACCTCAAGCTCCGATCGGATCGAAGCCTGGTGTTGATGGATCCTCCCTACGAGCCCTACGAGACGTACATGGCGTGGAACCTCTTTTTGCTGCAGGAGTCTGTATGCCACATAAAGCGACGCCATTCTGCCTGGAAAAAAGAACCAGATCTTACCAGTATACCAAGAATACCAAGAAATGCCCTATATAGAGGCTTTTGATTTGGCCAATCTTCTCTTCACGGTTTCACCGGGCATTTCGCCGTTGCACGGGAAGCTTGCTCGCTTGCTCGCTCGCGTTGACCGTGGACGGTTTAGCTCCACCACCTTCACCCGCCTAGGAGTTTGATCGAAAGTGGCCCAGAACCTCCGTTCTGATGTGGTTTCCATATCTGGATCAAGCTCAGGCGGGAAGAGACGACCTGCAGGAACTGCACCGATGTGGTTTGCGTGGTGACCGTAGACGAGAGTGTGAGTTCTATAGAGTTCTTTCGTTTGGAGTAGAGTCGTTGTGGGGAGCGATGAGAAATAGGCTGTGCTTTTTTGAGAGGCTGCCTCCAAAAAGAGATCATTTAAAGAGTTCGATGCTTTCAAGCGATTTGAGAAGGCTCTTCCTTCAGGAAGCTGGAGAACTCAGAACTTCAACAAACGTCTCAGAGATACCCGGTGTTGAAGTCCTGTTCCTTTTGTTTTTTGGTCAAGGATCCCTTTTGGGGGTTTGGAAGCGCCACCCAGTACGAGCAGCATCGCCCACCAAACCCAGTTCCACGCGTGCGAAGAGATGTGCCAGACGACGGCACAGGTGGATCGGCTCTACCGAATGTTGAAGTCCTTGGACCTGGACCCGGTGCTTTGCGCGGAGTTCGGCTTGCAGGAGACAGAGTCCTTGGAAACCTCAGGCACCGGCACCCTCCATCAGTGGGTGTGCCACAAACCCACGACGTCACACATACGGAATGTCACACCAACTCGGGATGTCATACATGTACGGAAAAAATCGCATGGGACCAGTGCTGAAGAGTGCAAGTTTGGTGGAACACCCATCTGCGGTTTTGAACTTGGAAACCAGCTTGGAAGAACACCATGAACATATATGACATATGGTATTCCCCAGAAGTCCAAGGACTATATTTTGACGGACTGAAGTAAAGGAAATTCCTAGACTCGGGTCACCTAGTCAGACCATTCTTTTTATTGTCTTTGACTCCCAGGGTATTTGGACCGAACTCATGTCAAATATCCACCGAGCTGCAGCGGTCAGGTTTGATCTTCCTCCGGCCACCGAGGGAGCTCGGGGGCCCAATGGGGGGCCCATTGGGGTGAGGCACAGCCTATGGTAGCCTCGTCCGACCTGAAGATGTTTGGCGTTTGATGTGAGGTTGTCTCATGAAGTATCCGGACATGCCAGACATCAGCACCAAATTGGATGATAGATGTGCATTATAGTTGCATACATTTGCTTATGTAGTATAGACATCTAGTGAACACATGCAACCACTGAAATGGATAGAACATGATAGAACTGTATGAATAATTTCGTGTGAGAGTCTCCAAAAACTCATGGGCAGAAACCCACTGCTCTGATTCGTCCCATTATTCGTTGAGGACTGAGCCTCGATTGCGAGAGATGCTGAGGTTGCTCGGTCGCATGTGGGAGTCCAGCACAAGTGTGTGTGTGTGTGTGTGGTGCAAACATGTTTGTTGGCAGTATGAATCTGGTGTGTTGTTTCAGGAAGTCAAAGTTCTTGTTGCACTTGCCTTTTTTTCTGGGTGAAAGCGCCATCAGTGATTGGGCAGGCAGGTTGCCTGGGGCGTCTCGTTCACTCCAAAGGAATGTCTGACCCACCCAGGAGCAGTGGACAACCTTTTACCGTTAATAACCCTTTTGGGGGGATTGGTTACCCCACCAAACATTGTTAACTGTTATTTTCCAAAAAAACAAACTGACTGGTCAGTCCCTGATCTTATGGGAGGGCAAGTCATCCGAAGCGGACTTCGAGTTCTCAGATCTCCGGCAGCGGAGGTCATTGGCACGGATCTTATCCTGTGACAGACCGCTGAAGAATTCGGTGTTTTGGCTCTCCGAGTGGCAGAAAAAGGGGCGGCGAAGGGGCCGGGACAAGGGGCGGTAAAACCCACTCTTTGGTACGGAAGCAAAGAGGAACTTCACTGTCCTGTTTGCTGTTTACTGTGGATCCACAATCAGGACCATCAGGAGCTCAGGAATCCCAAACGTTAGAATAAGTAAGGTACGTTTTTATATATGTTCTTGTTCACAATGTTGTATACCTTCTCACAACTTGACATTCCAGACGGCTTCATCATCTTCAACCATCCACATCCACCTTTGGCAGGTGAACGATGCCATGTTCCTTTGCTCGTACATTTGCAGCGCCCAGGCCGGCTGTAGTTGCAAGTCATGTCATCACAGTGCCGCCCAGCCTGGAGCAGGAAGTGATTCCAATCACCGGTCCCATGTCCCACGTCCCGATTCTTGCGCTCCTCGACCTTGGAGGCTGGACCATGGCTAGGTGCTGATGCCTGGCCAGCCTCCTTCCTCTCCAAGGCGGGCGTTTTTGAATATCTGTGCGACGTAGAAGGGCACCTTCTGGCGGCACTGGCTTGAATTACTTCATGAACATGCTTGGGGGGTGCACACATAGGATAGACTCTTGATGAATATGGCAGATACAGTAACTCCCCGATTGGGATTGTAACACATCTCTTAGAGGCCTGGAGGTGTTGACATATCAAGAGTCTACATTGCCGGGCACAGATGGCAGATCCTGGGGCCCAGATGGCAGTCCATCCGGTGGAGGTCCTGGAGGTCGTGTTCAGCGGAGGAAGGAAGCAAAGCCTCTGAGGTACGCGATGAATCTTTTCTGTGCCAACCATTGCTATTTGCAATTAGTCCATGAGGGGATCATTTAGAAACTCAGCGATGGTCAAACACTGAATCGCCTGAGCAGTCTTTTCCTTGGGTGCATAGTCTTTGCAGAAGAGGTATGGCCATTGAACCATGTTGAACCGCCCTACAGCATCACCTACAGTTGGAACCACCAGAGGAGTTTCCGAAACGCGCGGAGGCTGTGGCTTCCTGCGTGCGTCGTGCCATCAGTCATCCGCTATCATCTACGGCTCTCAGTGTCGTCGGACGATGGAAATCCATGACCTGTAGAAGCTGCATCTGTCGAAGAAGACCATGTGTTCAGCCAAAAACACTTGAAAGTTAACCCAACCATCTCCAAGCAGGTCTGAAGCACCTGTGAACAGGGTGCCCTTCAGGAATCTGGAGCATGCACATGTTTGGGTTGACAAGAAGCAAAGGCTCAGAACCCACAGCGGCGTCCATGGTAGCGACCAAAAAGCGGTGCTTGGTGCTTTCCGGGGGTCCAACATGGTCATTTGGAAGTCACACAGCTGTCGCTGTTCGCCCATCCTCCCGACCTTCACACGCCCATCCCATGCGGCACTTCCGATGGTGTGTGCTTCTGCTGACGGCACCTTCGGGCCTGGCGGAGGAGGCCCAGCTTGAATGGTGAGCTTGAAGGGACATCTGGGGTTGGAGGAAACCCCAGCACAAGTGGATTCCATTGGTTTGTGCGCCAAATCCCAGAAAGAATGGCAAGTGATGCAGTGAAGAGAGACAGGCGCATGATTGAGGTACCATATGGCTTCTTGATGAAACAGGTGCATGTTAGGGTTATCAGCTGCTCAACTTCCCAAACGCTGTGGTTTCACTCAACAATCGCTATAGATCTCAGACCCAAATTCCGCACCCCAACACCCGGGCCCCCTGCAGTCCGCTTCGATGCATTGCATCGATGACCAGACATGAGTGATGGACTATATTTTTAATTCTAATAGCTTTTTGTTACCACTAGTAAGGCACCTGTTACTACTAGCGTGGCACTTGTTACTAGAAGCGATGCACTTGTTACTACTAGGGAGATGGAAAGCCCCAGGATGCTCCATGTGTTATCATCCCACTGCCGACATTGGACTCCACTTTCCACTCTAGGCTGATGAGGCCACCGTGAGGAGCGCTAGTGGGTCCGGGGACGGTGCGGATGGGTTTTCCGGAGGAAGGCCCGGGGGGGGTTAGACAAACAGGGGCAGTGCAACTATTGCTGTGCGTTGTGTGACTATATATTATAGAGCTTACTTTGTGGCGGTGTCGGTATGGTGCTTTGATTTCGGAGTTCAGATCTTCAGCTTTTCAGTGAAGTTGGGCTGAAGTTGGCTTATATGCTTATACTAAATCATACTAGCGCAGTTGTTCTCTTGACCATCCAAGCACTCACTGAGCATGGAGACCTGCAGCACAGCATGTTTCAGGGCGAGTGCCAGCGAGTCCACGGGAACGTTTCATGGGTTCAACGGCTTCTGTCCTCGGGTAGTGTGAAGCCGCAGAATGGCTCTCGAACCAATGGTGTCGACATGAAGATGGCAACAGCACGCTTCATGCAAAGACCCCAAGGCACCAATCGAAAATATAATTACAAAAATGAAAGATCCAAAGATCCACACAGTGATGCCTTATGATACCTTAAAAAAGAAAAACCCACACACAACTGACCACCTTGCACGACCGTGCAACGTTCGTCTAGAGGAAAAGCCCTCGCGACAACGTCCGTCCGCACACACCTCGCGCAGCCGAAGGCGCTGCCTGCAGCGCCGCTTTCCACGGAGCCGCTCCGAACTGCCACGGCTCCTGAAGCTCCGCCGAACGCGGGCGACGCGACGCGGGCGACGCCGAAGCCGAAGAAGACGGTGGAACTGTCTGGAACTGAGGTTCGGTGGTGGAGCAGCTGCTCCGGTGGTCGCACGGGGAGGTTCTGAAAAAGGGCTTGGCAGATGGTGAAAAAGGGAACTGGATCATCAGTGGGGACTTCCGTTGAACGACGACTGCTTCTTGAAGCCTCGGCTCGCTCGACTCGGCTCGTTGCGATCGGCTGCCGCACTTGGCCGGACTCGGAGGGTCAGTTTTCCACACCAGAGATCATCAGGCCATCGATGGCTGGATGTGGTTGGAAGAAGCAAAAGAAGGTCTCCACATGACAATGAACCACCATGAAATAAGAAAGAACTGCTGATCGAGGTGTTTCTCATGTTGTTCCATTTGCCATCATACCACCCTCCCACCCGCTAGGGTGCGGGGGGTTTACCCTTGCGGCCTGGCAACAACCGGTGCAGCGCCGCACCCAAGGAACTGCCTGGGTTTGGTGCGCGAGGCAGTGGAGGTGGGAGCTGTTTGGTGGTCCAAAAGGTAGAAAGATGGGTGTTGTTGGTGGTCCATGTGGCGTTGTTGGTTGACGTTTGACAGGTTTTTGCTGGTGTTTTTTTATTGTGTTTTTGTATATGAACAATTAACAATATAGCCAAACATTGATTGTTTGGGGTGTTTAACAAGTGGTCTACATGAAAGAGAAGAGATTGACATATTTAAGTCGTTGGTTGTTTTGTACATTTCTCCTGACGTGCTTTCTTCCACAAGAAGGGGGTTTTTGTTGCTTTCTCCTGAATGGGCTCTGCCAATGAGGAGCGTATCTTTTTTTGGTGGGCCCCAAGTGCATTCCAAGTACTTCCGCTCCCAGTGCCTCCGACCCGAAGATGTCGTCCGACCGCGTTGTTGACGTCCAACGTGTGTAGTTCGATCGCGTCAACGGTTCACGCGCATCCTCGGGGGCAGGTGGGAGTCCAAGCGGGCGTGCACGCGCATCACTTCTTAGAGGAATGGAATGGCACTCGCAGGGAGACCGAGAAGACGAAGGGGTGGGGGTGGTTCGTGGATGGTGGTGTTCGTGGTGGTTCACAGGTCCAAAAGGTTTCTGTGGTTCGTGTGTGCACAGAATTGAAGGTATTTCGGTTTTCTGGTGTTTGCAGGGACAAACCTGTGAAACACTCGATGGGACAAAATTCTTTTGGCATCCAAACATGGTGCTGGTGGTGTTCACTCCACATCCACGCAACGTCCAAAGACGTCCCTTTCCCTCCTCGAGTAAGACTGCAGTGTCCTTTTTTGGTACGACGAAGTCCAGCAAAAATGAGGTCGAACTGGACATTAAAAATGTTTTCCTGTACCAACACCCGACTTCATAGGTCACTACCCGCCACAACTGTTCCCGTCTCCGTTTTTCGACGGAGACCTGGCAGAGTCGGGTCTCCATGGACTCCATCCGTCCCGAGGTCTCAGATTGGTGGACCTCTGGGGAGAGGCGCGAAGCTCGCGAGCGAACGCGCGCGAGCGCGCAGCCGGAGAAGCCAAGAGCTCTGGAGAGGAAACTCGAGTGTCAATCAGCAAAGCACTGACAGGAAGTGTGGTAGGAAGTGTGGGTTCCAGTACCCTTTGCCGGTTTGGCATCTTCCCTGTGGAGTTGTTTGGCTCCTGTTGGGGCTGGCCACTTCGAAAAGATGACGGGACGCACTTGGAAGAAATATGAAGAAATTATATATAGGTCATTCAGCTTTCGGGGGTCGGCCAACCAGATTCGCGCCTCCTGTCATGTGAGACATGGGCGGTCAAAAGGTCGCGTCACATTTGCAGCAAAAACCCCAAGAATTCCACCAGCGACCTCACTCCCGCATTGCTCCACCGCCAGCCCTTCGTGGGTCGGCGCAAAACCCAAGGCGGGATCCGAGACCAACCTCTTCTACGTGGATATTGCCAATGTGCACGGCGCCACCGCCCGGAGGCGGGGGGGTTCGTGTTGGTAGTCCGGAATGCTGGGTGAAAGATCCAAGGTCGTTAAGATGTCCAATCAATGTCCAATCCACCTAGAATAACTTAAGTGTTTCCACCCAAAATCCATTTAAGGCACAGTATTGAGTATACGTATAACATCGTATAACTTATATAAGCTTAGAGCTTCAGAGATGTTTTGCAAAATTTGTCCGTGTCGTCTTCCCCCGACACTTCCACGATCCGACACACCGAAAGAGAGATGATGGCATCGACAAGAGGACGGGATTCCAGTGGCAGAAGTGGGACATGGCGTTTTGGAGGGCCCAAGCGTTCGGTCGTTGGATGCACGTTCGGGCGCAGCCAAAAAGATCCAAAAAGTTTCCTTGAGCCCATTCAGCGTTCGGGACGGCCCGAAACAGACCCGACACAGACCTTTGACGTCTTTTCACATCCGAATTGAGTAATGATGTTTTTCTCACGCGAGAAAAATCATTACTCAATTCAGTGTCCAGGTTGTTGTTTGCGCTTTTGGCGTCTCGGGTCTCTCTCTCTCTCTCTTTTTTGAGACCCCAACTGGACACCAACGCCACTTTCGCTTGTGCAAGGCAGCATCGGCTCCAATGTGAAGAGCGACTGGAACGGTGTGGCGTGACGGGTTTCTGGAGACGTCAGCCCCGCCGGGGTCGAAGATCGAAGGCTTGCGTCATGTAACAAAAATTGGCAATAACAACCATGGGCCACTGCTATTTTCAAGCAATTATCCTTTCAATCAACAAGATCCTCAATGAAGATACATGAAGATCACAGAAGATCATAGAGTTGGAGCCTCGTGAGTTTCCAGATAAATGTACGGTAAGTATAGATCAGTATGGAAGTACTAAGTTCATGCTTTGACTTCAGTACTTAGTCTTGGAAGCGGAGGGTCTTTCCCACTGCCTTTGTCACCCCAAAAGGGCCAATCTCCGAAGGATCTTCGGGGTGTTCAGAAGGTCAACACGAGTAGGACCTATGGCGTTTGACCCAACAACCTTCTAATACTAAGAGCTTGGGTTTTTGATCCAACACCCTCCAAAGAACATCCCTTCTCGTGGTTTTGGGCCCTCTTTGGGCCTTGCTGGTGGTGATGCTGTGCCTTCTAGGCGGATGCTGAATGGCGCTTCTTTGGCCATTAACCCTGCTAACGGCGATACGCCAGGTCATTGGCGTCAGGCCACGCAGAGGTGCTGAACATGGTGGGGAGCTCGGTCAAGCGCTCGACGCGTCAAGCGCTCCGGCTCGACTGATCTACTTGGATCATCATCCCAGACACGTGACATGTTGGTCCTTGAAGGGTTAATTACCTCGCTTTCTTGGGAGATCAGTGTTGGATCCAATACCCTGTGTTTTCTGTTGATGTCGTTCTCAGATGCGACTCAGACATCATGTCGGAAGCGCCCTGGTGGGACGGGTGGCGCTAACACCCTTCCGCAGGAGAGCGTGCATGCGGCAAGTCAGATTCCAGACGCGGATCTTGATTTTGCATCTGGGCGGCATGGCATCTGGGTCAATCGCTCGCCATGGAGATGTTCTCCCCTTAACAGAAGTCTTCCTGAAAGTAGGAACCACTTGACATCTCACTAAGAATAAGAAGACCTCCCAGAAGGTTCGTGAAAATGAACCAGTCTACCCAGCCAGGGCCCACCGGAGTCACCCTCAACATACATACCCAGTTACATACCCATATAATAGATTGGTTTGGGGGAGCTGTCCAAGTGTCTAAAATTCACCAGACGTTTTTCAACCAACAACATTACAAGGTACTTCGTTCAATAGACAACAACAATCGAACAATACGTCACTTCACTTCGTTGAAGTGTCTGAAATTCAATAGACTATCCATTCAACAACAGTCGAACCCCACTGAAATCCAAGGCGCCGGTCCCGAAGAATTCACGCGACCTGCCGAACGACGTAGGAAGTTCCGGTTGGCGCTGAGCCAGTGGCTGCACACCCCTATGGCATCCTATGGCCTATGGGGTAATGCGGCATTTAGAAGGTCCACCTTGATGATTTCACACCAAAAGAGGGCCACCTCTCGTGCCGCTGGTCGTTTTCTCCGTTTCCACCGCGCGGTTCGTGCGGCAGCAGGTCTACTTGGACGCGCGGCACGACTTCGCGGGCGTGGTGGCCGACATCCATGTGGGGAGCCGGAGTGAAAGACCTGCGTGGGGGGAAAGACCTGGAAGTGGAAGTTCCAAGAATTGCTTCTACCAGGGGTCACATGTCGGGGTAGTGTTTTGTCCCATCCAGTGAGTGGATGTTCCAGGGCCACCCCGACTTCCTCCAAGTTCGGCACCCCTTTGTGACTGCTTCTAATTGCTTCTTCTGTTATAATCGAAGTTCATTGAATGACTTGGTGTGTTTTTTAAGACTTTTGGAAGACGTCGATTCTCTGGTTTGAGAATGTTGGAGAATCATTCACTTCTTCGAGTTCATGGAATTCTCTTCCAGTTCCAAACGGCACATCCCATCAAAGCATACGGATGCCACACGCCTTCGGCGCCGAATGCCAGGCCTGGTGGCCTAAGGTCCGTGAGGGCGGCGTCTTCGCAGGCGGTTCGGCGGTTCGGTGCGGGGGAAGATTCGGCGGTTCGTCGGGGTTCCTTTGGTTTCGTTGGTTTTTCCTTCGGCCGAGTGGGACGAAGGTGTTGTTTTTGCCTCGTTTTTCTTTTTGCTTTTTGCTGTTGATGATTTTGATGGATGCTGAATGCATGATGAAAAAAGATGTTGATTTGGGGTTGATTGATGTTGATTGATGTTGTTTTTGCTGTCGTTGCTTTAATCGCGGATCCAGGGGGAGATTGGGAGATATGTTTTTCTGGTCGTGCCATCCGTGCACTCAACGAGCTTTGGTCGAAACAGCGGTAGATGATAACCTTCAGCGGTAGAAGAGTCTTTGGTGATTCGGTGCAGCAGGGTGATGCAGGTGAGTAGTTTCAGACAAAGAATGCTGACAAGTCGTCAGCTATGTTCTTGCTGTGTGAGTGCCCATAAGTGCTGTTAATTGATCAGGTGTTGGTTTGATTGACGTTCTTTTGTGGGCAACTCATTGCAAATGTGGAACAGTTAGACCCAGTCCACTTTCAACTATGATTAGTTTGGATTTTTTGACAAACAAATCGCTCTGGTGGGAAAAGGCTCATGCCCTCTCACTCACTAACACAGAGTGGACAAAATGGCTGGAAGCTGGTTTTTGAGTGTGCAACCTGCATGTCATGTGCCCATTCCATGGTTTAGGTCACAGTTCTCAAGGGGTTTTCATCCACGGAAAACCGAGTGAGTGGCCTCCTTTTGAGGATCCCCAAACCCCATGGTGTTCGACGTGGTTTAAGGCCACGATTTCGTGGATGGCGAGTTCCCCGAGGGCGACTTCTTCTGGATCTCCGCCCTCCAGGAGGCACAGCGCACGGGCGAAAACGGCCGGGTCGGATGATCATCCTTCGGAGGTGGGTTTAGGCTCCAGAAGATGGCATAAGACTATGATAAGACTATGATAACCTGAAGTCTCGAAATGGACTGGCAAAAGTACTGGAAGAGTGGCACCCAACCAAGTTCGCGATGTCCTAGGGTCCTAGTTAAAACACGACTCTTCACAACAGTGTGGCTAGCGAGTTTGTAGACCTAAGCTGTCTTTAATGGCACGTGAACCGTCGTTGAAATCGCTCAGCGCCCTTTGACACCCCTTGGTTTACCAGGATCACCCGACTCTGCTTGGGGTTTGTTGGGCCTGACATCCTTTGGTGTTCATACCTACCCAGGTTTCGTGCGTGGATAACCGGTCTTAAGCTTAGCATGGGGAGAATGGGGATGGATGGAGTACACCGCCTCGCTAAAAGTCCTGTTTTTTTAAGGGTGATCGGTCTTTTTCCGTGAGGTTAAATCATGTTAAATCCATTGGGACTGTGTGTGTTTTCTCATTTCTTTCCCCTTTTTTTCCTGAATAAAGCATATCGAAGCATCGAATCGGTGGACCGTTCGGTGGAACTACCCGGCGTCCGGCGAGTCCGTCGGTCAGGTTTTGCCCAATCAGCCCGTCCACGTGATTCGTGGGGGGGCCCTGCCTTGCCTGCCTTGCCTGCCTTGTCACAAGCAGAGAAAACTAAGTAGTCGGGCAGCGGCTCCACTCAAAAGAGGTGAGTGGGTGTGGAAGTTTGGACAGCAAATAGAACTCTCAAAGATGCTAGGTGTGATGATGTTTCTAGTAGATTCTAGCAAAATGCCACTGGCCGCCTGATGCTTTTGGGCGAGATCTCAACTCTCTTTTCAGTAAGTCCAAGGTGAGCAGAACCGCTACCCGTCCTTCTTCATGCTGAAGAGCCCGAACATGACGGGTGCCGAGCTCAGTGCTGGCCCAGCGAGTCTTGGTGGACTTGGTGTGGGGTTGGTCCTCTCAGTAGCCAGTGGAATCAAAACAAAGAAAACATCAAAGTGAACATGGCGGAGTTGATTATGGCTCGAAGGGTCTTTGATTCAGAGCGCGTCTTTTCATGTTTGGAGAGTGCAACGGTATGGATGTTGATGTGGAACTCTATCGCGAAATGACCGTTCTTTGTCGGAAAACTGGTCGAACACTTGTAGAACGATACCTACTGCTATCTACACTGCTTGCCGTCCTGCAACCCACAGATCTCCACCTGACCTATGAAAGTCTTCACGAGGGATTTGCTCGGTCGAGGCCTGGTGCCCCGGCCCTTGGACACGATGACCCACACCTTGCGGCTCTACGCCGAAAGGCGTGGAGAAGCGGTCGAACCAAAGCGTCAGACGAGATGGGATGGCGTGGAGAAGGGACGAGAGAAAATAGAGAAACGACGTGCCGGAACGAAAGGGATGATGCCGTGAACTGGTTGGGAGAGAAACGACATGGGATGATGGAAAGCTCCCTTTTTGGAATGAAAGATGCTGGCGTGTCGATGCTGAGCGCTGGCTGCTGAGTGATGCTGAATGCTTTTCTGGCTTCCTTTCGCGAACCGGTGGCGCCACCTTCCCTCGACCGGTTCGCGCGCTGCGCGCGCAGGAGCAAGTACTTTGAGTTGTGGGTGGCGACCGGTTCAGGACCGGTGGCCCTGACACGGGTGCGGTTCGTCCATGTTCTTCGCAGGTGTGGAAGGGCGGTGGGAGAATTTGCTGAGCATTTGAAGGTTCGGCTGAGTTGGAATGACATGAAAAAGACATGAACAACACCAGTTGGGGATTCATGTTTGTGTTTGAAGAAGATGAGCGAGTGACGGGGTCCGGCGAGAGTGCTTTCCACCTACATTCCCAGGTCTTCATCCCTTCAAAACTCACATATTGAAACCCTGAGAACTACCACGGACCAGTGGGCTATTTGGATGTGGACAGTGTTTGTGCTGGTGCCCAAGCAGCGATCGCAGTGGTCGCTGGGAAAGGCAAACATGACAAAAAACTAGGCCTCAACATTCAAAGTGCACACCGAACCCCAGCTTGAAAAGAGTGAGGAACCTGAGGAGCACACCAAGGCAGTATGATATGGGTGCCAGTGGCAGCTAAGCTTCATCGAAAACCTCGCCACTCAGTCGCCTCCCAACATGGAGGTTTGAAGTAGATGAAGCCAGGCAATGGGTGTTCTTTCGCTTTCTTTCCGAAAAATCCATCACTGAGAAAGAAAGCTATAAAGCTGGACCTGGAACTCAGGAACTCATTGCATGGATGAAGGAGTGTGATCGTGCGTGGTGAAAATGACCACACTTTTATGGATCTATGGAGTTGTGTTGTGTTTCACAAAGGGAGGGTCGGCTCCGGCTCGTGCTCCTCGTGCCAGCTCCGATGGATCGTGCCAGCTCTAGGAGAGAAGAACGAGGACTTCTTGCGGTCCTGCCAAGACACCTGCAGCAAGAACCTAAGGACGCAGGCTCGAAGCCAATGCTGAGACACGGAAGACCAGGAGATCTGAGAACATCGAACTGTGGTGACCATTTTGACACGGAAGATCCTTCGCGTTGGTGTGTTTGAAGGCCTTTGTTCCTGAAGACCCAAGAGTCAGATTGTTCATCCCTCAAATCCGAGGCTCAGATTGTTCCCTGAGAGTCTCCAATTTCACACCCTCACGCTGGGCACTCAGCGAACGAGGCAGATTAGACTTGGTTTGGGCACTTGACTCGTTGGCGTTCTCTTCCGACCTTGGCAGTGGCATTGTGTCCAAAAAACTACACTTGTATACACATGTTCATTTGCGTCGGACGGCCGAGAAATGACTCCGCCCTGAACTGAGGCCAGAACTCCGTAAATGAATACCTGTCCAACATGTGCTGTGGTAGGAAGTGGGGGACAGCCCTTCTCCCCACTGAGGCAAGTGGATCTAAGCTGCCAGAATATCTGGATCGTTCATTCCTGGAGAACACATCTAGCTGCAGCTGTTCTTGGGCAATATGAAGGGCAAGGTGTGCAAGAGGATTCATGAGATTATTCATGATGAAGCGCACCCGCAGGTCTTTGCCTTTGGAATGATACCAAACGAAATAGAACAAGTGAATCCGTCAATCCTCCTAGAATCCCTAGATCATGTGTGTATTGCACCAGGTGAAGTTTCTTACGCCTGAGCACCTCTTTTTCTGGTTTCTTGTCTTTCCACCCAGCAGGCACCGAGAAACCAGCTGCGCAGACCGTAGACCGAGACCCGGCACATCGGCACGGCGTGGCGCCGTGGGTGTGAGGCACTGCTGTCTCTACCTTGCGACCCTTCGCCTGTGGCCAGGACTGGACGGTGAGAGCGAGGTTCCATGAGATTCCGTCGAAGATCACGTGAAAGGAGTTGTTTGGAGTTTTTTTGTGTGTGTGTGTGTGCGCGATATGCATCGATATGCATCGATATTATTGAGTAACCCTGTGGCAGAAGGACAAAGCGACCACATGTTGTTGGTTTTCCTGAGCCCTAAACAATTGTGTATCGCGGCCTTCCACTGCAACTCGTTGTTCCAATCACAAGGGCCACTCCTGTAAGCTTTCTGACAATCAGCGGCCAAAGGCATTGGTTGTGTCAAAGATCTCCTCCTTGATTCAACAGTGATGTTGGTTAGCAGCAATTATATAATTACTTCTATATACCAGTATGGTGATATGGTGAATTAGAATTTGGTGCTCACCAAACATCACATCACATACCTCCGATCCAACAACCCCCGATCCGGGCCCACAGCCTCACGTTTGACCTCACGACGAACGAGCCCAGAATCAGGGAAGGTCCCATCCTTTGAAAAGGACACGAGTCCAGACCCGTGATCCATCCCAGGTCTCGTTGTCCAAGATCTTCATGTTTCACGGACCTGGCCGACCTGTTCGCCCACCTGGCCTTGATTGATCCATATCTTGATCCAGATAGAGGGTTTCCTGGGTCCAAAACCTGTAAACCCTCTTAAGGTTGACTTCCCTGATAGGCCATTCGGATCCATTCGATGCATGTGTCCGTCCACCGGTACCGACACGTCACGCGCGTGACTCTTCGCGGCTTCAGGGGCAGGAGACTTGCGCCTCGGAGGTGACCTTGGACGTGGAAGCCTTAGCGCTGAGCAGAGGTCGGGTGAGACCGAGCCTGGACATGCTGGAGGTGGGCGAAGGGTCCATTGAAAACCCTGCATGGTGAGTGGGGTCAAAACCCGGACCGCGAACAGGTTGGGGCAATTTTCTGAGCCTCCAGCCTGAGCTGGCCAAGGCTTTTTTGGGTAAGGTCACCCGAAACATCCAGGATTTCGGCGAATTCGGAGCTCGGGCCGGTTTTGGGTCCCCATGGTTCCCCATATGAAGTCGCTGAAGAGAAGGCGTTGGAAAACGGTTCGAACGCTTTCATGGTCGGTTTCCCGTCGGGAAGATGTGAGTGAAGCGTCTCCTCTTGGTTCGTTTCCGTCGTCGCGGCTCGACCATCCATCGAGCCGAGAGTGGAGCAGCGCGGCGTGAGGTGGACGTTTACCGACAAGTCTGCTTGGAGAGATGTGCAGTCGGGGAGCCCCGAGCCGAGCCGATCGGTGCGGTGTTCTTTCGGATTGGCGGGCTGCGGGAAGTTTGACAGGACGTCGTGTGTAACCGGGACTAACCGGGCATAGGCTCTTTGTTCAGAAGCCGGGAGATCCTGGCCGTGCCCAACAATGAGGAAACTCTGAGCGTTTTGGAAGATCAAAACAAATCGATCCTTTATATATGCTGAATCTCAGTGTTCTTTGGAATCATTTACTCAGACAATGACTAAATGACTAGGGTGTGTCTCATTATAGCAGTAGGTAACAGAGTACAAAGGATTATCACTATTTTGTTATACTCGTTTACCTATTTTTGAACAACTCTTGACTACCCATCATCATCCATTGTTACCAGTAATGGGACATGCCCGTGCCCAACAAAAAGCCCATGACACATGAGATTCACAAAAAACAAAACCACTGCCACCTTGAAAAAGAAAGCTCTTCTCCTCTTCGTTTTCCTGCCGAGCTGGTCGTTTGCTCGGCAGGTCACGTGCGAACAACGAAAGGACTTGTTCCACGCCAAAGGGAATGAGATCTTGAAGCATCGCCGAAAAGAGGACGAAAAAGGCTTTTTGTGGCTGATCAGGGATCGTTTTGATGTAAGAAATGGAGAGCACCAGCTGAGAAAGATTCATGATCATGTTCCACCAGTTAAAAAAGACATCGATGATGGTTAGTTGGTTCATCTACAGTATTCAATGTGTGTACTGGTTGTTGCTATCAGCAGTACAGCACTTTGCCTAATTTCCATGACCCAGGTGCAAGAATAGGCGGGAACGCATGGTGGGCATGCCGGTTGAGCTTGCCAGGCCAGTGTGCCGGGGCTGAAGCCACGCGATGTGGTCCAGGCAGCCCTCAATGGGATGGATCCCCAGGCGGGACGGAATAGGGTCTTCCAAGTGGCCACGCCATCCGTTAGTGAATCAGAGGCTAATAGCTGTTTTATAGCTCAGCATCCCCTTGCCCTAAATGTGCCATGAATCTCTCGTGCTTGGAGTTATTTGCTCGCAAAGTTACAGGAAAAAACCTCAATCCTCAACAGGCATGTCATAGTTTTTTTTGACCTGAACAAGCCTCCATGAGGATGAACTGATCACCTCAAAACCGATACGTCGCGTTAACCCCCACCCCCTCGAGTTCTTCAACACGGCCCTCCTTTTCAGCAGGTCGTGAAGCCGGAGGAGACCCAGAAGATCCTGGACGCCTACGTGTCCGCGACGTTCCTCGGCGAACGTCTGCGATGCCGGCGAACTCGATGCCAGGGAAGAACCCAACGCAACGCACATGTCCAGCGTGGCCGGCACTGCGATGGACAAGTTCTAAGTCATCATTGCACAACGAGTTCTGAGTCTGGTAGTGCCCGTTTGGGGTGGTATAGGATGTCGTGCACATCAAATAAATGCGTTGTCCTCCTTTACTTAAATATACTTAAATCATATTATAGTCACTATAGTCCTCCTTTATTTGCACACAGTATTACTTGGTGGATAACTGGAGAGCTGACGACCCACCAGAAGCTCAATATAAAGCCGCCCAAAAAAGCTGGGTTGGTCCTGAACACAATGCATTCCCTAAACAATGTCCCTCCAGACCAGTTTTTTTCATGATGTTTCATGACTTTTCATGTTGAAGGATGTGTCCTGAGATGCAGCACCTGAGATGCATCGTGTTTGGTTAGAGATCTATATAGGTACCTCTCATCCGCCCGTGACGGCCCCATGCCGTGACGGCGAAGGGGGCTTGGGGGCACCATAAGATGTGTGTGGTATGCCTGGATCATGTCACACCAGGGGGTCAAGTCCCATGTCAGGGACTGGGTCATGGATGGTCATGGGTGGCACCCAGAGCCCGGGACTCACCCTGGTAGGTTGACCATGTCCGTCTAGTCCGTCTAGTCTGTCCATGTTCGATGTGCCAAGCGGTCCCGGTAGCCAGGTGGGGCGAGGAGACCAGCTTCGGGACGCTGGAGGCCTTCGACGGCGTGATGATCTCCGTGCCACCACAACAAGCGAGCATCCAGTCGCCCGGCGGAGCCGGAGCAAAGACCGGGGAGCGCGAGCGCTGCGCGAAGTCCGAACTGAACTAGGCTGTTCTTGTTGCAGTTTGCTTATGTGTGTTGTTGGTCTTGTTGCGCGTGGGTCAGGAGGGAGGAGTGGAGGGTGTTGACCTCCTTTGACAAATGGTCTTTGGTGGGACTGGCAAACCTTGGCAATGTTTGGAGATACATCAAGTCATCAAGTTGCCCAGAAGATTAGTAGGACAACAAGGCGCTCAGACCCATGAAGAGTCCCAGACCCACTGGATATTCCAGTCAATACTGGGTTGCTCCGCCACCAGCCACTCAATTGGCCAATAGATGCAAACAGTAAGAGTAAGCCAAGTTGTTGGTGTCCCACCGGTACTTGGGGGGGTGAGGAAGCTGGGTGTCTTGGGTCTCCAAAGACGCAGGCTCTGGAGGGCCACTCGGCCACTGTGGACCAAACGATCTCCGTCCCCTGCAGACCTCCGCGTCCTTTCCCATACGGTAGAGGCACGGGCACGGCCCGGAAGGCGAGGTTGGCCATGTGAATCCATGCGGCCGATTGAAAGTCGTCATCCTATAGTGGGACGTAGACTCTGTGCACTGAACTCATGGTTTTTCTGGTTCCTGGAGCTACGCGCCCATAGAATAACACTCCTTACGAGCAATCCAGCGCGGGGAAGGCCATGACGACGTCAAGGTCAGAGCCGACGAGCTCTAAAATTGTCGCGTCTGGTTCTGGCGATTTAGAGATAACGTCCCCCTCCTGCCGAACTCTTTCAGAGGCCATCATCCCATTCTTGGATAGAGCCCACAAAGGATCTCACAAGCCACTCATGAATACTCTGAATCTCCATCGTTCATGCTAGAAAAAAACCTCCAAGATTCATCCAGATACCGACCAACTCGATTCCGATTTCGCCCAGGTCCCGGCTGTCCGGTTCGAACTCCCCCCGCAAGACGTCGCCACCTCCCGCAAGGTATTGTTTAGGCCCGGGACCCCAGAAAGTGAACGACTTCCGGCCACTCCGGCCACTTCGACCCGATGTCCCTGCCGCCCGTGACCGCCAGGTCCACCGCGGTCGTCTCGCCGGTCCAACAATGGTTCCCCTCGGAGGGCCAAAAGGCCTATATAAATAGGAAGATGTAGGAAGGTGTGGTTTTCGTGGCCAGGAAACGACAAAAAGGGCAAAGATATAGTCAGAGGCGAAATCATGCCCAAAGGGGTGAGAGGCAAAGAAGGCGTTTTAGACAGTTGACTGATGGTGACCATACGAGATGTCGACCGCCCCAAGTGGATCAACCCAGATGTCACGCGTTTTGGACGGCAGATGTCACGCGGTGGGTCATGGTTCTTCCAGCCTTGGGCGGGCAAGATGTGGCTTTGGGGTTCTTTCAGAGCTCTGGAAGGCATGGTATGCATCAAGTGCATGGTATGGGATCCTGAAGCGTGGGGGAAACTTCACAGGTGTGGCCACAGCTCATGAGGTTCGTTTCGATCTGTGATTTTCGGCAGCTTTGATGATTAGCCAATACCTATAAGATCCTATAAGCATCTGGAAGAGGGATCATTGGCTGAAAGAAGGACCAACACTTTGAAGCACATCACCGCATCCAGAGGTATCCTCTGGGGCTATGCCATACGAGGCCAGGCCTCCACTCACCTGCCAGGATTTGATGAGATTTTGAAGAGAGCAGGAGAGTCTTCTTGCACAGAATCATTGCCGATATGGAAGATGTTCGCAGATGTATTCGTCTTTGGTCTTTGACGTGATTATGTTAGTTTGTTGTAGGGCCAGGGCAGGTAGGGGACCAATGTGAATTTGACCGCGGACCTGTCTCAGGGATGGTGAAGCGCTTGGCATTGGATCGTCAATTGGACACAGTTCCGGAGGCGACCAAACCGGGGTGGAGCCACCGAAACCTTTTGGCCGGAACACAGCTGCGGGTAAAGCAAGCTGTGCACAGTGACCCTTGTGATTTCTCTGAACAAGAAGGCTTCCTCCTTGGTACACGTCAGCCACCCCCCAAAAACCTAGCGTTCAGATGCGTTCAGTTTTTACATGCTTTTATACAAAATGGATAGAAGGCTGGAAATGGCTCGGAATGGGCGGCGGAACATACGAAGAGGTTCGGACCAGTTGATTGACCCGATCTTTCCGCCTAACCCGGAGACGAAGGATTCCAGTGGCTGTAGGTCATGGCACCCGGAGCCGCGTAAGAAGCGCCGAACATGCTGCGCAAGACCGATGCCCTTCTTAGTAGTCCATTTTGATCATTGTCTTTTGTCAACTTTGTCAACCAAGTTACCTCACCAAGCTGCCTTGTTTGCACTGATCACCCTGCCCACAGACAAGCCGAGCTTTAGCATCTTTAGTCTGCTTTTGTGCACGGGTCGAAGCAATGTTTCTTTTCGTTTAGCACCATAGCGTCGGTCATTTGCCTTTCGGCCAGCACTGCAGAGGTCATTCCAGTGCTCTGCTCAAGTAAATGAAAGAGCATGAAAGAACTCAAACTGGTGGATGGTTCCTTTTCAGTCTCCAAGCCCCGGACCTGAGACCTGGACCTGAGTGGAAGCAAGGGCTTTCAGCCGAACTCCAGAAGGATTCAGACGAGTAGATGGCACAAACCCTTAAATGTCTTGGACAGATGGGCAGGGTATCCAGAAGAAAAGCACCGACATTGAGGGCCCTTGTGTCATAAGCAAAAGGGCCATCTATTCTCCCTTCACTGCAAGTCTGAAGTGGTGGATGATGGTGGATGTCTATGATGCGACAGAGCATCCGCCAGGGTATGTTGGGTTGGGCCTAGCCGAGAGTCAGCTATTAAAATCCAAAAGGTCCAAGTGGAAGAACTGTCCTGCAGAGAAAAGAAGAGTGTTCCCTAATCACTGCAGAAAGTCATTGGAAAAAAACACTCGGCAAATGGAAAAAAAAAAACATAAAAAAGCACGTAACACCGACCTGTCATGATGGGCGACACCTTCTGGTGGGGAGATCAATCGGAGAACGGTTTGAGAGACGGACGTGGTACTCGGACGTGTGTCGGACGGTCGAGACGTCTCGCAGTCCATGGCTGTCCAAAGATGGCAGCTGGAACGAAGCCTGGAACCGCTCTCAGCACCGTTTTGCACGACTGAACTGGTATCGCTCACAGATGCGATGAGATGTGACCTCGAAGTGGGTTAAGATGTGAGCCGACGGCCATCCATGGCCATAAAATGGAATATTCACATCAAACGTCATTCACCCTGAGATGAATCTTAAAAGCTGCCCGAATATATAGGCAACACTTCCATGCATGGATGTTATTTCACACATGGAATACACAATTGGTTCTTTATGATGATGATATTCCATCCATGGATTCGTTGACCTCGACTGCTTTCGTCCCTTCATTCGTCTCACCGTCCTCGCCTCAAGGACATCGACTTCAGAGAGTCCACCACTCGCCGGTCTGGTGTGGGCTTCCCAGCGAGGCCTTTCTCGCCGGAACATGCCATGTTCATGCCGCTCCAATGGGAAGCGGTGGAGTACCCTCCGTTGAACGGTTAGAAGCCATGGGAAGCCATACGTGGAGAAACGAGTGGAACAGTTCACCACCTGACCATGGTCTGGACGGATGACCTCGTCGTGGTCATCCTCTCGGACCAAGGCGTCGCCGTAAGGCAGAGTATAGGGATGCAAAGTATAGGGGTACTTCCACACGTGTCGGGAGGGCCGTAATGTAGCATAATGTAGCTATAGGCTATAGGCTGAGTCTAGATTAATATAGTTCAATGTTTCTTTGGGCTCAATGTCGCTAGCCAAAATGGCTTGCCATTTTAGTGCAAACATGGAAGCCAAGCACCCTTCATGACAAGGGATCGCTGCGGCTGCTTTGGTTGTTTTTGGAAGGACTTGATGTTTCAGGAAACACAAACATGATTAGACTCACTGAATTAGTGAATCCCCACGTCCTTACCGCGGACGTCCGTCCGTGGTCTGGACCCAAACCATCTGCACCGCTTTGCGTCCTGGAGCACGAGCGCGCGGCGCGTCTTCGTGTGCAGCAAGCCTTCCGCCATTCTGGATGTACATCCTCAAACGGGTGCTCAGGACCTCCAAGTTTCATGGAATATGCCAATGAGTTCTTCTCACACGAAGACTGGGCGGCCGCTCGGCTCTTCTCGACTCCGTCACCCTCACAGCCAGTTGAGATGCGAGGTGGCCCGTGTGGTGGCCTCCCGTGGTGTTTTGTTCGGTGGTTGTTCGGTGTGAGGACAAGAGGGCGGCCCCTAAGAGGACCAACCCCGATGCTGGGGAAGTCTTCGAAAGTCGTATTGAACCCAATGTGTTCTTTTACGTGTTCGAAGCACCATTTGTGCACTCAGACCTTGAACTCACAATGGTTTCCCAAACGAATATGGTTGGCTCTTCACAATCTAGCCACAATGAGCTGGTTCAGTAAGATCCAAAAATCATACCCATGTGAGGGGTTGAATCTCCAATCTCAAGTGTTTTATCAAGCCTAGGCATGGGGCGATGCCACGCAGGTTATCTCGAAGACTGGGATGTAGAGTCGGTGATTGCAAGAGACTTTGGCGCTAAGACGACATTCAACAAGTTATGTCCTTCCTTTCTCGTTTGGTGGATCCCCTTTGTGCCAAGGCTGGCAACACAGAGGAGCTACTGGTGATTTTCCTAGTAACACTAGCATTGCGTACTGTAGCAGTTGCCGAACTATCCCCCTGTCGACTTTCTGTTTGGAGGGCACCATACCAACACATTCATGTTCCATTGGAGTTTACCGAAATCTTGACACTATGCAACCCCTACATACACATTATTACACGTACATTATTGGATTGGGTACATGAACATCATCAAATCAGATGTTGCTTGAACACACCGCGACATGCCCAAAACGGCCATGAGGAGCTGTGTAAGCCCAGCAATGCAGCAGTGACCCTGCTAGAGGCCGAACTGCAGGACCTCGGTAGTTGTCCTTTTCAGCAAAAAGATGTCGGGGTGGTTTGGTGGTTAAGCCTTTCGCCCTGAAGGATGTATTGATCCAAGAAGTATACGAAACATTGCAGCATTCAAAACTGTTCTTCAAGCATTGTGATATAGTATTATAAAGTCGCCAGAAAATTCTTTGGATCTTCTTCCAAGAGTAGGTCTATGGACGAAAGCTCCGCGTTTGTCGCAGGAGGCGATGCATGGCATGGCCATCCTCTCCAGCGTCTCGCAGGCCGAGATCGGGTCTTCGTCTTCCGACGGGAGAGCACCGCGGGTGTTTGGGCTGAATAAAGGAGCTATACATGTACATAACAGAATAAGGCCTTAAGAACATGTGTGATGTGTGTATTTTATAGTTGGTGCAGGATGCCCAAGAATCAAACAGCAGGGCGTTCCTTCAATATTGTGAGTTCACGAGGAGGTTGTGGAGGTCGCTGTACTTCACAATAGGTCCTTCCGAATTCAATTGCAGAGGCGGACTAGGAAGAACTGAGTAGTACAAGTACTACGATGTTGTTTCATCACAGTTTGGCAGAATTGACCAAAAATTCCTCGCCGGTGAAAAGGGGAGCTGTTACTTGCAGAAATGGCCTCCAGCCCATAGGGGTGCAGGCAACCAGTTTCCCCATTGGCCAAGGACCAGGCGTCCCCTCCCCGACATGGGAGTGATTACAGCAGTCAACAATAGTTCACCGACAATGTGATGTTCTAGACTAGACTAAACCATTTGGGCTTTGGACTCTTGGTTTTCTATTGCCCAACACCTGTTCTTCCTGTATCTTCCTGTCAAACCTTGCAACGGGATCTTAGGGTGATCTTTCGGGATAGAGATTCCAATCTTCTGACGCTCACCTAAACCTATCTGATCTATGATACGACTGCTTGTCGCAGTCTGTCGCATTCTCCGACCAGTCGGACGACGTGTCTGAACCCGTCGTCCAGTCGCTCCGCTCCGCGCCGGTCCGAGCGACGGCCCGGTGGTCTCAGGAGGACGCGTTCGAGGTGATCTCCAGCTCTGAGGAGGTGCCGACCAGGGGTGCATCAGTGAGATGAGATGATGAGATTGAAATCGAAGGTATAATGATAGGGCGATAGGGTGACATGTTTGGGCTGGGCAGAGCTAGATCAAACAATGATCAAACCAACCATCAACTGCAAGCTGTCCTCATTTGTTCTCACTCACCTGGCGCTTTTTGCTGGGCGATGGCGATGGCCGAACGTCCAGGAGTTTGAGAACGATTTCGAACTGGACCTCGTGCTTCTGGACCAAGGTGAGTGGAAGGTGCCGGTGCCGGTGGGAGCTCTTGGGCGAAGTGAGAGGATCATACACTCTGATTGTCAGGCAGCAAATACTCGCATGGACCCGCAAACCCTATAGTCGCTAGTGAGAAACCTCTGGCAAATGGCGACCATACATCATACATCCGAACTGAAACTCAGGATTCAAAGCCAGTGTTCTACATGTGCATGCATGTTCTACCGTTGTTTTGTGGTCACTTTGGGTTCTTCTGCGTGAAAAACTGCCCATTGTGGCGCCATTCATGTTCGTTCGCACCAGGTCCAGGTCGGGCAAAAAAGGGCTGTTCGGTGCTGGTGAGGTACTGTGATGCGGTATGTGGCAGTCATTGAAGAGAGCAAACGATTGTTCAAGCACCCCTTCCCGCCCCAAAAAGGATGGCAGTGACGTCCGTGCGTTACACGTGTTTGACTTGGGACCAGGAAATGACTGGTTAAGAAACATCCAGATGTGATCAGCAGATTGTTGGTCTGGTTTGCTCCAAGGACATTTGCTCTTGAGGTCGACTGGTGCCACCCCGGGTGGAAACGGCTGTCGGTGACTGTGCTTGTGTTTGGCCTTGTTTCTCCTACCTCCTTTCCAGTGTGGCTCCAGTTGTTCGCTGGTACGCTTGATCGCCAGGCATTTCAGTACCGTGCTGTGGCCTATGGCATTCTACTCGCCGACGCGGAGGCCGTGTTGCTCACGTGGCACTGGACGGATGGGATGGGGGTGCAGATGCGCAGACTGAGACCGGGTATTGATTGAGATGCAACATGATGCGACACATCATGGGTTTTTCCATGGTTTTTCCAACTGGGCATTTGGCAACTCAACCTGGTTGGATTGAGTAAAGATGGCGCATGTTGACATCGTCGCAGATGTCAAGAGTCACAGCACCAACGGATAGTCTAGAGATGTCAAAATGTCCACACAAATGCTTGGCTATGCAGCCGACCGTTCTACAGCTTGGTTGAAACATGCCAATAAACAAAGAAGGGACCCCTCCAAGCTTTGGAGGTCCAAGAGAAGAGTCGCTGGGTGTTGAGAAGAGTACTGTAGCGGAATGATGAGTACTGAGGAGCTGAGTAGCTGTCAGGACTTGAATCCGGGATCTCCATGTGCTGCACATCTTCGTGGGATCTCCATGAGTGTGCTCTTTCCTAGCTCCCAAAAAGCTCGTTTGGTTTGATTATACGGCAGTCTTCCACCGGAACAACCTTCGATCCGAACCGCGAGGGATTCGATGCACGGCATGGAGCCATCCCACCAGGCCTTGGTGGAGAGAGAAGTGCTGCTGGAGCGGAGTCCGCGCTCGGTACGGATGGCCCAGGGGGGAGGGCTACAAGACTCTCTTACAGAGTCAGGGTGGTGAATGTGGAGTGACGGCTGCCTAGGCCCTGGAAGATTGACATGGAATCCGAAAAACCACTGGGTTGTATATAGAGGAAGATAATCAGTCTTCCAAAGGTCCATTTTCAGGTTCCATGTTAATCTTCGCGGGTGCAATACTTACTTGAGATATTGGGACCTGCTACTTGTGTTCATCCAGTTTGTGCGGGGATTGCTCAGTATCATGCTTGTTCTGGCTACTACCAGCTCACTCAAACTCCCGACTCCGACCTCCCAGGAGGAGAAAAAGGTAAAGTAGAAGAACCATCCCAAAGCAGTTCCACCACCAGAGGTCTCAATCGCTCTGTTGGGTGAATCGAGTATTTTCGGAGTGCCCCAGACAGCTGGCATCCACCCTGGATGCCCTGGAGGCCCTCCAAAACCACCCCCGACTTTGGAAGGCTCCACGTCGCGTTCACGTGGTGTTCGCTGGGTCATGCTTGGTGTTCCCCCTCCAACCTCCTTGGCCTCCAAATCTGATCCATCCAAATGGCCAACTCTCCTCCTTGACCTCCTCTTCGGATCAGATTTGGAGCTAAAAAACACTTTAAAACACTATCCCTTCCAGCTCTGATCCATCCGAAGATCCATCCGATCCATTCGCCCACGAGACCTTCGCGTCCCGGCTCAGTGGGTGCGAACGCTGGTGGAGACCCGGGTCTTGACGGAGTTGCGGCCAGAGCAGAGCCGGAGGGCCGCTCGGCGTTGGGTGAGCCTGGGAGCAGTGGAACAAGCTTTGGAAAGGGTTGGGAGGACTGGTTGGATCGAATAGTGAATCGTCGTCAATTCCTTTTGTTTAATGTGTTTGTATATTAATATGTATGTTGACAAAATTATGCTGAAAGTTGAAACCCGTTTCCATCTATTTGGAGACCGCCAACCGCTGGACAAGTAAAGGTGATGCACTTTCTACTGTTTTGTAGGGGATGGGACGCTTTCAGTTGCGTTTGGAACCTGAATGAGTTGGGGATGGTCCCTGCAATGCACGGCAAAGATCATGTCATTGTGAAGTAGCAGCACTGTGTCCACCAAGCCCATTTACGGAAGTCTTTCTGAAAGACCAACACAACGCATGCGATCATGAGAAGACTTGGCCACCTGTTGCCACTCCATTTCGGCACTGGGTTCATGCTTACATATGCTTAGGTAAACGGTTCGCATCGACCCAAGCGAGGTAGCCACATCGATCCAAGCGCCCCTACGACGGGTGGTCGGAGCCTTGAAGGCTCCGAGGGCCTGACGACCGCGATGACGGCCGATGTTAGTTCCCAACAAACGCATGTCAGTGGGGTGGGGTAAACAACCTTGCAGTGTAGTCTCAAGAGATCTCAGGAGCATTAAACCATGGCTATTGACTATCTCAAGAGCATCCAAGAGAGGATCATTCAGGATTCTACGTTGGCAAGTGAGGTTCAAGTGCTCAAAGACAAAGTGGTCGCCAGCAAGTTGACGGAAGCTCGACAAAGCGGGGGGCCCCTTCTCAGCCACACATCCGATGAAATCTGCTTGAAAGGGAGTGAGGCCGAGAGGCCGTGGAAGCGATCACTTTGGATCCCGTCATACTTGGGATGTTTGTGTGACTCATATCCATCCATCTCCCAGTATTGATCAGTATTGTATCATATTTTATATCAGGTGTATGTTGTTCTTCGCACTGCTTCATGTCAATGTCTCCATTCAGTGTTGCAGGAGAACATCCTATTCCGACACTGCACAATGAGAAAGGAGCCTTCCCAGTGCATCCGAGTCCCTCATTAGGCCTTTCGAAGCTCCTTTCCTCCAGAGCTGCTGCTGCGGGAGCTGCCTCCGCGGGCGCCGCGGCAGAGGCCCATCAGCAGACGGGATGGCGATGACGGGATGATGCGTAGAAGGGTCAAGAGTGGTTGAAACACTCCAAAGAGTGGGGGAACACAAGAGATTTGGGCGGCCAGAAAGCAAGGACTTGGAAGTTGAAGTATATACTTCCCGTCGGACCTTGGGGTGGATGTCTTCAGACGACCTTCCCCGTCACGAGCATTCCACCACCCCGAGATGTGGCATTAGGCACTGGGAATTGGTAAGCGAAGTGATTAATTTCATCACCTACTCATACTTACTATGTCAGCTATAGTGCCGGCTACGTATACTCATTGTCAAGCCCACAATTAAACCAACCCACCAAGGAGAAAGATGCTAAGCATAAGGCTGGACAGCCCCCTACCCGCCCTACCCACCTCTTGTGCTGCAGGCCTTTGGTGCCACGCCTGACGCGTAAAGTACGAAAAATGCACCAGCAGTGAGTGAGTGTGGTGAAGAGGGAAAGGATCATCTCATTTCACCTATACCAGTAAGTTTATATTAGGTGTGTGTTTTGAAGGGTGTATTGGAACATCAAGACGAGGATCTGAGTGCAGGAGATTTAAGGCTTGAGATGTTGGGCGCACGGGCTAGGGAGCTTTTGACCTTTGTAAAATTGATATGTGCTCGCATGAGTTTGAAACCTGCGTGAGAAAAATAAAGCCGTTTTTGTCATTTTTGGGGGGAAGATAAAGTTTCAATTGCATTGAGTATACAAATACACAGTGAAACAAAGTGTCCATTGTATTTTGTATACACATTTGAAAGCTGTCTTTATTCTTTCGGATACCGGTAGCTACGGTCTCCCAGTCGGCTTCCCCGAAGCCAGCCGTCCAGCCGTCGAGAGTCTTACAGCCCGAAGCCTTGGATGTGGTAGGAAAAAGCTCCTAGTAGCGGCCAAGAGCCCCTAGTAGCGTCCGATCGCTCCGAGTAGCGATGCCCTTTGCTCCGTTCGTAGCGTCCCTACTGTGCCACCAAGCCTTTCCTACCTCAAGAACAGGGAGGTACCAGTGGGGTGCCGAAACTTGGAGGGCCCGAAACTTCCCAGGTGGTCGAGACAACGTCATGGATCCAACTTGAAAGCAGAGCTAAAAAGACTCTGCCAAATCTGACAATCCCAGTTTGACCTTGGAACGATGAGAGCTCCTGGGACATATCACAAGTGACATATCACAAGCTCCTGAGTACGAGATGGAAAGAGAAATAGAAGAGATCACGAACTTGATCACCTTGACCAGGGGTATCGGTCACGTGAATGTGGAGATCCACGGCCAAAGGCCGCACTGGCCCCACCAGCCCCATTGCAGGAGGAGATCGAGGAAATGGCTCGCGAACTCCGGGCGAGTTGCAAGGTGGAGGAGCAACTCGACTTGGGTGGGTCAGAAAACAAGACCTATGAGTCTATGAGTCAAGCGAAGGATCCCCTGCATTTGGAACAAGTGCGTGGGCCACCCTGCAAGGTGATATATAGTAATTGGAGTAGAAGCAGTAGAAGCTTATCCATCAGCAGCGTTGTCATTGCAGTACTTGTACACTTCTAGGTCTAGGTAGTAGAATTGTAGACATGCACGTTTCTCTTGAGTGTAAGAGCAATGCCGGTGGCTTATAGTCCCTTGCATTGTCGTTCCTCGAAATTGCACACCACACCTTGCCGCTCCATCACGGAATTGCCGCATTTGTTTGGCTCAGCGACGCTAAAACAGAAGCGACATCGGTTGGGGCCTGAGAAGATCTGAGAAGTGCGGGTGGGAGGGTTTCAAGAAGCTTCAAGAAGAAACTCATATGTTTGGCTTTAAGAGATGAGCATGATGAACATCCAATGTGAGTGCTCATTGGGGCTGCAGGGTTTCAATTACTAGCCATAGAAGGGTCACGTTTTTTGGGCAACTTCTTGTGCCACAGGGCATGGAGGTTTGCTGTCGAAGCAAAGAAAGGCTCTAGCTTACTTTTGGGTCCTCTTTGAACGGGTTCTCCCCAAAGAAATCTTGGGGTTTGCAGGCGGACACTCCTGAGAACTTAAAACTGCTTCAACTGGAACAACTTCACAAAGGAAGGAACGAAAGAAGGGAAGGACGGACGGACGGACGCAAGGAAGGAAGGAAGGAAGACCTGGGGCGTTGAAGGGCCCCAAGAATGCTATCATCATTATTCTGTTCTCCATCAACAGAGCTACAGGATGAGGACAGCTTGACTGGCCCAATCTTTTGAGGCTCTCGTCATCGACTCGAGACACTCGGGCCGGGCATGCCGTGGGGAGCCCCGCTTGGCATGTCCGCTCCTGCCACGGAGAATCCAGGCAGTCCAGGTGCCCTCCAAGTCGCTATAGTCAATAGATATCAATAGTCACTCACATGGAACTGAACGACCCCCTGTCTTTGTGTAACCAACATCAACAAAGAAGCACCTTCCAGGTTACGGGCGGTGTTCTGTTCCCCTTTCGTTAGTCGTAGTGCAAGCATGTGCAAAGCAGGTCCAGAACGGTGAACGGGGTCAGTTTGATACACTTCCATTTTCTCTGGCGCGTTTACTGCTTTTTGATGCCAGGGTCACCAGAAACGGGCAAAAGCTTGCCGGAAGTTGGGAGACGGAGACAGAGCTCATCAGAGACGGAGACACATCCAAGTTGGGGATTTGATTTGAACAAACCTTATTGAAATTGTTGATGATGGATGATCTGCATGTGTTTTTAGGTGTGCCTGTACTAGATGTTTCCAACGGTGACTTGACCTGTTTACCAAACCGGATATCGTTTGGCCCAGGAACTCTCCAGTCAAAGAAGGTCCAACATGTCTGGAGAAAAAGAAGAACAACACCCACGTAAGGAAGCGACTTGATTGACATACATGTCCTCTCCTTGTCATTATCAATTAAATCTGCAGGTTCTTGGTGTTGTTTCTCGAATCTTTGATTGACTTACGTAATACGAAATTGTATTGGTTTCGTTGTCTACTTTTCACTCACATTAGGAAAGCGTCTTGAAACCAAAGAAAAAATGCATGAGGAACTTCATAGAACTGGCGAAACGAACGATTTCCGCCCTTGTCCACCTCCCCGCGCCTTTCCGGGGCGGCTCCACCTCCCAGCGCCGAGGCGGGACTACTACTCGCTCTTGGGCATCCCCCGCTCGGCCACGACGCGGGAGATCCGTTCGGGGTATCAATGGGTGAGTGACCTCAGAGACCGGTCGATCGATGGGTCGACCGGTCGGGGAGATCCGAAGTGATAACCGATGTCGGGGCTTCCTGGGTCGGATGTGAAGATGAACCACGGTTCTCAAGTGAAGAAGAAGAGAGCACCCCTCTCAAGGTGTGGGATGTGGGATGTGGGACTGTAAGTGGTAAAACATGACATGTGTTTGTTGCACCTTTAGTTGCTCCTTGTTTCTCCGGATGAGTGGATCGTGAGTCATATCATGAGTGTTTCCCGTTGTGTTTGTGACTGTCTCACCAGTAGGACGCATAAAAATGTGAAAATTGCTACCAAAGCGTGTCCGCGGGCGACGGGCAAGAATCTTTGGGTAGCTTGTGTCATGTCGTGTTCGTGATGGTGGGATCCTACCTTCTCAGAAGGCAGCCGGCATGTCTTACCGGGCACCGGTAATGGCCTTGTAGGTTTTCTAGATAGCTTTGAGATTTGGTTTCATCATTCTATGTCCTTCATGATGATCGATTGCGTTCTTCCAATGGTGCCTTGCGATTTGGCTACTCAGGCCGCCGCAAAATGGCATCCTCAGAAGAACCCCTCCACCAAGGTGTGTGTCCGCGGATTTTGCGCGGGCACGAAGTCATGGATGAAGTTGCTCAGGAAGCACAGAAAGCAATAAGAGCTGGGACTATTGGGGCTGTTAGGAGATCAAATTTGGACATGAATCTTCACGGGGCACGAGATGCCGTACACTCCCTTACTAACGGTATATAATCCACATGCTCTTTGGATCTCTTTGGTTGCCTTCTCGTAACGGGTCCTTTACCGGCACAAGGAGATCTGGGTGAGACCTTGTTGTCCCGACCGCTGTGACAGTTAGACACCTAAGTGGCAAATGTGGATGATCATCAACCAAGGGAAATCCTTGCCTCGGCAGTGTTTGACCTGGTGTCTTCCAGGTCAAACTGGTCCCCTTGAGTCCATGCCGCCTAGGCCGTTACAGTTCCGTGGCTTGTTCTCCTGCGCTGCGCAGGTGGAAGCGCAATCCCGCTTTCGAGACATTGCCGAGGCCTACGATGCAACTTGGCAGAGGGGACAAGAAGGGGGCAGCTCGATGGAAGAGTGGAGCCCAGTCAACTGCAAAGGAGACCAGTAAGAAACATGAAAACATGAAGAGGCAGTTTTTTTCTCTTTAGATGAACTGCAGGCCCTGGGCGAAGTGTGGAATCACCATGTTCACCCACATGCAAAGCTCAAGACCACACCCAGCAGAGACTGCGTTTGTGACGCACGCACCAACGCACGCACCGGTGTCCCACCGGTCCCACCAGGTCCTCATCGACCCTTTGCGTCGGCAACGGTCCGGGTGCCAAGCCGTTGGCGCGAGCTCAGCGGCGCCAGCGGCCGTTGGTTCCATTTGTTTCATGTCGGAACGGTGGGGCGGGCGTGGATAAGAGTGGCCCGAAGAGTGGATGAGGTTTGCCCATGTTGCTTCAGGGGTTCCCCTCAACGCATGAGGTTCCGTTTTGGGTTCCGCACCACCAAAAAACTAACCCGCCCACAAAAGGCGCTGGATTGGTCCCTTCCGATTGGAGGCAGTCACTGGCGTCAAAGGGGTTCACTCGCCGATCCCCGGGCATCTCCGAGACCGAAGCTGGTTGGAAGTTCGTTTGGGAAGGGGTGGTCCATTGGTTCCAGCCATGTTTGGTGGATCTTCGCAACATCCGGCGCTTGCGGGGTGTTGTGATGTTGTTTCTATCTCATTGAGCAGAGATGGGATTCCCATCCCCCAATCAGAGGAGCTGAGCCGACTGGTGTTGTTCTTTTTCCCTGTTTGTTGGAACATATGCTAAAACACTGTAGATTCCGAAAACGCCTGATTATGTTATAATAATACGTTATATTCTTACTGAAACCTCATGCTGGCAGCGAAGGAACAACTGGTTTCTGATCACGATTCGTAGATAAAGAAGTTGATCTCAATGAAATCTCACAAGCGATGGTGGAGACGTCTGAGGTATGACGCCTATGGAGAAGTGGGTCTAAAGCAACCTGGCAGAGAATCCCCCTCCTGGCAAGCATCATCCTCCGGTGCCGGTGCACCATGGTGAGCTCCCCAAAAGAGAAACGCTGAGCCATGGAGGCTCAGAATCCACTCAGAAGGACCCGACCCCTAGGTCTTGGCGGTGGTTGGTTTTCTTAATATCCTGGTGATCCGCTTGGGCAAACCTGCCTTTGCAGTCCTCAAAGGATTTGGAGAGATCCCGAGCGTTTTGTTTCACTCCACTAAACTCCCAACTTTCTGCTGATGTCGCCGGGCCATGTGTCCGTTGAAAAGGACACTCATGCAGGCCACAGTCCTGTGACACCTGAGAAGCTGGCTATGACGTGATCTTCAAGACCTTGCCAGACATGTGTGCAATTGATAGCTCCAACAACTCAGCGATGTCTCTTCAACATGTATGCTAGGTGGCTTTAGCATGCTTTAGCTACCTTAGCACCTTACCCTAGCACAGCTGTTCAAAGCAGGTGTCCATTCCTTCCAAGGTCATGGTTTTTTAGCGAATTCAGATGTGCAGATGTGCCGCTGGTGCTGCACATCCTCCGATCTGACGTTCCGTCGATGTCACGCTGTCGGTCGACGTTCTCGGTGACGTTCCATCGATGGATTTCGCTGCGCCGGTCCGAGCGAACACGAGGCATCCACCTCTGGGCTCGGACTTCGATCCATATCAGCCGCCCAACTGAACCGGCACTGCGTACGTCGAGGGGAGGAGAGCACATGAATCGCTGCACGATGGGCTCGGAGGGGTCGGTGTTCTGGGCGCCCTGAAATGGGCGCCCAAGTGGCACCCCCGTTCTGTCTCAAGGGCGACTGAGACTTGTGAATGGAGTTGTGAGGGACCCAAAGATTCAGTTAGTGACAGTTAGTGATGTAGGCAGTGGGAATCGGTAGGGTTCATCCTGAAAGATGTTCTATCTCGCGGTGGTTGGAGGTTTTTGATCTTGTCCAGTGGAGTTGAATCATGGAAAATGCTCGAAATTCATGGAGTCATTGTTGTTGCAGTCATAGAGACACGAGTGTGTTTTTGAAACTGGGATCCCGAACTTCCAAATAAAAAGGTGAATAGCGACATGTTTAAAATGGTGTTACGTGTTTTTGCATGTTTAATCCTTTTCCCGAGATCGACATGTCGAAGCATCTTGGATCCTTTGAAAACGAAGCGATTCTTTGTGTCGACCAGCTCGACGAGGTGTCACATGAGATGTCCGCCCCCTCTCGGGTCAGATTCGCCACGGATGTCTGACATGTGCCCAATGATAGATCTTCTTGAACTGAGGGATGGTCTTTTTACGACTTAGTGGGTGGATATTAGATACTGTAAAGTCCGTGCTACACTTTTCCACTTGGAGATACAGCACCCTGTAAAGTGACATATACTGTAGAAGTTTCAGCATAATCAAGCATAGGGTCAATAATGGTCAATAGATGTCAATAGTTTCTGTGTGTTTTTCAAAAATAAGCTGATCCGTGTGATGGATGTCTTCCCATCCTTTAGTCCAACAACCCTTCCTTTGAACATTCTGGGCAGAACCTCCACGCCGCGGACCGGGGGACCTGCGATCGGGTCCCATTTCGAGGTATGTCGGCGATCCCTTTGAGCTCTTCAACAGCTTCTTCTCCTCCGCCGATCCCCTCAGTGTCGCGTGCGCCGCTGTGCCGCTGTCGGGTGAGGGAGGGAAGGAGGGGTGAGCAGAGATTTGCTTCGTTTCCCGAGGGAAGGAGGAGGGAAGGAGGAAAGGAGGGAAGAGAACACGTCAACTCAAGTGCTTGAGTTGCGCCGTGGACATCTACAGGGAGTACGTCTTGTGCAGTGGGCCCAGGTCGTTGATCCAGAAATCCGACTAACCCGATCTTCTGTGATCCAGAGGTGGTTTAGCAGTTGCAGGATCATTGCCAAACATCGTTGAGCAGAGCAGACCATAAGTGCTAGGACCAGGACCGTCATTTGACGATGGCGCTTGGGTTCCAGAAAGCAGCCCTGACCGCCACATCAGTGGATTCCAACAACGTACAAGAGCGGGCCATCCCCCAATGACCCTCGATTGCGGAACAGCAAACATCGCTAAAACCTGTGGAAGTGTCAGTCCTCACCCAACCGTGTGCCTTGGAAAACATCCTGCAGCTATCAAAAGGGTCAAAGCAGGATCCAAGGTGACGATGCAGGGTTCAGATTCTAGAGGGTCCCGCAACCAGAAACCTCAGAATACCTTAGAAATCCTGCTGGATGGTCCAAAAAATATTGGACTTCACTCTGGACACTCTCGCTCCATTTGTCGTTCGCTTCACTCTCGCTCCATTCGCGACGCGATTCCTCCAGGTATGAGCCAGAGCTCGAAAGCTTGCCAGTGATCCCCGCATCCGAGAAGGACGGACACGCGGTTCGGGTCGCGCGTCAGAAGGTGCCCTGTCGGTGTCCTCCAAACAGGGAGCGAAAGGTAAAAAGTAGGCCAACCGGCCAAGTATTGGCTGCATCGGTTTGTTGAACAAGTTGTGATACGCTTGATGAGCAACCTCCTGAGGGATTTGGTAAACACATGCATGCTGCATACGCCTTAACATGCCCTCATCCACCACAAAAATGCATATTGTATATAGATGTAAATACCCATGAAAAAGATCCACATGTCAGTCCACAGACTTGGCTTGCTGGGTTGAAGACGCGGTCAACCTCGGGTGAAGGATCATCAACCTCCCATGCTCCCTTCATGCCACAGGAGCCAGTGATTGAACTGGAGGCCGAGCAGACACGGTGGAAGCTCAAAATCACTCGTTTGGAAGCTCGTATGGCTGTGGGACACTGTGTGTCTCTCAGAAAGACTACTGTATATAGACATCTTTGATACATTGGTACCTTAATTTGCATGCTGTGGGCAAAAACTATCGTGGAATTCAATGATGTGCAGCGTTTCCTTCGTTTCTTTGCCTCAAAGGTGATACTCGGAAAGAAAAGCAGCCGACTTTCGGAGCAACCGACCTTCGGAGCTTCCAAGTCTGTGCCAGATCGAGTGCTCTGTTGATGAGCTGAAAGACGGCAACACTAGGCAGGCTGAGACTTACTTGAGTCGGAACTCTGCTCGATGTCCCAAAAATCGGCCAACATCTCCGTTGTGTTTCATTTGCAGTTCTGCTCGGTTCAGCCTGGTAGGGTGTTTCTTCTCCATCAAAAACCTACTTTGCTCTCCATCTGAGGCACTTGCAGGTAGGGTTTGTTCTTCCCCATGTGCATGGGTTGGAAAACCGGTGTTCTTTTCGAGTTTGGATGGCCAAAGGGATCGCTCCGACATCCGGAGACCACATGTGCCCCAAATGCTTTCCGCCCACATGCGCAGGTGTGTGGTGGTGGAGCGCACTCGGCTTGGGCCCGGCTTTGTGCCGTACAAGGTGGGACGCTACGCCACCGGGTGCTGCCGCCGCCGTGCTGACTGCGGGCTTCGATGTGACGAGTGTTGTATACAGGTTGTTGTTGGATGTATTTGGGATTTGTGCCATATTTGTTGTCTTGTTGTGTTTGACTGCCCAGTCGAAACCTCAAGCTCACCTTTAAAATGAGTCAGTGAACACGTGTGACCAAAGAAATCTTGGGCAGATGGATGCCAGGAGAAGAAACCGGTGACGCTCCCCATCAGACCTGGCTGGCAGGCCGGAATGAGGCGGGATCCCCCGACGCGCGTGTCGCGCCCGTCTCGCTCGGGAAAGACAAGCGTTGGAGCCGCACAGGTTGTCAAGAAAGGCCCGTATATCATTGAGATGGGGGGTATATCAATCTATACCAGGTACTGGTATGTGTCTATAGGCATGTGTATATATATATATATTAGTACTATGTATCTATAACTATTTGTAGGTATTTTCGGCTTGCTGCTAGTATCTTCACTTGTGGATCCAAGTTGATCACGAAGGGCACTCTATCACCACCTTGTCAGCTTTCACCTTTCGGCTTTTGTTGCTTTGACCCTTTGGCTCTCTTGGGCTTCGCAGGATCATCTTCCGGGGAGAAGGAGACCATAGTGACAAAGCCAAGACGTCTCAGCCTCACCGGGGTGAGCGCCGCGACCAGCGGGGTGAAACGCACCGATCAGCGCGGATGCTGTCGGCTGACGAGGCCTGGCGATTTGGCCGTCCTCATCAAGCAGAAGGCGTGACCAGTAGTGCGGCGTCGGCCCTCATCGGGCCACACCGACTCAGCTGGATTGCGACAGAGCGACCAGAGCAAGCGCTTCATGAGTGGAACAGTGGAAGTGTAAGAGCAAGAACACCTGTACTTTAGCCTCTCAACAGCAGGAGTATACAATACAGTAGTTTCAGAGTAGATGGCACAAACCCTTACATGTCTTAGACAGATGGGGGTTCATATTTAAATACTGCCTCTTGGGGATCGTGCTATCTGCTCTGAAACCACTGCAATTGAAAGAGTGTTGCTTTCATAAGCACTCCAGCACTTTGGCAGTGAATTTGTTGTTACGGTGTGGGATTGGGAAGTCACGTGAACCACAACCCGCACTGTTTGTTCAAGCAGCATGCAAACAGCATGCGCAAACTCTGCCCAAAGCAACACCAAGCAGACTCGTCCAAAGCATGGGATATCATGGGATTTGGTTCATAAGATATCATCAGCCTGACACGCTCCATCCAAACACCAACTAACTAAAGCGACCAATGCAATGGTTCGAGCACCAAAACAGACACCTACAAAAATACAGTAACACTTCTAAACTACTTTCCTGATGCCATAGCATCAGAAATCCATCAAACCCACTCCAAGTGAATGAAAAGAACTCTCGTTCGCTCTTCGGCTTTTCAACAACACTTGGCCACGCCGCCTCCATCCGCCTCCGCACCAATGGCGGTCCGGGCAGCTCAGCGCTCCCACCGCGCGCTCCACGCGCGTGCGGCGCTCAGCGCGCGGAACCCGCCGCGTCCGAGGCCTCGCTGTTGACGGAAGACTTGGAAGCGTATAGCGGCCAGTGCGGGAGCCCGGAGCCGAAAACGAAACGGACGGAAGGGACGAAAGGAGTTGACCAGTCAGAAGTAAGAATTGAATGGTCTTGAAGTCTCTTCAAGCATCTTCAAGCTGTACCATGACATGTACATATATGTACCACTTCTGAGCTTTCAAGGAGGTTGAAAATGCGTCGGGTCACCAAGGCAACACACCAAAACGATTACGTTTTCTTGGCCCTTGATTGCTGTGTTTTGAGTCTTCGAATTCCCATGGGCCACGAATTCAGCTGCACTAGCGACTGCATTGATTTGTTTCAAAGAGTCCTGAGAGGATCTTGCTCTTGCTCACCAGGTATGACCAGGTGCATTGGATTGCTCTTGTGTCAACCAATGGCATGTATAGTAGCACCGTACAGTTGCTGAATCTACATAAATCCACATGAATCCACTGACTAGATGTATGTCCCAGTACCCAGTAGCTCACGGCCGAGGGATGACCAACAGCGAACCATCCCTTTTTAATCCCCCTGCGTATAGAGCGCGATGGCCCGGTCAACCAAAGCCAGTGCTGAATCCGGGATGAACACCCGAATGCCTCTTGAAAGGAGAGACCATACCGACCCCAGTACCGACCCCGCTCGGCTCCTCGCCCCAGAAACAGCCGCCCAAACACGGTCGAAGATGTGTCGTTAAGCGATCCACCGCCCTCCGTAACTTGAAAGAGAGGGCATCGGAGCCCCACCTGTCTTCTGTGAGAACAGGTGGGTTCATCCGAGTTGATGAGCTAGCGATCAGCGGGACGTAGACTCTTGATTCACCAACCTCCCCTAGGTTGAATATGGAAATACATTGAAATACTGGAAATCCTCTTCATATGGGGGCTTTTTTCATCCTTTTTCAAGAGTCTAGGCTTGATGAACCTCTCCACCAAAAGCCTTCAAAATCAAAGCGCTACGGCCGGTACGGCTACCTCTCCACCTCGTTGCTTCGACCCCAGTCGTCCTTCCTCCCAGTCGTCGGCTGGGCCCAGGTACGGCACACATGGGGCGATCCAACGGCTGCAGTTCATCGCCTCCCAGGCTGGGTGGGTCCCACCGGGACCCACCGGTGGTCCGAGACATGAGGACTTGAGGCAAACATGTGAAAAAGAATACTAAACCAAACCATACCAAACCAACATTGGTTCACTTTTTCGTTTTTTTGGGTTTGAGAGAGGTTCACATTGAAAAAACGATGGATAAAGATATATCGATCGCTTTTGGTGAACGCGTCTTTCCGCAAGGACTTCGAACGAAAGGAAGAGTTGATGTTGGGCTGGCCTGAAGGTGGAACCATCCTGGCAGCGGCATGGATCCGTTGTTCACTGCGCCCGGTGTCATGGATCGATGCCATTCAGCACAGTAGGCCCTGTCAATCGCTATCAGGTCCACTGTGGTGGGCATCTAGTCAGACTGACTTGGGGCAGTCTCATAACACCAGCGGTCTCAACTGACTTGAGTAATTGAAGATAGGGATGCCTTTCCAAACACCAGCGGTCTCAACTGACTTGAGCAATTGAAGATAGGGATGCCTTTCCAAAAACCTCGAGTCCATGTCTCTCACTTGTCTTTTCAGTGCATCTGCCCCCGGAGTTTCGGAAAGAAACCCAGATGACACAAGAGCAGCGCCTGCCGTGCCCGCGCCCTGTGACAGACCTCCAAAGCAAACCTGAAGATTGACGCTCTAAAGCCCCGGTGCTCAGTTTTTGGCACTTGCAGCCGCCACGCTGTCGCTTGCTTGGTGCAATTGGTGCAGTTTGGTGCATCCCTTTGCGCAGGAATGTGTACAACTCCAATCAATAGGAATAGGTCGGTGGTCTGAGTTCCCTCATGAGTCCTGATGGTACAGAGAAGCCCTACGGCAAGTCACCTGGAATAAAAATTCATTTAAAAAAAAAAAAAAAAAATCTAAAGGTTACAACAACCAAAATAACAGATTATGTGGTTGTTCATGTAATTCCATAAGAGATTCTGAGAAGGCAGATGAAGAAGCCCAGATGTCTGCTGGTGGTGGACCCCTGGGCTGCATGGAAACAGCTTGACCTGGGCTAAGCTTTTTTCAAGTGGCGACGCAGGTCACCGCATGGTGAGTATGTTGAAAAAACATATCATGAAACGAGACCCAGAACGATCTCAGTCTCGTCTGGACACCATACCCAGAACGATCAAACCCTCGGACCCCCAAAAAATCCATTGGTTGGGAGTTCAACCCCCACGGGACTCCCCAACCAGATGGAACGGTGCGCGATTCGCTCACCGGAACGGCGACGATTCTGTTCGCGGTTCGTTCAGAACGGCGAATGGATCCTGAGGCTTTGCTTGGATCTTCTGAAGAGGACCACGAATTGCAAAGGGCGTGGGAGCTTGGAAGGCTTGAAGGTGAACGCCATTGACGTCACATTCTTCCGGTTCCATGGGGCTCTTCCAAAATCGAAAGTGGAGTGAGTTCACCACTTGGAAAGTGGAGTGAAAGCATGTGAGGTCACCACTTTCCTGTTAGGTTCGAACTGAAGACTCATGGTGATCCGAGTCTTCGGCCATGCCTCCAGCAGGATGAATTTCAGGGCCAGGGTGTGTGTGTGTGTGTGTGTGCGTCGTCCACATACATGATGGTTCAACGGCCGTGGACTTCGGAGGTTCCGGGCATTGACATCGTTCCACCGATCCACCCAATAACTCTTCCCAGTGTGTGTGTGTGTGTGTGTTTTTGATATTCCAGAAGGCTTCAGCTACTGTTGTGAACCCAGAATCTTGATGATCTCTTCGTGACAGGCTCGCCTCAAGGGTGCAGGATGGTGGAGGTCTCTCGTTGGTGGTCCCTGATCCCGGGCCGGAGCCCGGACCACAGGGACCTCTAGAACCGGTTTTTGCCCGTGTGGATCTCACCAAAATGGAGGCACCACGGCATCACAGGATTTGAAGGGCTTTGATGGGTAGAGTGGATGGCTTTGATGATTTGGGATGGGTGGGTTGGTGCAGTCGAAAACCTCGACCTTCACATGAAGAGGGTCATTCTGCCCTGACAGAGTGGATCTTCTCATTCCCTGTCAGACCCTGTCAGACCTCCCCACCACTGCGCGTGACGCTCAAACGAGGTACACCGAAGCGCACAACTGCCTCAAGGAGAATTTGGGCTTCGGCTTGGGTGGCTACATGGTGATGGGCTTGCAGTGGCAAAAACGAAAGACCTTGTGACCATCAGGTCACCTCTGAGGTCAAGCGAATGAGACCCTCAACGCCACCTGTTTTCAGAGCCAGGGTTGCTCTATGTGACCCTGAGTGCCAGAGTGGTTACCATCTAAAGGATCTAAACACGGCACCCTCAAACTCAAACCCCCACTTTTCCATAGGCTATACATACAAGATCATACAATCGCAATCCAATGGGTCACCTGTCTGGGCTGGGCTTCTACGGCCCTACACGACTTAAATGGGCCTCCAAACAGAACATTTTCGGTCTGAGTCCATGCTGTTTTGCTTGGGAGTTGTCCATGTACCAGGTGCCTGCGATTGCCTACACGCCGTTTCAACAGGAGTTGTTGGAAGGTAATGACGCCGCTCTACCCATCTACGACCAAGTCTGGGCGTTGCTGGCACCGTTGGAAGCGGTCCGGATGCCCCCACACGGGGGCCATGACAGCGCTGCCAGGTGGATGCGACGCAGAAGCAGAACGGCATCCTGAAGGCACTCGGGGCACTCGGAGGGGTCTTTTTTCCGTGAGGACTTGGGCTGACAGCTCCTCCGCTTTGTTTTTTGGAAGCTGAGCATTTGCATGCGTGAGCTTACAGTGCCAGCCTGTGCCAGCCAATGTCCTGCGTTGATCCTACGCATCGCCAGGAGCTTTACGAGCAGGACTTGAGTCAGGCGAGAGCCTCGCAGATGAAGGAGAACATCCGAGGGTTCGGGACACTCAGACGGTGTTTCAACCCCTCAGGTCATTGAAACTCGACATGTTTTCGGAACCATGACGTCATGTCTTTAGGCTTTCCCAGACGCTCCGTGAACGACGCCCGACTGGTCCCTCAAAACCGGGACGGGATGAGGGTCCAGACCCTGCATAGGTTCGGGTCCAGCGTCTGGGTTACTCCAGTGTGACGTCCGGACGTTTGAGAAGTCACTGCGAAACCTGTGTGGAATGAAGTCTTGTATCACTTGTGTCTAAGCTATGTAAACATGGCTCCATGGCTCAACGTGTTCAAGAGGGAACATGATATCATGTTCATGTTCTACCCCTTTCTTTTTAGCGGTTGGACCATGAATTTGACACGGTTCCGAACCAAACCATCCTCGTTCACCGCTCGCAGGATGGGATAAAACCTTTCCCAATCGAGTGATCGAAGATGGATGGGCTTGAGGTGAGTGGAACGACACATGAGTGAGTGATTGCCTCACAAACTTGAAATAGTTACTAGTTCAACACCTGGAGCCCTGGTCCTCCATGCAGCGACCGACCTTCCAGGTAGGTCGTGCCCGTATCCTGGTGCCACGACCCACCATATGAATCTTGCAATGAGTCTCAGCAAATCACAGTCACTTCTCAAAGTGAGTGGGCTAACCGTGTCAAAGCTCATCGCTTCAGCAGGGCCCGAGATACGAGCATCGGCGAGCATCGGCTCGCTCGCGCCCTGAGGTGCTACCATCAACTCACGAATCTTTGCTTGGAGCAAGGTGATTACGCAGCAGCACCTCGACTGCATCAGAACCTGAAACAAAGTGCAGCCCAGAATGGCCAAATATGATCCATGATGTATACTGTACATTGACCATCATTGACAACGGATTCCATTCCGAGCAAGTGAGAATGCCTTTAAAACAGCAAACCATATACGTAGATAGTGTGTTAAAAACACCTGGAATCGATCGCCTACGCGAGTCGATGTGGCTTCGTTCTGAATCAGAGGTGTCTCGCTTTGTTCTTAGATGGGATGCACAGCACGGTCACCTGCACAGCCCCACAGCACAGCACGGTCACCTGGCGGTGTTCTCCCGAACAGGCGGAGAAGTACCTGGCCAAGAGCCGTGAGTTTTGCGTTGAACCTCAGGCGGGTGGGGGTACGATCGAATGAGAGTCGACAGTCAGACAGTCGTGGGGCTTGGCCGTTCCACTCGTGGTTGGTCCTTCATGGTTTGGGATGTGTTTTGGTCCTGCCCCATGTGGTTTGGTTGATTTTGTCATCCGAACATCTGGATGGCTCATATGGCTCACCTATGACTCATGTGGTCACAGGTTGTTGGTCATCAAGGTGGATCTTGCTTTTGGCAAGTGCAGTGCTGCAGGCAGTCTTTGCCACCTGCATGACTATCATCAGACTACGAGCTTTACAGCTTCCTGGTGGGATGAAAACTCAAGACCGAAGGTCGAACAGGGAGCAATGAAGGGGATCGACGTCAGTTTGCGCGCATGGTTTTCTTCATTGGAGGCTTCATGTGACCAAGCAAAGGTGGATTGGAATGGATTGAATCCATGTTGAACCTCTTTCTTCCCATGAAAAGTCCTTGAAGTGTTCTATGAAGATCATCCAAGTCTGACAGCTTTTGTTCGTTGAAGGAAGCCCTCTCCACAAAGCCCCTGACTTCAAGGAGACACTGTTTGTAAGACCAATTTATGATGTTGTTTCAAGAGGATTCTCAATGAACCCAAGAGGCCATTGATATCAAGTGAAGCACCTGGAGACGGCTCAATCTCCACCAATCCTGTTTGGACAACTTGACGCATCGATTCACTCGGCTGGACTGGGGAGCGCCCGAAACTCCTAAACCTTGCTTTGGTGATTGGGAATAAGGCCCTCACATGGATAGGGTCCTACCAAATCCAATTCCTTGGGAAGGTATCAGGTTCCTACCACTTAATGTTCCTATATACTATATACCCAGTATATAGACGGAAAACGGCCCATCCCTTTTTAAATACATGTGTTGATCCTTTTATACCTCTTTGGCGGTAGATGGTAGGTCGCACGTCGCTCCCCGTTTCACGGAATCCCATCACGTCAGCGCAGCGCAGCGCAGCTTGAGGCGACAATACTCTGACATTCAGAACTTCACCAGCAAAGCCCACCATACGCCCTTCAAGGCGGGACTTTGTTGGGAAAAAAAAAGTTTTGAAAAATTAGATAACAACGATGGAAAAACGGCTGTAGACAGGGACACAAGGGTAACAGGCGATTGTGATGAAACTGATAGCTAGTTTTGAACCGGAGCTCTGTGTCCGGATTCAAACACAGACAAATGCATGTGCCAGATTCACCTCATTGATCTCCATGGTCTGATGATGGGTTCACATGTGGACGTGTTTGACGTAGGTTGAGGGGACCCCCCCGGCATCCGAAACTACAACCATGTGATTATTCATCCAAATAGGGACGCCTTCCAAAGACCCCCCCAGAAGAGCGAAGATAGACCGAAAGCCCATTGGTTGGGGAGCCATCGCTATGTTGATTCATGCAAAGCCACGCGAAACCCAACAAATATCAGGATCATCTACTACTGGTAGTCAGTGAGTCAAGGGATGACTGACTTATCCAGTTTGTAGACGAACCAACGGGTTTCGGGGCAGAAACTCAAACCCAAAGCGCGTGGGTCATATGCCTCCATTCGCTTCGTGGGTCATGTGCAGAACCATTTTGTGAGGATGATTCCAGCCAATCGAAGATCTTTGCGGCGTATGGATTGTCGGGCAGCTCAAGTTTGGGTCAATTGTTTGTCGTGGTGAACCTTTGAAACGGCAATCTTTGCAAACCAATTGCTACTCGTAGGTCGAATTGGTGGTTGAGTGGAAGCAATAGAGAGAATGGAGGGCTTACAATAGGAAGAGCCAGCGAAAGGTACCTAGGTCGGTGATTGGAACAAACCAGTATAAGTACCTGACTTGGTTGGGTGGGCTCGTGGTTTCAGTCTCACACATCGCCAGCTGCTTCCTGTTGCTGGGGCACTGCCATCCGGTTTCCCTCACGACGTCACTCGGTCCGCACCGTGACACGACCGGTGAGCCCCAAGCGGCTCGGCTCAGGTACAACATGGCAACGGGCAAGTACCGAGATGCCGCCACCAGCTTCTCCCAGGTGAAACCCCAGGAGCACAGTAGAAGTCGCGAACGAGCGCCAACCGAGCGCCAACGATGGGCCGATGTTTTAAGAACGCGGATTTAAAGGTGTTGGGTGTTGGGGATTGGCATGGATTGGTCGAATGAGTGTTGCAACCTGAAAACGAAGTTCAGTTGTGCTCTCGGGTGCTCCGTGCATGCAGTACGAAGCTTCGCTATATGGATTTATGTGCTCAAGTTGCCAATCTTGAGCTGGTTAGCAGTGCTGGTGCTTTCCACCGTGATTGCACGGTTGCCCACCTATCAAAATAAAGGAGGGGCCGGTTTCTCTATAGGTGCTTGACCAAGGCACCTAGTGGACAGCCCTAAAGTCCGACCCGCAAGTCCTTGTTGCTGAACTGGCGGATATCGGAGGCGGATACCCTCCATAACCCTCCGACCGATTCATAGGAATCCTCCGAATCCTTTTTCACTCAGTAGGGCCACTCAGTAGGGCCCTTACACAAGATAGAGTGTCCTGATTCATCCCGAGTACTAAAAGAAGATATAATATCAATAACAAGAATAATGGCAATACAATAATGAACACACACACACTACCCAATTAGAAAAAAGAAATCGCACAAACCGATCTGTGAGATTTCCCCATCCCCAAACGACCCAAGTGATCCATCCATCGGTTCTGCCGCAGGACTTGGGCACGGCCTTCTCCGATCTCCTGAGCCCTCAAGACGTCTGTGACGCCCAGCCGGTCATGGACCGCGTTCGCGGAGCCATTTTGGGGGAAGAAGGATGGCAATGGCCCAGTTCACGGCACAAAGGGCTGTTTGAAGCAGGAAGTTGCTTGTTTTGGGGGGGACAGATTCGGAGTAAAAAGGCCTGGCTTCATGACAAGGGTCCACATCATCATGCAATCGACGGTGCGGATCGCGAAGACGAGGTCTTTGGGACGGATCGCTGTCTTGAAAGGAAAAGGGACCCGACGTCGTTTGTTCACAGCTTCGCCCGCTTCACACCATCCCAGTGCTTTCAACCGATGCCGACCGATGGCTTATGACCCACGGAAGTGGACCAGCCCATGGGGTGGAACCACCTCCATGGGTTTCGCTCCGGGTTTAGCTAGGCAGAAGAACGACTTCAGGTAACGAGGCCAAGTCCTCTTCAAGGACCGACCTATAACAACTTATATACAGTAAACTCCTGCAATGCTTTGGACTTCGTCTTGAAACCCATCAAAAAAATGCAATAGAAAAGCGCCATAGAGGGATGTTTACTTCCGACCCTGAATAGTCGGAAGTCCGAAGGTCCACGTCTTGGGTTGATGACGTCCATCGGATTTCGTGCGTCCCAGCCATCCATTCTCAAATTCTCCGTACGTCCATCCCACCATCTGCCCACCACGGCCTGTGCATCCAAATAAGATCTAATAGGTATCCCAAATCCTCCAATCCACACATGTTGCATCCAAGCAACCAACCTCACCATCCAAAATGGCCAAGCACCCCCGTGATCCTCCATAACCATGGGAAGAAAAAGAAAAAGAACACCCCAAGACAGTGGAGAAGAATTGAAAGAATTGGAAAAACAACCACCCCAAAGCAGTGGAGAAAATGGAAAAGAACACCCATGAACACCATGGATCTCGTCTCAGGTGGCGCTCTACGGTGTGCTTTGTGCCTTAGGCTCCCTCGACCGCGCCGAGGCTCTGCGCCTCCCCCGCGGGTGTTGGGCTGGGTCTCGTTCAACAGACGTGGTGCAACGATTTCGTCAGGAGTATATACGGGTGGCTGGAATGTGGATCTACAGGGGGGCTTCATGCCCACACGAGTCTATCAAGCTCACTATCTTGAAGATGGCCTGAAGATGTACAGCCAAAAGACGATGAAGGATGAAGATGTTGACTTTCATCCTCAAAATTCCCATGAATGTGTCGAGACAGAGAGTTAACTCTTCTATTTGTCTCCAAGACGTTCGACTTTTGGTTCACTTACACTCCTGAGAGAAGGATGCAAGATGATGCAAGTGGAAAATCATCCGCTGGTTGGGTCTTCGGATGTCTTCGGCTCCTCGTGGGCGGGAGTGATGTACTCCACACATCGCTGGCTTCTTGGAGGTGTGAAAACGGGCCCACCCGGTCCACCGGTGAAGGGATGCCAAGGGAACCAGGGAATCCTTTTGACATCGATCATCTCCTCCGTTTCGAAGATGGTTGGGGTGGGTGCCAGGGGGGTCTAACCACCGAACCTGAGGATATGGGCCAGGAGCGCTGGGGATCGGAATGGTTCATCCATGTTCATCCCAAATTCTGCAGCTACACTGTAGCGGAACGACCTCCAAGTCCAGGTCAAGGACTGAATGCTGCACCGGTATGGGGCATTTGACAAAGATTGAGAGATCGTGTGCCACGTGCAACTGTATATGGTTGGTAATCCATGTCATTCCATTTCGAACATGTTCAATCCAGGCAACTTTACCTTGCCCTAGGTAGACCTGGTTTGTTTCCTTGACGCTTCATCAACATCTGTGATTTTACAAGTTGCGGTGCGGGGCCATGGAAGCTCACCACGCCTCGAAATCACCTGTAGGTGCAGCAGAAGCTCTTGGACTCCCAGACCTTCCGAGAATGCTTGGACATGGCACCGTTGGGAAGCCCGGACGGACAGGGTGTTTAACGGACAGGGTCCCACCTGGCACAGGAAGAAATCGGCCGTAGTTTGGTGTGGTAAATCGGTAATCAGCCGCTATGCCTTTGATGAACAAAATTGTATTTTGTTGCATGGTTTCGGTATGTTTCGGTATGTTCTAGAAGGGTACATCATTGTGCAACTACACGGAAGGGTTCCCTCGCTGGATCCCGCCGATCGTCGTTGCGTAGAGCCCCAGAGCTGAAGAACTGGCCCAGCTTGACGGGAGACTGACAGAGGATTGCCCCCTGATGTACCGGAACGCACCGGAACTGGAAATGGCCTCCTTATGAAGAGTGTCAAACCTATTCGGTCACTTACTCAAAATGTGAATTCTCATGCACAGCAGGGCCCAGGTGATGACAAGTTCCCGACCAGCTGAAAGGTCGACTCTGTCAGTGGAGAAACGCGTGGAACTGGCACCGGTGTTTGGTGTTTGAAGTGGATTCAGAAAGGGGCATCCAGAACTGGTACCTCAAGTGGAATGGATTTTCTGTCAACATCAACTTGGACATCTCAACACACAGCGCTGCTTCCTCTCGTCACCTGACTGCTTTCAGGCAGATTCGGGACCTCGCGGTTGACTTCTGCAATTGCAGGCAGGTGGCCGGGAGGGATTGGATGTTCGGCAGAAAGAGACCATTATGGAGGGATGCAAATTGATGCAAAGGATGAGTTTGACCATCCTGGGGTCTTTGAGTCTTTGCGGATGGACTGTGTCATGTCCATTCAGTTGGAGAATGGGGTGGAAACAAAGCCTCCTGGTGGCATGAATGAATCAAAATGCTCCATGCTTCGGAAACCCTTGGTGTTCGGTCCCCCCTTTTCGGTGGGTCCAACGGAACCCGATGAGAAACCGATGCTCGACTCGTCGACCCGAGTTGCGGGCAGTTTGCTGCCGACAAAGGCAAGACACATTGAAAAATTGGTCTTGGACAAAGGCAAACAGCCCCAGCATAGCCCAAGCCACGAAGTGTTGAGCTCGATGAATGAACCTCAAAGGATCTCAGTCTTGGGGCTGAAGGGCACTCGTCTAATGCCTTTAGCTTTTCATGATGCGCAGACCAAGACTGCAAGGTATGCAGCCTGCCTCTCTTCTTTGGGGAAGCTCCAGGAGTGAGAACAGTGTGTGAGAGAGGCCGGCATTGGACTTGAAAAGAAAGCACGCAGTTATAGATCATGTCCCTCGTAGGGATAGAAGAGAGAATCCACTGAGGAATCCGCTTCCAGAAAATTTGGAGAAGTGCTTGTTCCTTTTCAATTGTAGAGATACATCATTTACCAGCTACATCCAGGTACGTGTTTCATCATGTTTCCATTGCTTCATTCCGGTACGTGGTCTAGAAACCTTTTCCGAAAGAGGTCCCCGTTTCTTCGGGCTGATATCGAGTAGGAAGGTGGACCCACACCTTGTGACGGACGCCTCTCGACGTGGCTGTTTCTGTCAAACATCCTGTCGTTTGATCAAACTTGGTGCATCATGGGCCCCACCATGTCTTCACCTAGTGACCAGGTGCATCACTAGTAGCAAAAGGACGCTGAAAGTCTTGTCGTCGTCGTCGGAAGATCGCAGGAGCCTTTGTCCTTGGATGTTCACCTCCATGGGCAAGTAGCGGGGCACCTCAGATATGGCTAGAGACTGGCGTGCCCTTGCAGTGATCACCAGATATGTTACTGCAAGTAAGGTCAAGACTTCAAGATGTCCAGTTCAAGCATTCAAAGAGTAATACTCTAGCGTTAATGTTCTGTTTGGGGTTTACGCAACAATCGATCAGCCACGTGCAGCCTTTATTTTAACCCACCTGAACCGTGTAGATAGCCTGCCTCACTCCGGCTCACAGCCTATCATCCCTATCCGGTAGCAGCTCGTGTAGAAAATACCGAGCCGCATCGGTTTGCGAGGCGAATTTGTGTGAGCAAATCAGGAACAAAGGCAAGGCGGTGCCGTCGGTGCTGACAGGAAAGCGATCCGTAACCACAGAGACTGGGGTAATAAAGCAGTTACTGGCAGATCCTCCATCCCAGACAGTGAACTGCAAGTTGAATACCTAAGAGCGATGGCCTCCAACCTAATAGCGATCCAATCCTGCTTTGTTCTAAGAGCCTGACTCATCACCTGACTCATCAGCCATTGCCAGCCATCGCCAGCCAGTCAAGTCCACGGAAGTCCCGTCTGCTCTCGCTCCCGCGGACGTCGCGTGAGGCATCGTTCAGTACTTCGCGCCCTTCATGTCAGTCTCGCTCCATCGCATGGCGGAAGCCTTCAACACCGACGTGGAGTCAATTCAACGAGAGGCGAGTGGGTTGGTGGTGGGTTGGCAGTTGGCTGAGTTGGCCATGGTTTGAGACGGAGGATGGACATTGGGGAAAGTCAGAACATCTAGGGAAGTCCTTGCTACAAGGCTAAAAGACCCTAAAAAAAGATACCCTTGTTTTCTTCAGCAAGCTACTCTATGGCTCGCCATTGGTTGGCCTTGGGCGGCCATTGCTTCTTTTTTCGCTATATCCTCATGTAGGATCCTTGTAGGATACCAAATATCCTTGATGCACATGGACCGCTTGGGTTTCCACCCAGCAACCCGCCTGGGTCTTGAAGCAGCTTCGATCCTTTTTCCTATCTCGTCCCAGTCCTCATCGGTGCTTTCAAAAGACCTGCGACCTGCGTCCGGCGACCTCCAACCCTTCCAGATCTCTCCACAGTGATTTTTCCGGTCAGATTTGTCCCGAAAAATCACTGATTCCATCAGATCCCATCAGATCTTATCAGATCGGGGACAGGGTGACCGCCAACGCGGTCTCTCCCCATGCCCACCTCCGGTCCAAGGTGGCGAAGCTCATCGGCCAGCGACAGCTGGATGCGAAGATCGACTCCCATAGGTCGGTGCTCACAGAGCGCCAGCGATGCGATGACGCACAGCGATGCGGAGGATGGGTTTAGAGGGGATCTAGATGGATAGGTTACAGTTCAGACAGTTCAGACAGTCAGAGATGAGAGGAATTTTGATGGAAAAGGATGCAACATCGACATACAAAATCATCATAAAAGTTGATGTTTAAGAGAGCGCATGGTCTCGGGTCGGGTCATGCTACGTCTTCCAGTGCTGGTGAAGGAATGTGTGAAAGGGACCCTGCTAGTTCTATGGGTCCAAGGATCCTTAGAGGGTTGTGAGTTTTCGATTTCTCCTGAGGTCGGGACAGACATTTGCACCTGGTTGGTGTCACAAAGACGTGGACCACATCCACTTACCAGAATAGCAGTGGTCTGTGGAGGTTCCCACAGCTTTCCCTGCAGCCACCGGCTTCCACCGCAGCCAGTCCTAGGAAGATCCTTCATGCCAGTCACGCCGATCACCGCCGTGCCACGTGCGCCGTCCTCGTCACCGGTTCGCTTCAAGGGTGGCGGTCGTCACCGACCGTCGGTTCGGTGTTGGGTTGTTGCCATCGTCGTGCTTGTACAGTCTCAGAGTGCGTTAAGGCCACAGCGGTTTGCCCTTTTTGCCAGATGGAAGTGGAGCAGTTGGGTTCTTTGGAAGACGGCTTGACTCTACAGCGGGACATGGGGTGGTCCACTTCCATGAGTGTTGCAACGTGTTTTTCTGCGGGTTTTGCGCGGCGGACTCGGCCAAACATGGCCCAACAGGTGGTTTTGCCCATCCATATGAGAACCCACTCTTGTTTGAAACAAGCTCTGGGGTAGAAAGAACAGAGATGGTATTTGTACTATTTTGTACTTCTGTATAAATGGAGTCAGGACCAAAGCAGCTTTGCAGGACGTGTTGATTTTCACAATGCTAAAGGGATCTGAAGGGCATGAGGCTTTGCAGAGTGTTGTTCTTGGGGTTACTTGCCTTTAGCCAAATTTTGGCCAATGGTTTGCTCGCTAGAAATTTGTCTCAAACCAAGGATGCAATTAAACACAGAACCCAGAGCAAGACGCAGCCACTGCACAGTGCACTGGGATGTAGTATGATGATGTATGATGTAGTGGAGCACTATGGTGCACCTTTTTGCACGTGATTCTTGCAGGTGTGGCAGGCGTGGAGGCTTCTCCCATGTTTGGACAAGTTGCCGATTCGGCCAACCGGGCGAACCTGGCCAACCCCTGATCAGACTGGCAGGTATCAGAACGCGCTGCGCGTGAGCGGCGACTTCCTGGTTCCTTGGAATTCAGAGAGAGTTTTGATGCCATATGGCCCGACCCAGGAAAAGTGGATAGACCTTTCGACCAGTCCTTTGGGGAAACCGGGGAAACCCCCGGGATGCGCAAGGCGAGTTGCTGGAAAGATTTTGTACAAGGAACATGGGCCTATGAGGTCTGGAGTTTGCAAAGATAAAGATGTTTCTGGTAAAATGTTCAATATGGATATTTGCGGGAAAGGATCCAGCGATGTCAGCTGGTGCTACGAGGCAGGTCAAATGTTAATCACCACAAAAAAAATAGCAGGTGATTTGCGACTTGGATCACCACATCCATGAGAATTCTTTGGAAATGACCACCCTGTATGTTGAAATAGGCTGTGTGTTCACCGTCTATGCTCATCAGCTTCAGCTTCCCCTCTTCGGCTTCTCACATGTTCCTCGAGCCCAGCATGGACCCAACGCTGTCACCGGGAGCCCCGCGCGCAAGGACAGCACCCATGCCTTGATCCTGAGGATGAACTTGTCGCTTGGAGAAACAAGACGAACGAGACGAACTCTGGCAAAAACGAGAATCATTGGGTAGAAGACCAGGAAAATGGAATCAACTAATAGATAATAATAGTGTCAATTTGGGGTCAATATCTAAGGGTGAAAGTGAATTGTTCATGTTTGTTCATGCTCGTTCATGTTGTGTTTCTCTTTGGAGTTTGGCTGAATATGAGTGTCGATTTGGTCAATACTAAGGGTGAATTGCAGGGGAATAGGAGTAGCAGGGATGGGCATCCCAGAAACTTTGCTTTGGATGTGATGTGAACTATGGCTTCATTCAACAACAAGCCAAGGAAACAACCCAGTGATTTGTTCTTGATAGCCTGGCTTTGTTTCAGCCTGACCTGGGTCATGGTTTTTGGAGCGCAATTTGTCGAGGCTCAAACATGACTTTGGACCTGCTCTCAGATGGAACACTGGCGCTTTCGCAACGAACACATGTTGTTCCAAAATGCGGTCGCATTTTCGTTCAGTGCGGTGCTTCGAGGTGTTCATTTGGTGAGGCAGAAGAAATAGCGACCCACTGGGCAGAGTCGACGTTGCGCGAGAAAAGAACTGCAGCCGACGGCCAGTGCCAGCATTCGCCAGCGTACATGTCCTGGCTTGGATGGTGCCGCGAAACGCATGGAGCGTCGTGTTTTCGCCGCAGGCCTAGCCAAAGTGAGGGACGATATCTGAGTTTCACATGTCTCGGGTAACCAGTATGATCCAGTCTTCCAAAAGATGGAAGAGCTCGGTTTCAAAGGCTGGCCTCAAAATTGAGGCAAGATATCGAGACAGACTTGAAAAATGGACCGCATGTCCGTTGTTGCAGCTTCCTAGGTGATGCTAGGAGGTTCGAGTTGAGAAAGGTCATCCAGAGATGGTTCGAAAGAAAGAGAGAGAGAGAGAGGGAGACACGGACATCAATGGACATCAGATGGCGTCCGAAAGTTGAAAAATCCAACTCTCTTAGTGTTGGAAGAATATTGCTAGACCAAATGATTCATCACGGTTTCCCAGGTCTCTACTCTGACCAAATGACTTGTTGGACCCGACCAGAATGCCACACACAGCCCATGTTCGTCAGGACGGCAGAGTAAACTTCAGCGACTTTGTGAACCTTCTGAAATGAGACGAGGTAAAAAAATGTTTCACTCTGTAGAGTCCTTCAATCGGAGAGATATCGGAGAGGTATCAATTGCTGAGGACATTCATGTGTGGCACAGCAACATCTAGCATAAGAAAAGATCCCGATCAATTCCGATATAGAAAGAAGATAACAATTCACCAATTCATTCAAAAAAACTATATATATACATATACAATTTCTATTATATAAGAAAATAATTTGAATATCTTAATAAATACTTGGAATTTGCAAGTATATTGCAAATATTAATAAATTGAATATATATAATTTGGATTCTTAATATAATTTATTTTTGTTTGAATAGGAAGATATTGGAAAGATATGGGTTTGTATTTTTTTGGCGTGTATTTCTTGATATAGTGGTTGGAAATTCGAACATTATATATAAAAATTAGGTATTAAGATGAAATTGATGGGCGGTTTTTGAGGCTTATAGACATTTATAAACCAATATTGCATGATATTTGTAATTATATGATCTATGGGTATTTAATTTGGTTAAAATTATTTGGATATTTTTGTGGGAAGAGCAATTATTTATGTCTTAGGGATACGAGCTAAAGGAATGTTTATACGAATTTTATCCGATTTATGTTTGATTTATATTCGAATTACGTATTTTTTTTTACAATTTCCTACCATCTCCTATCCATCCCATATTTTGGAATTTTTTGTGGAAGAATGCATTTATCTAATTTGCCTAGCATCTAATAGATGTTGCTTGCCAATTGCCTCGGCGTAGAAGGGACTCATTGCTGGAAATCTAGCTAATCCAATGATATAATTTCAAAATTGCGAATTATTTGCGAATGATATCCTCGAATTATACCCCCGAATTATATTATCTATTCAAATTTCTCGGTGCTATTACGGAAAAAAAAATATCCACCTATATATTGTAATTGATTTTTAAAAAATAATATATATATATATATTAATTGAAAATGCCACCTTAATTTAAAAGGGGGGCGGGTGGATCACCTTGGGCAATGCTATGGATTTGTGTTTTGCTTCATTTTTGTTCGATTTATGTAGTAATTTTTCTATCTGTTTTCGATAGTCCTAGTTTGTTGGTTGAAGAGTCCGATTTTAAGTCTGGACAATATGGATATATATTTTGATTTCGGCTCTAGCACACTTATATTGGACGCGAGGGTTGATTTTCCTACCTTAGGAGAAAACGAGAGCTCCATCTTGCACTTGCATCGTGTTGTAGAACTAGCAAAACACTACGAGGCTTGGGCGTTATTGGGATTAGGTCTTGGGATGTCTCGGACTAGGTGTGTTCGTATAAAGAGGGCTTTCACCCAACCCTGTTATAAAGCACTCGAGCAAGGGATTATTATATATCGCAACCGACCACTCTTTTCGGCCCAAATACCCTTTAGGATCCGACAGATGTGGACAGGAGCCGCTGCCGGGAGATCGAATCCGAGAGATTCTGACCTTGCTCACGAGACTTGGCACCCGCACCGAGCTGATTCATCGGTTCTCTCCACTGCGGCCGTTGGACACGAATGGCATTCCAGAGGACTCTCAAGCCACGATCACATGGCGATTGGACATCTCCCTTCGCTCAGCCGAGAGCAATCAGCTGTTTGGAGCCTTGATGGCCCTATGCGGCAACGGCATTGGCCAAATGATCCTGTTTCGGATTCGACCAGCCACACTGCAGCGATCCCAATTGGCTCAAGCCGTGGCCCACAGAGTCAGACGCTAGCTCATCGACTTTTGGAGCATGCCTTTCACAATAGTGGGAATACCTACTTCCAGAACAGTATGATGCTATGCCAGTTCTGGGCAACCATAGTGTTTGAAGACTTCACCCCTGAATGGTGGGGTCCCTGGGGTCAACACATTCAGCGATTATTGATGGATGATTCAGGTGCAATGGTGGACCTGAATGTGGATGAACCTTTCATCTCACTTCATTGCACCTGGCTTGCAACACATCCAACGGGGAGGCAGCAAGATGCTGCGGAATATGCAGGATGATTGCGTGAGCAGTTTTTGCGGCCGACGCCGTGGGGAACTATCCAAAAGGAATGGGAAAGTAGAATGTTGGAAGAAGTGGTTGATCGGGGCGCCATCTATGCCCCCATCTTGTTTCGATGCCCTGACCAAAAAGCATGCCGATTGCAAGACTTGATTTACTTATGGCACCAACAGGCACCTCACACCGTGGCACTCACATGTGCACATCCCATGGTATGCCTGCAGATTGAACGATTCCTTGACCTGAACCACAAGAATGAGATCCTGATTGACTTGCCCCGTACTGAGGTCATGCTACCAGTTTTTGCCGCTTCGAGCGGCCTGCAAGTGCAGTGGGCTCAGTTCCGGATAGTCTGGATGACTTTGCACCTGGGCCCGATTCCTGATGCCGGGCACTACCAAGGCTGTCTTCTCACGAGTGGTGATGTTTGGATGAGCGATGATGATCGCTTACCATGGAAGAGCCGCCTTCACGAAGAGCGCAAACAAAATTGCTACTTGTTTTGGTTGACGCCACAGGAGCACCTTGTTCAGTTTCGGAGAAGGCCGTTCTACCACCCAAGATCCACAGATGAATAGACAGAGCTGCGTGCTACCGCATTCAGTCAGCCGTGAACACACTAGTCTGAGGCAACAGAAGCTCCTGAAGCTTCCGCACATACGTGTGTGCTGCCCAACACGGGCCAACTCGCACTTGGCCGGCTCTGAAATGAAATGAAATGAAATATATTAATTGATGATTTCTATATTGTAATATGTGGTATATTATCTGTGGTATATTATGTGGAATTGATTATATCGAACGGAGGAAATTACGATATGGATTTTGTGAAATGATTAGAATATTTTTGAGAGAGGATGATATTTGGAATTTGATGATTTATGCAAGAAGGGGCTTTGTTCTATCAGCCCATATGTTTGCCTCCAATTCGAGCGTTATTCTGCCCTCGAATGTAATTTTTTTTTTTGATTCACACCGAGGTCACCTTGCTACGTTTTTAGTGATGTAGGCACCATTGTGATTTGGGAACCATACAAGGTGATGGCAGGTCTATCGCATGAAGGGAATGGCCCAACAGAAGGCCACTATCGAGCCATCCTGTTCTATTTAGGAATGCAGTTTATTATTGATGATTTTGCTTTGCCGGTGGTTACGCCACGTCATGAGGAGTTTTGTAGAAGTCTGTACCTCTTGTGGCTAGTACCCCAAACAGCATCGAGGAGCATCTTGGCTCTATCCATTGAAGCGATTTGCACCAACAACTTTCGAGGCCATTGCAGATAATTTAGCACAGAACTGAGAGTTCTCTTTTTGATGATGCCCAGCGCTTACTCGGATGAGGCTCAGCTGTACCCGATACAGCCAGGACACTGTCCCGCAGCCCAATACAGGCGGACTTTCATACCGGTCCGCTGAGTGCTGAATGAATGGAAATGCTATATTATTATTATTTTATGATTTTCTTGAAACCGAAGGAATGATAGGATTAAAGAAAAATGATAATATTGATAATTATATTGATAGATGGTATGGGATATATTACTAAGAATTTATTCAACTAATCCATTAAATAGATATTAATAAAAATTGTGGCGAAAATAATATATATTAATTCCGAGTTATAAATATATATTGTTTAATTTGTTTATTCAAAAAATGATTGGAATCTTCCGAGAATGTTTTGGGTAATGATTTCTTGAAAATTATGATGATTTGGATAAATTTAGATGTTGTTATTTGGCGTTACGAATTTATAATGATTGAAGATATGATAGATATTGGATTAATGTATGATTAGCATCCTGCAGCAGACAGATTTCCAATTTATAAATGATCGCCGCCTAGGCAATGCATAGAGGAGATGGATTGAATTGGGGTTATAACTTGTCGGCCTTGTTGCATTCAGGCACACGCCTCCTTTGTGAGATTATTATGAATCATGACCTCTCACCAATGATCCACGATTCCATGAAGATATGCACCTCATTTGATTGGTGCCCGCCCAGATGTGCAATCGTCCCTGGAAGAGGTCTTTCCCTCTTCGAAAAATCGGTTCCCTTAAAATCCTTTTGGATTCCAAATTTCGACAACAGCCATGACGGTGCGCATTCTTCGATCTTGCACCTTTTGAGCTTCGAGCGGAACTTATTCTCCAAAACCTCTATGCTACCCAATACGGGCATCCGACGTGGATGCTGGCCGAAGAATAAAATATTGAATCTATATATAAAAAAAACAAAAATACATTTAGAAAATAGATAATTGGATAGAATTGCCGTCTTTTGATTATTATTGAGGAGACCGCATCAATATTTGTTCCGGTTCCATTGGCATGCGCAAGTCATGGATCCATTATGTTGCAGTAATTCATTCATGATTGGTATCATC